TAGGCCAATGCCCGAGCCTTATGTATCTTTATGCTGAATACATAGATACGTTTAACATTAAATGTTTTGGACTATATAATTAAAAATGTATAGAATAAATGAATTCAAGTATAAAATGTTAATCTTTGAGATAAAGTCCATAATAAAATATATTTTATCTTCAAACTTTTTTTGGTTTATAGTTGTAATTAATTCGATGATCATGACATAATTGGTATATTTTGTCTCTGAGTTTAAAATTCTTCAATACCAATGCCATACAAGTCTAACTCAAGTTTAGACAAAACCAGGGTGGACACGACTAAAAAAGGGTCTTCGATCTCAGGACCCGTAGATGACGTCACAGAGAACACCTAAAAACCATCACATGCATATGATAAAAAACGCTGACTTAGATTGAATTATAATGAATTTATACTAACATGTTTTATTTGTCTGATTTAGAAATACTTTGGACTCTTTCCATCGATCGCAGAATCGAACTACGTGTTGTGATCGAGATTTTTCCAGCGCGGGGAACGTGCTTTTTTATTGCACCTTTGGGTGCTATATTGTGATCAGTTTGCGCCGGCGGGTGTCGAGTGATCTCCCTGCTACATCATTCTGTAAAAGAGCATATCTATTATTTGGCTCATACCATATGTTATAATTTCATGTTTGGAGGACCATATTTTGAAAGATCCCTTTTCAGACGTATGTTGTGTAGTTTAACTTTTGTTGTGAATTATACATTCGTTTTTCAATTCATTTTGGATATATCGGGTTGATAACAAGTTGATAAGCATTTTCTCTGAAATAGGTGAACCGTATTTTTTACTCAGTAACAGTATGATATGATAACAACAATTTGCATTGTAAAATTAACAAAAGCATGTCAAAAAACTGAATATCAACATTCGTGGAGAAATCAATTACTTGGACAGTCAATTTCTAGCTGTTGTGTTTAATATTTTTGCTGGATTAATAGCCTTTCTACTTTTACATATTTTGTGTTGCATATTGTGCGGTAGTTTAAATAGAACTTCAAAAAACGAGTAAGATCTGCATTCCGTTTATGTAACTATAAGTGAGGCTTTAAATCGACGATTCTGTCATTGTCTTCTGAGGTATTTGTTCGCAAGCATGTACATTTTCTTAAACATATGATACTGTCACATGTTTGAGATGAAAAAATGTTGCGAGAATTTTGCCTACAACTCATGTACCAATAAGGTAATAAGGTTAAAAGAGGTTAAAAGTTTAAAAAACGTACTTTCGAGGTACCGACATTTTGTTACCGAAACGAACCGTTTCGGTAACCAAAATAATCGAGCGGATCACCATTGTATGGAAGCTCTTGTCAACAGGAAATCGTCCAAACGATCTTAGATCTGACGATCTAGGAGACGATACGGATAGCAGTGGTGAAGATGTCCCAGTCAAACGAGGGAAGATCTAAAATAGCATTCAAATTTTCAGAGTTAATTACACCAACACGAATTTTATTATGTTCCCTCCACTTAGCAACTGAGCAGATCAAAAGAAGAGACACAAATGTATTTGATACAAATTAAAATGGTATTATCTGTAATATTATATTATTGCTTGTGATACACTTGCTATAGTGTGTTTTATTTGTACGCTCATGTGCGGCAATGGTTCAGATAACTGATGAAAACCACAACAAACAAAGGATCTCACAAAGTTTTATTCTTTTCAAAATGGTCACGATTTTATGGCCATTTTAAAACATGCTCAAAATGCTGTCTCGCCTCTGGAGGCCAATTTGGACTTATCGGGTGAACTTGTTTTGACTACAAGGTCACAGATATCTTGATGTGTAATGGCTCTTGTTTTCATTCTTTATAGGCCATTCATTCTTAATAGCCCAAAAGATAAAATTCTGGAGGTTCATATTTGGTGATTTTAAAATGTTTCGGCATTTGGATCACTTTCGTAAAATAGCCATGCATAAAATCGCGATCATTGGAATTAGACCAATGGAACTCAGTGGAATGAAAGAAAGTTGAACAAGGTTCAATTGTGTTTATTTAAACCCATGCTGGAAGCCTGAGTTATGTACATTTGTTTTGGGTGACCTTTTTGGCCAACCCTGTAATGAAATATATTTTATGCCCCTTTGATAAGCATTTTTTGTTTTTGTCTTTAGGATATATAATGGCATATGGCATATAATCTGTACTAAATATAAATGAAGTGAAACCATGCCCAAATTGTTCAATGGACTCTCGGGAATAAACAATAGGAGGTGATTTGAGTATACTAGGTGGCGCTGTTAAAGCGTGATTGTGTCCGTCAATGCCAGAACAAAATCTAAAGTTGGCAATTTCAAGTCGTATGTTTTCAACAAATTGCATGAGGTGAGACAATTTTTTGACACCGAAATGATATCTAAAAAATGCATCTTTAACTTACATAGGTGGCGCTACTTTAAACATGAAAATAAATAATTCTTTCTCACCACATGGTTCATCGAAACATCAGCATTGTTCACGAGACACGAGAACAAGTCTACCAAACAATTGAAATTCCATACGATTGTTGCACAAAACGGCTTCGGCAACGAGAGTACTATCGATAATGAATTCTTAAGAATTGTGCTTTGTGATCAAAGCTTGTATGTGAGATCTTGTATGTGTTCAATGTTCATCTGATACACTTATGCATTAAGTGAGTCCTTGTATTTTTAACATCTCATTAGAGAGATTTCGCACATATGTAAAGTACAACTTATAACGTATACTTATACTTATAAGAAGACGTACAAGGTGTTTCATAATGTGGGTATTTCGTCAGGAAAGATCTTCTCGGACTGTAATAAATAAAGGTCAAAGGGATGCCTTTTGTACTTTCTTGAATTGTAGCATGTTTAGTTGATCCAAATGTGTTTGTCTAGAATAAAATAGGCTCATATATAGTACATATGTTATAGACCCATCTCTTCTCAAATTGACTTTTTGGAGATGCTCGTTATGAAACACCCTGTATGTCATTTGTCGAGCTACTGAATGGGTCGTTTCCAGGAATTGCTAGAACCTACTGGTTTGATTGGTGTTTCAAATTGATGGTTAAAGTATTTGATTGGATACTGTTCCTACTCAGCCGATTAATTTAGAAAATGCTTGCGGTCAATTGTTCCACACACATGTAGGTAAAGCTTTATACGTAGATCCAACTGTATACGTTTATCATCTACGTGTATATACAATTTTGTAAGTTCATTGAACTTATAATGATCACGAAAACTTTGAAATAATCAACTTGTTTATGTAATGACTCACTTGAAAGGATCATGACTCACTTTAAAGGATCGTGTTTAGAATACACTACAACTACTAGGACACGGAAGCAAGTATTTAATTATAATGTGCATAATCTACACGTGCAGATGACAGTGCATTCACAGTCTCTGGTTGATGGAGCTTTTCTGTATCGGGAATAGTTATGTTCCATTAAGTACAATTTAAAATTGATTTTAGTAAATATAATAGTTCGACATGACCCTTTAAACTATACGTATACGCATAATGCCTTGGTCACATTTGCCCCGATTTTCATTACGGCGCCCGGCCGATTGAGTATTGTGTTCAGAAATGTATTCAATTTTGAACAAAATACTCAATCGCCCGGGCGCCGGCCGATGAATCGCAGCAAATGTGACCCAGGCATTAGTTGTACTTTCACTTATGTGCGAAATCTCTCTATTGATACGACGTCAGATACTGTACATCGCGGCATTTTACTGCATTTTTACATGCGTTCTTACTTTTAAAACCGCAATATCTCGACAGCAAAATCATATTTTTCTACAATTTTTCGTCATCAGTTGAACACGTATGTCCATGAAATATTTTGCCTATCAGAATTCCAAATAACTGATTTGGGACTTTTTAAATGCGAATCACGCAAGCCGTATTATGCGACTTTATATGCTAAAACCGGGTGTGGACTGTAACATTTTGAAGAAAAATGATTTCAATTTTAAACGAAAAATGAAGATAACTTTTTCATTTCTTAACGGATCTTTCTCAAACTTTCACAATATTTAAATTCACCATTTTGAAAAAGACAAACAGATTCTGGTTGATGACGTCATAATATAACAATGCTAACTTAACGCTTATATTTATGCAAAAAAAGTGTGGACAGGCAGAATTTCGTACCAACAAGATATATATTTTGATCAATTAACATTAAATCGTTTGAAAGGTGAATTATTATTTTTTGATTCCTGAAAGGCATATCATATTCTATATTTTTATCAAAAAACTATATCATTTCGATTGAAATTCAGTCTGTAAGAAGCATAAATTGAAAGAAATATGAAGTGAAGCCATGTGAAAAATTCACAAAATTACGTTTCATTTTTTGAGTTCAAATATTTCTAATTAAGGGATAAACATTCAAAACTTTTCAATGTTTCAGCATGTTCTTTTAAATATACCCCTTACTACATACAATTAATTTCATTTAATTTGATCCAGTATATATTGAGATAGACATCATTTTATCACCGCAACCCCAAGTGAAGCCTTTACAAAATAAGACGTTATGCCGTTAGCGTATTATATGTTCTCCTTTATTATTCATTGCTTCAAATAAATAAAACTAAATATTCGAGTTAAAATCAATTACAAATAATGCATTTAACAATCCTTAATATCTTCCCGTCTGTGTATATCAGTTGAATATGACAAGGGGCACTTTGAAAGTGTCTAGAAAGACGGTGCGACAACGAGAGCGCGGGGCCGAAAAGCGCGACAAAGAAGAAAACGGGTAGGGTTTGAAATGTCTACTTTCTGGTGATTCTAATTCTGTATATCGTGATACAACCTTTTTGAATATAGAATTGTATTGAAGCACACATTAATCTGAACAAAACTTGAAGTTTTTAAGAAGATTCCACGAATATTAAAACTTCTGCAATTACTTGGAGGAGCATTGCGCATATTTATCGCGTAAATCTTTGCATTTTGTCGGTAAAATGGACAATTACAATGTTACGCCGTGATGTACAGTATCTGACGTCGTATCATTATGTCTGCAGGTGAAACGTATTCATCCCGACTGGCGGGAATAATTGCTTCCGTGAATGCAATCTCCAGAAGATCTTCGAGCGTTTCCGTCTTAGGGTATTCGTTCGCAGCCCATATCAAATAAACCTTGAATTCATTCCAGTCGATCTTTCCGTCATCGTCCATGTCCAAAGCCTTTAAAGCTTGTTTAGTTTCTTTGGTGCGGTACGAAGCGAAGTACTGGGCCATAAAGCCGTGGTAGAACGAATCGAATGCCAGCATATCATCCCTGTCATTACACTCCCGGGCATCCAGATCATCCCAAATTTTACGAACTTCTCCAATTAGGTATTTAACATGCGGTCGCTTATCTCCTAGAACCGCTATTTTGTCACGCATGTCTGTGGTAAGGGAGCCGCCAGCTCGGTCAAACAGGACGGCCAGTCCAAACCTACTCATATATTCCTCTTTCCTAAAATGAAAGCAAGTATCAAAGGAACATTTGTACATAATATAAGCTTGAGCAACAAAGCGACAAGAAGGCTTCAAAAATCACTTGCTTTCATTTTGCTTTCATTTTAGACGAGACACATATTATAATATTATGATAACGAGATTTCATAAGTTACCTGTTTGATCGCAGATCTTCCAAGATAATCTCCTTCATACGGGTAGCAATCTCAAGAGTAAATCCAGAATATTTACCAAATAAATCAATTAATCGCGTTTGTATCATCTTAGCAGAAGCCATTGTAGTGATACGAACGGGTGCCTTTACACCAAAGAAGTCAGCCAAATGAAATTCATCTTTCTTCAGATTGAAGACATAATCAAGGGCTCTGGTGCCAAATATGGGCTGTCTTTTATGAGGGGGATTCCCCGTGGTGATCTTCGTCACTTCTATGGCTGCTCTGCGCAGATGCTTACAGTTGTAGGCCTTCAACACCTTTTTGTTGCCAAGGCGGATCATGTTCATGAGAGTTACGCAGGAGGAGGCTTGCCCCATAGACGCCCCTTCTCCACAAACGCTTGCCCAAATACCATCAGCTCCGTCCATCAAGCACTAAAGAAAAATATTGATGCCTTAAAGATACATATGTACCTAGCTTGTTATTGAAAACACAGAATGAATGCATGAAACTCTATGATTTGAGCTTATTTGAAAAAGGCAGCACAGGCAAGTGGAGATCAAACCCACGGCCCCGTGATATCGGGTAAGTGTTCCCTTGCAAGTGTATATATTTATATTTGTAAATTGGATTTAATGAATTGTTCGAATAACACGACATGCCTACTACGTCTTAAACATCAGCTAGTGGGAAGTGAGTGACAATTCACATATGCGCATTTTGTGTTCGTTAAAAAACAGGACAGGAATTAATACAACAAACATTAAAAGACATTCAAATCAATACATAGAAGAACGAAAAATTAAGTTGAAAGTGGTGCCACACGTCCCCCATGTATCAATAAATAAGTTAAAGAATACTGTAGCAGTTGTCCACAAATATGCCAAGTGAAGTTTAAGACCGATCTAACGATTTATCTACCCTACCTGCAAAGCTGCTGCATCACAATAGCCAAATTTTTCGTGCACATGTACAAGTAAATGTCCCTTAAAGTTGTTGGCATCCATAATCTTCCGGATAAGCCTAGCCCAATGTCCGCACTCTTCTGGCAAAGACTTCCCGGGCTCTTCATATGCAAAGCCAAATGGACGTCTGTCACAGGGCATCTTCGAGATAGATTGGACATACTTACACACACGTTCAGGATGTGTTTCCATCACTGCCTCTATGTCCCGGATGTTAATCAAAACTTTGGACTTTTGATGGAGATTTTCGTAGCACCATCTTATCCACTTCTTGGTGAGTCTGCACATCTCCCTCATGGAGAAACGATCGAAATCATACGTGGCGTCACCAAGATCTACCTCAAAAAATACGTTCCGTATGCCTGCCTCCTTCATTTTTCGCAGTCCAGCGGGGACAATTTCAGTTTCGGGAGTGCGATCTTTTTTAGCACCTAATAATTAGATCATGTGATAACTATAAGGGTTGGCAAAATACAGGGTAGTGAAAATACATGGAAGTCGTCTCTAAAATGAGAGGTTAACTGAAAATACCCATATACATCCACTGTAAAGCCCAATTTGTGTTAACGAAAATACACCAGACCTACTGAAATAATGAAAATTTTTATATATACGGCACGAAACGTGTTTACTATCGTTTTTCCTTATAGTTGGCAGTAATTTCCATTTAGGAATTTTTTATCTTTCACTATTTCTTTAGATTTGTTGACAGAAACTGATATTCTTATTTACCTTCAGTCACCTCAGAGAAAGCCCATAAATACTCAGGATCTTCGCCCTCTTTAATGAGTAGCTTCATCCATTCGTCATCTACCCGCGTCATGTGCGAAAACGAGGCAATGATCTTATGCTTGAAACCACATTTCTTAACTTCATTCAAGATGGCGCGTTTACTTTCAATCGTATGACCTCTAAGTTGTCCAACAGTGCTCTCCCGCATAGAGTTGTCCAAGACGAAAATGTCCAAATCTTTTAGTTTGTCATACTTTTTTATATCCTTACCCAAAGCGTCGTGGTACTCATCAATATAATGTTGAAACTTCTTCTTCATGAATGACATGATGCTTCAGGTGTTGTAGGCTGCAAAAACACTGTAATTGATTGATTTCAAAGAAGAATCAAGTTAAACGAACAACATTTCCAAAAGTTATTTCAATTCTAGCAAAATACCACTCTGACATTCCCTATCTATTCCTGAAACAAGTTCATATAATATTCCAGGAAAACACGTATATTTGGGCAAGTGTGCTAAAATAAAAAAAAGTAAATTGAAATATAGACAAAAAACACATTAAAAATAGATTAAAGATAGATGGCATGCCAGTTTTTACCTAGAAAAGCCACTTGACTCAAGAAGGCCAATAATACCCGTCTCACATTAGCACCGATTCATCGACCGGCGCCCGGCCGATTGAGTATTGTTCAAAACTGAATACAATTTTGAACAAAATACTCAATCGGCCGGGCGCCGGCCGATGAAGCGGGGCAAATGCGACGCAGGCATAAGTAAGCATGCAAGAAAGTAGCTATGCCTAGCAAAAGTAAGTAGCTATGACGATGGTTTTAGAAATAGAATGAGTTGCCAAGAACATAGCCTTGCATACAATTCTAAGTAATCGTATATAAACGTCAAAATTGTTGACGTACGTTTGTAAACTCGACGCAAATCAAGCTTTTGATAGTTTGATGGATAGATTTGATATATAGAAAGGTGTTTATATCTATATACATCTGAATGAATAGATGTCACTGCTTGTTTTCATTTATTTTGGTTGGGCAAGACTGCCATAGCCTCCAATGTAAACGTTAAGATTTATATCGAATTTATTTATATCGAATTGCATACTATTGCTTTCATGTTATATTAATCATATAAATTTGGGTTCTCGAACGAATAAACCAAAGTTTTAAAGGCGAATTTTAACATTACATCAATGGAGATTTCGCCCACACCTTTAAGAAAAGTTGAAAAAGCCATGGAAAATTATTTGAATAGCATAACTGTATAATCAAATTATATTGGTGGAAAACTTTTAATTGAAATTAAATATGCTATTAAAAAGGAAAAGCAAATCACTTAAAATCTCATGAAAAAACGTGTATTCGTCAGATTGTAAAGCTATATAGAAACTCTTCTATTGTATATGGAGGTGAAACTTAACCGATTCTGAGTCAAAGGGCGCATATTTAAGGCTATCAAATCGCTTTATACGGAATTATGTAGCATTCGATTCGAATTGGTGTCAATGGAACGTAAACAAATTGATTTCCTGTACGCGAGGGGCTGAAACAGGGGTCCGAATCTCTTCGCCATTTTAATGATTACCTAGCTACAGAAATAAAAACAGTGAATTGTGGAGTGGACATTGGAAACGAAAAGTTAAGTTTATGCAGATGACATCGCCTTGATTGCGCCAATTTTTCATTTCATTGTGGAAATGGTGACATAAAAGAAATGGAACAATATCAATATTTAGGAATTGTTTTTAACGAACACTTGGACCTGTAAAATTGGTACAACCTTTAGCCAAATCAGCCAAGTATAGCATCATCCGAAGTATTTGCCAATTTTTTGAATCCCTACTTTCTTGGTGTTGGTCCAAAAAGACCAAACGCAACAATCAAAAGAGAATATTTACCTTGATTCCATCGCACACGTGTCTACCTTACAAAAAAACATTATCCGATTCTAGTTGAGACTAAAAACTGTAAGGAGGGTAGAATAAATAAAACCATATTCAACAGGTCTAGATCTGTTCAAACAATTGAATAAGAAAACATGCGAATTTCATACAATAACATTATTATATCTAAAGCCAACGTTTTTCTACAGGAATAGCTAACATTGAATTATAGAGATCACAGGAAAAATCTGGAAAATGCAAACAAAATAACGAGCATACCGATTACATAAAGACACATTAGAAACTGAAAAATATCTAAAAAAAATACCAAGATCATATTCTCAAATACTAGCACAATTAAGATGAGGAACTTTGTCACTGAGAATAGAGACGAGAAGATACGGTCAAAATAAGGTTCCATTAATGAATGGATATGCAAAAATTGCAAATGAATAAAATCGAAAATAAAATACACTTTTTAATGAAATGTAATAATACGATGACATTTATTAGTGCAATCACAGAAATATATTGTTTTAGCCAATTACACAATAGTACAATATACCACTTTAAAGAGTGAGAAAAAACATACAATTCATTCTGGCAAAAAGCGTATTTCAAATGTTTAAAAGAAGGAAAATGTATACTGTTAATGAACAGTGCAATGATAAAGAAATGTAACTTTATTATTTTTTATCAGTAATTTGCATATTGGTAAGTATGTATGAAATCTAGTCCCTCGTAAGCCGGGAACGGCTGGGCATACAATCCAAGCGTTTTAAAAACCATTTTAACATGTACAGGGTGTCAAAAAACAACGGCACCCCCCTCTACAGCAAAAAGTCCTGAATGTTCCATATTGTGTCATACATCATTTGAAAGGTAATTTAATTCTGGAGTTACTCCTCAAATTTCATTTAATAAAACTTTATATTAAAAAAGCTACATTGTTTTTAAGTTTGCTACTTTGGTACTTTATTTGCTGCTCTGTTACTGGTTAAAGGTCAAATCTTCAGAAAGTGGAATATGAAAGGATTAGCTCAGATTTCAACTGCACTGAACATATGGGTTCAGTTCTGAAAAATAGGGTATAGGAACTGATGGACGAAGAGCCTCTTGAAAAAAGATACAGTGAGGATGTATTTCTGAAGAATTTGAGGAAAGTGCTTAGAGGATTATGCAATGCTACACATTTATCTGAATTTTCATTGAAATCATATCCGTCCAGATAAGCTGCTGTTTGAGCAGCAACTGGCGGTCATACCAACTACTAAGAATCAGCTGTAAATCTGTAAAATTATATGATATAAGGCCCAATAAAACGTTTGGGAATATGTTTTTATCATTCACTATTCATTTACTATTTTTCACGACTGAGAATTTTGAAAAATAAATTTTCATTGGTAAATTGGTCCAGGTTTGTTCTCAAATCAAATTTTGGACATTATTTATGTTCAACTTTATACATAAGTATATTCTGTACATATCATAAATTATGCTATTTTGTCTGCAAGGTCTAAAAATGAAACTTGAAATAATCTCATATAATTCCATGATCCTAAAATGATATTAAAATAAATAATTTTCCCTCTCGATATTTATTAATTGAATGACCAGCAAAAACAAAGTGTTTTTCCTCACCTTCCGATTACGTCGTCTGCAACAGGTATATTTCCTTTATGCAACACTCCTAATTCGAAGGAATGATTTTGAACTGTGTCTAAATAGAGAGCGTTCTTGCATTTTAAGGCCCTTGAGAACGTACAGTTTCTTGACAACAGTCTCTTAACAACAGCCTCTTAACAACAGTCTCTTGACAACGGTACCCACTCTTCTCAAAAATAGGGACACGTGTTTGGCAATAAGGGATCGACTATAATGATAAAAAAGTATGATTTGTTTTACCCTGAAAACATATTTTTACAAATTTTATTGAGTGACATTAACTTTTTACGGATGTTGTTTTATTGGGCTAGTTAAGAACAAAATATAAAATACATTACCATATTGAAAAAAGCGCATACTAAACGTTGTGCGGTATGACAGGTAGCGGTATGACTTGTTTAGTGAGATAACATTGCTTTATATGGATGACGCTCTATATACATTTGGATTCTTTGTTATGTTTGTTGTCTGTACTCACTTTTTGGGCCATCCGTTAGATTTGATTTCAATCAGATTGAGAGCAATATATATACCATATGGGGTACCATAAGATGGTACTGTGTACCTTTATTGTATAACATTGCATACATTACATTGCATTGTATTGTATAACATTGCATACATTACATTGCATTGTATTGTATAACATTGCATACATTACATTGCATTGTATTGTATAACATTGCATACATTACATTGCATTGTATTGTGTTGTGATGTATTGTGCTTCATTGTATTATACTAAATTATGAGAGTTAATAAACAATTACGCCTACATGATGGATATCTTTTTTCTCGGAATATAAGACGTTGTCTCAATTAAAAAAGTAGTGTATCTTGTTAAAAAAGTCAGGATGGTTTTGGCACAAAATGAATAATCAAAATAAATCTTAAATATGGGTCAAAAGAGGGGTGGGTTCTTCTTACATACCGAACTGAGGACTTGTTTATTAAAGCTGGTTATTTTCCATGGTTCAATTTCTAAATTTGATTAAAAAGTATCAGGGCAAAAACAAATGACAGATCACTTATATTATAAATGCAATACTACTGACTGGTTTTGGCAATTAAGATGAAAGAGCAGTATTCACCAATATCTACGCAATTACCGAACATTTCCTATCCAAGAGTCTTTACTTCTATGTTTTTGAATTTGTCATAATGCATGGTTGGGAGAGACCTTGCTTGTCAAAAGTAGACAATGGTCTCCAAGGAAATGAGGTTACGGACGTGCCATAGACACAGAGCCAGTATCAAATATCAGAGGTGGGTCAAAGTGTGCGCCCACTCATTTCCTGTTTGCACTAACCTTACACGTATGTGCTTGTCTTTTTATGTACAAAGTATACATCTCACAACTTTGATTGATATATACCATTGAAAATTATAATACCCCAAAAAGATGTGAAATAAGTAAATAGTTTTTCTTTTCATATGTGTGACACACTTTAAACTGAAAAAAGATCAATCTAACTTTTAGGATAGTCAGACGGAAGTGTTTATTAAAGTGTGCGCCTGACCCGGCTACGTATAGCACAGAGTTTATACTGGCGGATTAGACTAGTTCATTTTTTATATGTGTGTGAAAGCTTTCTCTTATTTGCGTTTTTTCGTTTAGTACGGTTTTGTTATAATTGCCGAGGTCATATAACCGGGATAAAACAATGATTATCGTTGACTGCCCACACACAAAACATACGTTGAGTGAACAGTGTTATTACAAACAACAGGCTTTAGAATACAAAGCGTAGTGTGATAATAAGCTGTACACTACCACTGCTGCATGTACATATTACTAATTTACTAGGGCTCCCAAAGAGTGGATAGGGAGGTTGTGTTTGTCACTTTTAAATTTTACATTTCAAAATTGTCATTTTACATGTCATAATTTGTTGGTTTCATTCGTTTAGCCAATCAAAACATTGTAAAACAATAAATTGTCTGTTACGTACAATCAATTTTGTTCAGTTTTGATTAGTTGTCAGAATAAAGTTACGTTCATCTGAATCCATGTATCAAAACAAAAATCCTATTTTCACTTCAAAATACTTCAGTGAGATGAAGGCTCGGAATTGTCACATGCAATAACTTATTGTCGTATTCGTTATTTTATCTTCTCGATAGTAGCATTTATAATTAGTCCCACATTTGATGCCAGGTCACCTTGTCGCGTACCTCTTGGGGAACCCCACATTTATGTGTGTACTCATGGAAGTAAATTCCCCGGTGTAGCCGAGAGCCACAAACTTTTCAACAGGTTCGAAATGACCAATTTCTCTCATATATACTCTAAATATTTCATTATTTAGCACCTACAAAGTATTGCTAATAACCATATGTAATTTCAATAAGGAAACTTATCTGGCTACATATAAATTCAATATCAACACTAGCTGTTCTCTCAACACGTCCTGGCTTACCTTGTGGTGACAAACCCTGGATTTTCGCTATTTATAGTTTATCAACACCTGGACGCATGCGCATTTTATAGTTTATCGGGCACTTTAACAACTAAAATGAACCCATGGGACTGCAACCTGGCGATTGTATCTAGTAGTTACACGTTGTTAAGCCAGAAACGGCGGACCAGACACGTACCAAGTAGATCTTGTTATTGATAAAGGTAACCTGTATATCCATAGGCCCGGGAACGTGTATGAAAATTAGTCTGGGTCCCACAAGAAAAATAGGAAAAGATGATATCTTAGGGGGGGGGGGGGGTCCATACTTGATTTTTTATAATCAGAACTGAAATTTTACACCATGCACATTCAAAGAAAATTCGATTCAATAATCTGTTTTCCTAGAGTCATACTGACAATTGCAAGAAATATCAAAACACGCATCTTTTTGTTTGGAACCATCTGGGTAAGCTAAGACTGAAGGTGGTTTAAAATTCCCATGGGCCCCGGAGCCTTTGTTCAAACACCTTAATTGGAGGCGATATTGGGCACGGGAATAATATCGTAACCTATGTCTGTTGTTCGAATCATATCTACACGTACGATGCGGATACGCTCAAAAGGCGATGTACTAGCACGGCCAGGGGGTCATACTACGATGTCTGCCGTATCAACTGCAACCAGTACGCTGCGACTGATTCCAGAAACAAATGCATCGCTATATTTGATGAATGCCTCAACCGTATAAAATCCATTGGACATTTCCAAAATCCCCATGGCATATGTGCGACATCAGACGGCCAACTCCTGGTGACCGACTAAGTGGCCAAATGTGTCTACTTGGTCGACAGCTGTAACGGAAACGTACGTGGAACCATTGGACAATCCGGATTTGGACAAGGCCAATTCTGCCATCCGTAACATGTCGCCGTCAACAGCAACAACATCGTGTTTGTCACTGATTACGACGCCAACCTAGTGAAGGCGTTCAATATGCAGGGTTGCCTGCAGTATAGTATCAGTACAGCTTGTGGTGGAAGCCAGCTACGTAAGCCACGCGGGATCACCATCGACAGGCACAACAGGATAATCGTCACTGACTTTGGAAACGACCGAGTCATCATATTTGAGCACTGTGGGAGATTCCTCCAGTATCTCATGACACCATCCGACCGAGCGAATGACCCAAAGTTGTGATGATGGACTATCGCAACAATGTCGTCATTGGGAAGAATCCTGAGTTAATCACCGTCGACTACTAAAAGTCATGCGGCTTCAGGTAAATCTAAGTCACATAAATTAAACAACTTAATTTCTAAATTGATGATTTAATTGATGGAAACACTTCACAGAGCAAAAAAACTTAAGGTATTTAATTGAGATAAACAATTCAGTTTTATAAATTCTATTTTTTAATTATTAGTTTGTAATGCGACTAGAAAACTGCAAAATCTCGCAACCGATATAAGTATAACATGTATTAAGGCTACGTCTTTTCTCTAAATTAATTCCCGACTTTGGCAAACTTGATTTTTCAATATACCGATTAATATGATAGAATAACATGCCTGTATTGATATAGTAATATTTTGTTGTTTATATAATACTAAGTATTCATCTTTTTCACTGTTCAACAACTAGTTACTTTGACGGAACGTCAATGTAACAAAATGGATGAACTTCCTGGTTACGAGTTTTCTGTTTTCTCGATTTATAAGTCAAGCTGCAGTCTTTACCCAAAGAACATGTGTTTCATTTTAATAAGTTTCTTCGATTTGGAATTTGTTTTGTAAACGAAGTTGTAATTCATATATTTAGCCTCTCGCTTTTGTTACATTGACGAAGGTCCGTTATATTACCAATGTATGTTACTTTGACGACTTACGTCAATGTAACAAAAGCGGTGGTCTAGATGCATACACTACAGCATTATTTAGAAACCAAATTCCAAGCCGAGGGCAATTCTAAAAGCTAGACTATATTGTCTAGCTTTGTGCCAAATGATAATCCGCAACTTCTACGTAAGTTTAAATCGAGAAAACAAAAAACTCGTATCCAGGAAGTTCATCCATTTTGTTACATTGACGTTCCGTCAAAGTAACTAGTTGTGGAACATTGTTTTTCAGACTATATGAGCAGATGACTTGCACAACTACCAATAGCATAGATGTATCGGAATTGAGCAATAAGATTTGGCATCACAACCACCTTACCACAAAGAGCAGCCTGTTCACAAATTAATGAACAGTTTTGTGCTTCATGCACAATCAGTAACTATTAAACATTTCAATAGACATTTCAATACAACATGCTCCAATGTGCAACATTTAATTATAAAACGATAGACGTTTTTTCATATGTATGTTTATATTTTAGTCTCGCACCAAGACATGATGTACCCCCCCCCCCACCTGGTGATTCGATGTACACGCATTCTATACAAAATTTGTTGAGATTTATCCTAGATGATTTGTCCTAGACAACTGAAAGGTCAAAAACGTGAAAGTTTGCATAAAATGTGCATCTATATTTATTGAAATCCAAAGGTCATTTTGGTATATAAAATGTGAGAGGCATTGTACTCTGTTATTGTACATTATAATGAAACTGTAAATGTCCCAAACGCGTATTGTTCATTTACAATAAATAAGCTTTGTAGTCGTACAGTACTATACAGAAATGTTAATGGCAATATCACGATCCCATAAAATCCTGTGATTCATGCATTGGAAAACAGGAGTTTGACCATGAATTGCTTTTGTATCACGTTGGTGCCCTGAACATCTCCTCCCACGGCCAGATGATAGCCAACAAGACATTAGTGCCTCGGATAAATTATAGAAATATTACGTGCGTTCTGATTGTAATGCCGATTCACTGGTTCATTATTTAAATTATTGTGTTATCTGTACAATAACACCCAGGGACATTTCTGATTCTATAGAGATCCGTGTGATATTTTTCAAAATATCTTATATCAGGCTCATATGGGACTGATATCGTTCATCACCCGCATGTACGGCTGATATCGTTTATTGGCCCCATAACCGTAGAAACGAATTTGAATTTTTCATTTTTTTGATTGTAATCATATAAACCCAATATCCGATCATTTTTATTAATATCATTTTGTTGCCTCGTGGATATCAATTCATGATCGATGAAAGTGATATCACTTAAAATGATCTGATAATCTGTATTTAATTACTTTATAAATTGGGTGGTTGGCTTGGTTCTCAAATCCTCCATTGATTGAAAGATGAAAAAATCATTTCTAGATGTACCCTTTTTCTCTCAATCTTAGTGTCATTAGTGTCGACCGTCATAAGACAGAATAGAATAAGTATTCTACTTTTCTGGTGCTGTGTTCTGAAACATTGCTGATAATTAGAGACGCAGAGAGCATATAACAATGTAAGCTAAAATTGTATGTAATTGTACATGTGAGTTAGTATTTTGGTTTAATTGTTTGAGGAGAAATATTTTGTCGGAAGAAAAAATTATTGTATCCCAATTAGGGTAAGCATAATGACCTTCACAAAATCAAAGGAGAATCGACAACTTAGCAAAATAGATGCCTTTATTTCTTTTGAAATGGTCATTTTTAACTAAATGCTTTCACACCTAATGAATTGTAATTAACCACCAAAGTAAATTTCTAAGGTTTCTCGCCGAATTTCTTCCTACATTGTTTAGAGATGCACGGTTCTTTGTCACATATTCCCAGCCTTTTGTACTTCTTCAGTAGATTTCTGGCGGCCATAGTTTTCTGTAAACAAACACATAAGGGTTATGCTTAATTAATGGCTAAACATGAGGCCTTTGTACACGGAAGTTTGAGATATCTATTTTATCCTTAGGGACATAAACTATGAATGATGTAATCAAAAACACAAGGGCTATTTATTTAGCAGTTATGTCCCTATCATTGAATATATGCCTGAGGTCTGTTATCAATGTAGCCCGAGCTTGTGATTTATTAAGTTAGTTAATTACAATTCTTTGTGTATACTGGCATGTATATTTTTTTTTAAATTGCTTAAAAAAATATTACATATTACGTTTATTTCCATGCCTACGTTATATCACTGACGTCACACGTCACACGTAAAATTTTGAAAAAATGAAAAATGACGTCATTAGATTGTCATGGTAAAAAGTTTGACGGCTATACAGGAATATATAGCCGACCTTCAGCTCCATTGACTTCCAGGGGCGGATCTGGGAACCAACAAGGGGGGCCTAAATTTCAGGTACGAGAAAAAAACGTCCGCTCTTGCGTGGAAAAAATATTTGGGCCCCTAAAACCGAAAAGTGGGCCCAAGTTTTGAAGTTTTGAGGCCCATTTTCTTCAAAATTTGGCCTGAAATTAAAAAATAAGGCCTTACAAGGCCCAGTAATGACCAAAAAGGCCCACTTTTTTGCCCAAAATTTTTGTTGGGCCCAATTTCTTTTTCTGGGCCCACCCAGTCCCCCCCCAGATCCGCCAGTGACTTCCATACAAATGTTTCGCTAGGTATGTAATACAGGGATATATATCTTATCCTATGGGGATATAAATTATGAAATTATGAATTAGATATCGAAGAATATTTATAGAATTTTGGGTGATGACCCTTATATTTTAGAGTCGACAAAGTCTATATACAGGGTGACATAAAAAATGCCACCCACCTTACGTTGAATCACTTGTCAAGTAAAATTTAGAATTGTGCTTTGGTACATTTAAAGTAGACATAATGCAAAAGCAACTCAAGAAATTTCAAATGTGTAGCTCGAGTGAGTCAAATTTTATGAGCGTTACAAGATTTGCTCAGAATATCGCTCATCCCTTTGCAGGCACACCTACTCAAAAATGCCACCTACCTTTTGTAACATAACTCTGTAAATACTAAAGATTTTTACTTGTGCTTTCAGGGAAAAAAACAATCAATCAGTCACAATATGATATAGTTGTCATTGATATAAAATCATTATAACTTTTTTGTTACAAAAGGTGGGTGTTATTTTTGTGTAAATTCCAGGTGTACCTGTAAAGGAATAGACTAAACGTCTTGCAACGCTCATAAATCTGCATTTATTTGAGCTAGTCATCTGAAACTTCTTGTGGAGTTGCACCATGGATGCAAAAGTCATTTTTTCAAGACCCCAAGCGAACTTCCGCCCAGAGTACTATTTTACACTGAACGAATGTTGATCCCCGGGGATATTTCATATATCTCTTATATTAAAATTGATTTATAAAACAGATATTCATAATTTCTATAAAATGATACTCACTCAATTCATCTGTATGGTTTGCAAGATAAATATTTTTCTGCATAGTTTTGAAATTAGATAAAATTAAGAATACATCCTCTCTATAGAGGTTGACAAACGTCCTAGAATCTTAAGTATTTAGTTATGATAGAGTTGTATCGATGCTAGGAGATAAATGTAAGACGTACTTACATTTGTCTGTGGGTCAATAAACTTCATTTTACACCCACAGCAAGATTTATTCAGTACCCCCTTCTTGACACGACACGGCTTTTTGGACAGGCAGGTTGTGGGAGGGGAAGTGGTGGATAGTGATTTGTAAGTGGTAGTGATTGGTGGTGAAGTGGTTTTGGGTGGTGAATCATTGGTTAATGTTGTATCTGCAGCTGGAAACAAAAAACACAATTTTAAGACAATGGTCATCTTTCAGTAACAAAACTTCAAGAATGGGGAATCGAGTTGGCCGTTTGAGAGATAGGTCTAATCCCAAGGTCTAATCGTACTTGTAACCGAATTGGGTCAATTTTTATGTTTTGCAATTAGTAGTAGTATCAATTTATTTTAGAAATATACATGCATCAGTCAATGGATTGCCCTTAAATTAGCTCATTGCATCCAACCACTACGATTGGATTTCATAAAGAAAATACAAGAATCAAATATTTTATCCAGAATCTTATAAAATACTATTGTTCACAAGGACTCTTATTGAAAGCATCATATAACTGAACATGTACTGCCACTCACATGTGGTTGGGTCTGTCACTCGTCCCATGAACATTATTGTACCTGTAGCTTTGTGTCTTATGAGGAATATAAATGGATGGTCTACTCGGATTGCTGGTAGATTCCTATCTATAATGACTGATGTTGCGCCACTCGCCTCCGTACCTCAATAAAAAGAGTACATGCATTTTAATATTGTAGATGTTAGATTATGTCGTATCATGACATTCAATGGTTTACAACCATTTCCAATGTTTTAAGATTCAAGGTGGCATTTCTACAGAATGGCATTTGGTCAATGTAACATGAATGTCAGATTCTAAACTACTTCTGCGTTGAGTATTTCAGGAGATTCAAGAAAATACTTCAATGGGTGTAAAGTCCAATAGAATATAGTCGATATACCTATACTTACCTCCTTCATTGACATCCACTACAGCCTCATGTGCGACCTCACTGACCATCACACCACAGTCACCGCACATAGCACTAAAGTCAGCCCGTCCTGTGAATATATCTTTAATTCCAAGCTTCTTTAGATTGTCGATAAGGGAATATTTTCTTCGGATTGTGAACTTTGGGAGCCAAATGTGTACAATCCATTCGTCCATCGCCTCTATGGCTGCGTTGAGGTTATCCACCGTAAGGCTTGATTCCAGTTTCGATAGACCATTGTAATGCCATGGAAGAAGTATCAACATACTGAATTCTTCACCTTGGTAATTTAACTCGACTAAGTCACTTTGGAGAGTATTGCTAGCGCCGTATTGGAACGTTGATTTGTTGTACATTGTGTCAACCAGTTTCACTCCATCTAGTCCAAAAAATGTTGACTTACTTGTTAATTCTTTATTAAAAGGTGTCGCCCATGGTGCATTGAAGTAGATTGTGTTTACAATAACCATTACTGTGTCACGAGATATGGTTCCTGGGGCAAGAAGATCAGTAATTCTGTTGTTAGTTTTCTTGGCCACCCACAAGTTGATGAATTTCCTAGCATTTTCTGTTTTATTTGAGAAGCCTACCTCTTTCAGAATTCTCCCATAGTAATTTTCCACTTGTCGCATGTATCTTAACAAAATTGTAAATTGTTCATCTGGGAAGAGGCCATTAGCGATAGTCAGTTTGTAGTCTTCATTGTCTTCTGCGAGGTCATCAAGGAGACGTGCGAGGGTAGCATGTACGTCACCAACAAAATCATCCGTTAAAACTTTTCTGATCTGGGCTGTTGAATTACCACTTGTTCCAAAGGATGTTACGATAAGTGCCGCTGCAATACTGAGCGGACTGAAGAAAATATTATCAGTGTCTGAACTAGTGTCGGGATAACTGCTTAGGAGTGTTTTGTACAGTTCAATCGAGAATTTGTTTATACTCTGTCCAAATTCTTCAGTTTTATTGCCAGGTGCTGCTTGAACTGTTTTTCCAGGTTCACTTACTGATCTTTCAATATTTGCAAGTAAAACTAGTAGTGCCATTACATGAACATGCTGCAAACATTTGAAATATTTTCCCATTTTATTGTTGCTTAATTATAATCCAGATGTGATGATTTTCCCATACACATACTGCATGAGTCCATTCTGGCTTTTATGGGAGTCTTTATTGCGATCCCTTGTAAAAAATCTGGTAATTATCATTCACAATTTGCCTCGATTATTCATCATTTTGCTATAGAAAATGAACATATCATATAAATAATAGTTTCATACTTGATGAGTAAATACATTTCTTGCTCTACTCCTTGCTTTATCCCCTCCTTTCTGTCACATCGAGGAATGAAAAGTATGAACAAAGTGATATTTTATGCCAAAGTGCACTTTTATATTGCATGCATGATTTGACATTCACATACCTTTCATCATTACTTTAACCATTATTGACACTATTATTTTATTCCTTAAAAAGATAAACATATTTAATGCATTATATTATTCATGGTTATCATGATAAATCAATGCATAACTCACTTTGTATTTATATTTCGATTTGAACTTATTTGTTTAATTTTTCACAAGTTCATGTATAAATATACATCTCAGTTCATCAATTCTGAATTAATGCAAGGGTAATGTTTTATTTTATGTTGTTTAAATATGTAAAGCTTTTTTGTAATACAATGCAAATACAATTATTTCAGGATTATTGAAATACATAGCAATGATATAAACTACTGATTGAGCATCTACATTTCAAAATAATCCCTGTGTAACCCCCCTATCACACCAAACTAGTTCTTACCCGTTCTTGCCAGTCCCCGAACCGGTCCGTCTTCTCGCTGCAAGCAGGATGAAATTCTTTGTCACAAAGTTTGGCATTTTTTATAAAATCAAACGCGCGTCATTGAAACTCACAAGATGTAAATAGCATGTCATTTACATCATACCTTGATGGGGAAAAATAGATCTTATATGCTAGAAGTACTAAATAAAAGTTATCGTGAAAATGAGACGGTCGTTCTCGAGAGAAAAGAGCATAAATGCGCATTTAGAGAGTTTTGGTCCGTTTAAAAATCTGTAAAAAATTGGGGTACTTAAAAGCATCGGGAGGCATCATATATTTCAAATTAGACACGAGGAAGTTAATATTGAGCAAGTTATGGCTATTTTAAATTCAAATAAAACCGTTAACCCGTACCGGTCCAGCTTTTGACCCGTACCGGTCAATTTTCGTTAGCTGCGTATACCAAGGGTGCCCTTATAAAGTCATAAAGCTTCTCATCTTTCTGAATAGGCGCCATATTTAGATTGAATGAGACTACGCATCTTCATCAAGATGATTTTAAATTGCTTTTGAATATAGATGGCGAATACGGTCGGTCGAAACAAAAATGAAGGAATCACATGATTGTATGAACATCTTCGCCATTGATCATTTGACTAAATGATTTACTTCTTCAATATTTCGATTATTCATGTTAATATTTTTTCAAACAAAATTACTTGCTTGAAAGAGATTCTCGTATAATAAATCGAAGTATTGCAAAACCAATTCATTTTGTTATTAAAACATAAAGACAACTAATTTTCGTATGACATTTTAAAAACTAAATAAAAAATTGAAAGATCAAAAATAAAGTAGTTGAATAATTTCCAGATCATGACAGGAAAATGGATAGAAAGGATCTGAAAACGGTATTTTTTCACTTAGGTCCTATTGACCACTATTAGGTACTGTTAACCGCTACTTTTGAAAAAATAAGTTTCATGACGTCATAATGTTTACAGAAAAAACATGGTGGACGAACATTTTGTAAACGTTGATGAAAGTGATATTTTGACTTTACAAGACGACAAGTATAGCAAAAATACAAATAAAAACGTAAAATTAACAACAATTTACTAATGAGTACGCATTGCTGGCGTGGTTCGGAGAAAAGATTGTGAAATGAAGCCATGCCGATTGATGATTGTCGTCTATACGAGGGGTGATCAATAAGTAATGGACGCTTTTTTACACAGATGCTTTTTATAGACCAATCCCTTCGATTTTCTCACCAGTGATACATCATTCAATTATCTATCAACTCTGAAGATTTGAAAACAAAACATGTGATATCTTTTGATATATCTTTATTTCCGTGAAGGATGTATAGGTACCCCGGGACCGACATTTACGTCAAATATTCTGAAGCTATTTTAGCTTGTTTAACATGCAATGCAGTTGAATGCAGGCTGAACAAAACAAACCATTATGGTCATGAATTACCCCATTTTGTTATGCCAAAGTTGATCTTGAATATTTCATCACTATGTGGTATTCATGCAAATTCATTCTACAGGGCCCTCTACATAGGTTCCATCAAGTGCTACATGTACACAATTCCTCATCGTCTTAATTCAAGATTGTGAGACAAGGCTGTATCCATTCTCTGACATGGTAGCAAGATGCAGTTGCACGGGTTGTTTTATTTCATCAATATCAATAAACATGCATCCTTTCTCTATAGAAATAAGTAGTATAGAAATAAATAAGTCACATGTGAGCAGATCTGGACAATATGGTGCATTGGCCAAGGGCTCAATTTTGAGGTCCAGGGATATTGAACATTTTGAGATCTGTGGGTAGGTGCATTGTCCATATGGAGTAGGGTGTTCCCTTATCTCACCACCCCTTTCTTCCACAATGCTTTCTCAAATTGACCTACAAACCCCTTCCATATTACACTCTGACATCACAATGCTTTCAGTTTATGTGTTGATCAGTCAGCAAAGTATTTCAAACAACACAACCTATGTTGCATATGAAAAGTTTAAATCTAACTAAAATTTGCCAAACTGGCTGAAAACTGAATATGTGACGTAAATGTCGGTCCCGGGGTATCTGTACCTTCTTCACGGAAATAAAGATATATCAACATATATTTTATATTTTGTCTTCAAATCCTCAGAAATGATAGATAATTGAATGATGTACCACTGGTAGGAAAATCAAAGGGATTAGTCTATAAAAAGGATCTGTGTAAAAAAGCGTCCATTACTTATTGATCACCCCTCGTATGTGTATTATTAGTTTCTTCGGACTAACAAAACAATTGTAGACCTCCCCATTCGGTCAACCGTCAAAATCATATACCTCGACTGTAAACCTTCGGTCTCTGTCAACAGCAGTTTCTCGGTTTATAGTCTCGGTATACAATTTTGCCGGTTGACCTCTGGAGAGGTCAACAATTGTATATTACTACCTTTATGACAATCTGCAGACATTGAAATGGACAGAAACTTGCTTTTGCTTTTTTCCTGAATGAAACCTGAACAAATACTTGAACAATTCTTAATTTATTATATTCTGACTTAATATATCTTGAGCATTTGAAATAGTCTAACCTTAAGACTGTGTACCCCCTCTGTGTACTTCACCTTCCCAACTGCGTTATGTTGGGCCGATGAAGCACATAGGGTAAAGTGGTACACATAAGGGATGGGGTAAAGTGGTACACATAGGAGATGGGGTAAAGTGGTACACATAGGGGATGGGGTAAAGTGGTACACATAGGAGATGGGGTAAAGTGGTACACATAGGGGATGGGGTAAAGTGGTACACATAGGGGATGGGGTAAAGTGGTACACATAGGGGATGGGGTAAAGTGGTACACATAGGGGATGGGGTAAAGTGGTACACATAGGAGATGGGGTAAAGTGGTACACATAGGGGATGGGGTAAAGTGGTACACATAGGGGATGGGGTAAAGTGGTACACATAGGGGATGGGGTAAAGTGGTACACACAGGGGATGGGGTAAAGTGGTACACATAGGGGATGGGGTAAAGTGGTACACACAGGGGATGGGGTAAAGTGATACACATAGGGGATGGGGTAAAGTGGTACACAGTCTTGAGACAAGATTTCATTTGAAGGTCATTTGAGAAGCTGACTCTTACACGTCATACCAATTAATGCTTGAGTGTGACTAGTTGTGAATTTACATGGTGGGCCAAAAACGTCCACATTTTGGGGTATTTTGCTATAACTGTAAACATTTCCGGAGAGATGCAACATTCATTTGACATACAATTGTTTTTGAAATTGCAAAAATAAATCTCTAGGTGTATATTAATGAGAACTATTTATATTCTTAGGCGTGGGAAAGCGAGACAAAAAATGTTGACGTTTCTGACACACCCCTTAGTTTCCTTTGTATAACTAATGGTGACATAACGTCTGAAAGAAAAGATTAACAATAGCATCATAATAGTCATGTTCGTAGTGAATTCCATCCTTATTCAAAAATGGTACTCTTTTGCTGATGTCCATCAACCCATAAAAAGCTTTGAACTTCCCCGAGGAAAAATAACTCATCAATTTTTCTTTCGAATTTTCATAAAGGTTATAATTTTTATGTTGCTGGTGGTATTTCTGATATCTTTCGATTGTTTTTTCAGTATGGATAAATGTAGGTTCGAACCATATGATTTTTGTGTTCCTATGGTGAAGTGTGCCTTGTTTCACGACATCCATGAACCAGGCGAGGGTACGTTCAAAACTTGCCACGTTCCTTTTTGTCATATCATGGAAATTCCCAACTATTATGATTATTTTGGGGTATGTAGTTGATGTTTTTAGCGGTAGATATTCATTGAATATGAACTCCTGAGTCGTCAATGATGTACCACAAGCAACATCCCAGTTTCTGAACTGATACAAGGTATCATCGCAATTTTTAAGAACACTGTTTCGTTGAGTTGTCACTACCGAATCCATAAAATGCTCCATGGATATATACTCTAAATAAGTCGTCTTTGACCTAATACCATCCGTAACTTGGCATTCGTAGTATGCCGAAGTGCATGTTGAGCATTCGCCCCTCTTGATAGACACGTACGGGATGTCGTCGAAATAGTCAGTTTGTTGGTCATGAGATGGTTCATCCTTTAGCACTTCACAACTGCCGTAATCTTGTAATTGTGCAAGGATTGCATCTGTATACTTTTTAGCTGTAGAGTCACCCAAAACTAAAACACTGTTTACATTATTCCGTTGCAGGCATTCGGGTAAGCTGAATCTACTTGGTACTTCGCAGCCAGTCGGTGTCCACTTTGTGTGGCCCCATGCCCCATTTGAAAAATACTGGCCAGATTTTAAGGCCTTCTTCGTCAAAAAATCGAACGTACAATTAGGGGTTTTGTACCTTGTTTTGACATGTCTATATGTGTCATCTAGTAAGCTGTTTATATCAAATAGTTCTCCAGTGATTAATCCAATAAAGAAAAACAGTAAGAAATGGATTGAGAACCACGTTTTGGGTTTACTCCACATGTTCCCATAAACGCTACCTGAGTATGTGGTTTTACCGTCGATTGGGCGATTTCCTTCTGATATATAATTCATTATATGTAAATACCGCTTCGTGTTGACAACGTGTTCGAATGATATCAATACTGTGCCTGCCTCCATGCGTGGATAAACTGTAAAAAGAAAATACAGACATAAACGTACTACTACATGAAGACTGAATCTAACACCCTTTATGTTTCTTTACGCTGTACCCAATGGCTTGGTTTTTATGAATACACCTTGACATGAAATAAGTATTAGTGTGCCCATAGCGCCACGTCTATACCAGTTTCTGCACCAGTAGTTTACAATAGGGGTATACAATTTTCCCAGTCGACCGGTTAGTTACTTCTAATAGCCTATTTCGAATAAAATCAGCAAATAATTTATGTCAAAAGCCTACATCAACAAATCAATACGATCGATATCTAGTTTCAATAGTGTTTTGATGAAAATTGAACCTTATTAGTATTTTTGACCGATACGTAATTGCGTACTTACTCTGTATCGACACATGCAGCACCCTCTCACTGACGAAGATTCTAAAATCGTCGCTTTTCCCATATCCTTCTCAGCCTTTATACAGCATTTGTGGTCAGGGTATCCAATTCGAGTAAGCGTGTTTTAACCGTAGATTCTATTTCCTTCTGAATGATATAATCCTTTAGAAAGCTTCGTGTTCGGTACAGCTTAAAATGTTTGTCTTAGATATTAAGTCAATTGCTTGTTGGCATATTTTCGTTGATTGCTAAGGTTTTATTGACCGCGCATGTTGTACCTATAAGAACCCACCTATTTTACAATATGAAAATCAATCAAAAGGAGGTTAAATTTCCATTTTAGATTTAATTGGAAAGGACTGGGAAACGAGATTTCACTATGTGCGTGTTCATGTCTTGGGTGGATTCACCATGGGCAGAGCCCATGGTGGTAAAGCCCATGGATTCACGGACCCCTCGATCTAGGGCATGGAGATTCAGGTTTAAATCTACGTACAAGCAATATCGCCATTAGATTTTGGGAATTAGGCTGAAAATTAGGTTTCAGTTACCATTATGTTCCTAACTCATTCTTATACTCATAGCATCTTTCTGTTTCACTTGAAACATCTCAGGGCTGAGAAGAAATGAGATGTCACGGTTTATCACTATGTTCCTAACTCAGTAATTGTCATTCTTTAAATCTGTTGTTTATCTTGTATTACATATATAAAATCATTGTAATATTATATGACATAAGGGTATTGATTTGGCCGTTCAAAATGAAATCTCACCGTACATAAAACACAACATATCCGAATATGGAATGTTTTCTGCTTCATTATTCGTATTTTACAATATGTAATCGTATATTGAACTTTTGAATTTGTTAAAAGCACATTTATGTTCGTAACTTGAGTATTTTTATTCATTGTTTGTATTTTCTGGTCGTTAATCTAATTTGTTTCGTTAAAACGTATATGTCATTGATTGTATGTACATGTTTTATACTGAAATACATTTAAAAGTCCTCAAAAGCATTTGTAAGTGACACATTGTATATCCGTATTCAAATAAAGGATAGATATCGATATGGAGAACTGAATTCAACAATGTTTTTCTCTAAAACCAATCATTGAAAACATTTGATGTAAAAAACACGGTATTTTATGTAATGTTAAAAAAAATTGTTTTTTAGTGCAATTGTTTTTGCTCCTTTCTACCAATTCTTGAGAATGAAATAACATGTCTTTCCGAACCTTGTTGGAACAAAATAGCATGTTTTTAGACCTCTCAATATTATATCATACAAAGGAATTTTTGGTTGATTTAAAAAAAGTATTCAAAAAAATTAAAACAAAATCCCCCAAAAGAGATAAAAATCAAGATAAACCTTTTTTATTCCATAGTTAGCATGATATTCATAGGATAACATGTCAAAAGTTTTGTAATCAGTGGTAAAATATGATACTTTTGACAAAATTTCACTTAACCATAGTATACGGTGTTTTGGCCATGACATACGGTGCCGTATGCTATGAATTATGGCTTTTTGCTACTTCAGACTCAAAACGAGGTTAAGTGTCAATATCGCCGGATCTCTTGGAAAATGGATGATACTCTCGCTCGTGCAGATATCATCCATTCGTGGATAAAAATCATATCACTCATAAATCATAGGATATCCTCAGCTCTATGTATCATTAACAAGATACTTTTTTAAATCAACCAAAATTTCCTTTGTACAATTACAATATTGAGAGACCTAAACATGTTGTGTTTATGTCAATTTGTTCCAATGAGGTTCGGAAAGATGTTTCGTGTCACTCTGGAAAGATGATACCAAGAACAAAACAAGTGTTTGATGTGTTTTCTAAAACAATATAGATGAAAGTATATATATGTTTTTCAAATTATATTGTTACCATTCAAAAGATGACCATTAAATTGACGATGTGTTAGATTTTTTAAATTTTTTTATGACTGGTTTAAGAGAAACGTGTGTTCAAAAAGTTCTCCATATCGATACCACTCCTTTAAGTTCATTTTGTACTTTTATCGTCGTTTTTGCAAATATATTAGTTTACTATCTACGAACTGAATGTCAAATTTATCAATGAATGTACTTGCCTTGGCATTTCATTTTTTAATTGTCGAATTTATTTTCGTAACAAGGTAATATGTTTCCGTAAAAGTGCACATTTACTGTTCGTAAATATTGTCATTTGTATTCGTAAATTGCACTTATATATTTGCTTTTCATTGATTCATTGAGATCACGTGATCATTCTCAACGAGACATGGTCAAGACATGGTCGAAGTCATTACCCCCTCCCTCTCACACACCTAAAACTCTCGTGTCATGTGACCTACGCCTCGAGCCTTGTAGTTTATATTCGTTAACTCACATTTGTATTCGTAAACTCTAATTTATATTCGTAAAGTTTCATTTTATTATTCGTTAATGTACAAATATTTCTTTGCTTTCTGCAATAATTCATGGGTAATATGCAAGATCATTATTCGTAAAAATACATTTCTGCGATAAAATAACAGGCAACTTATTTCACGCGGTCCTAACATCGACCGTTAATTTGAATTTTTGACCCACCGGATGTTTGAAAATCAAGGATTACAAGTCTCATACTGCACCGTTTTTCTTCAAACTTAACTTGTTCCATTCAAAGCATAACACAAATCCTTTTCTGATGGTACATTATTCTTTTCAACAGAGTCCCTACTTCCAGCGGCATTTTGGTCCCTAGCTGTAAGAAGGCCTTCTAACAGCTGGGGACCAGAACGCTGCTAGAACAAGGGACTCTTTACAATAAAGTAATGCACCGACAGAAAGGCAATTTTGTTCTGCTCTTAATGGTATAAGTTTGAAGAACGGTGCAGTATGAGACTCGCAATCCTTGATTTTCAAGCACCTGGTAGGTCAACAATTCAAATTAACGGTCGAAGTTAGGACCGCGTGTATTTGAAATTTACGAATTATAAAATGTAGTTGGCGAATAATAAATTGTTAGTTTCAAATATTTCCAGTCCTTACAAACATAAAATGCACCCGATTTTAGGATCTATTTCTTTATATGATACAGCATTTAGACATTTTATTTGTAAATGTTACATTAATATTCGTATAAGGGAATTTATTACAAACGAATAATGAAGCAGTTCCCAAGTTCAGTTCAGGATGATAACCCCACACATTTCAAAATAATTCTCGTTAGAAAGTCGATTTTATCATAGTATTAGCAGTGACATCTATTGAGCAATGGGCGGTAAATTTTTGAATAACCGTCTCTAAATTGTTTATTCAATGCTCCGTATAGTATAGGATTTATACCCGAATTCAGGTATCCCAGCAACTGGGTCAGCAAAGCAACACTTCTCGGGGTTGATTGATTTGAAAAGACACTGTAAAACATTTCTATACAATATGGAAGCCAGCAGATGATAAATACAAACACAACTACAACCAAAGACAACGTGAATCGTATTTCTTCTCGTTTCTTTTTGACTTTTTTCTTGGTCCTGTGTTGCATGATCTCGAGTCCGGGGATTCTTGGGTCACAGGGAGTCAAAGATTCTTTCGGCATACTGTTAACATCCTTTGTATTTATTTCATTCTCCATGACAGTTATTTCATCATGGTGTACACTTGGTAGCGTATCATGGTTCACTGGAAAGGTCAAATGGTTAGTCAGGTTGGGCATCTCCAGAATGGATATCTGTTTTGTGTTAGTATCCATTGCTTCTATGCGCTGCCTGCTTTTTTTTACAGTCCATAATACCCGGATGTAGCAGCAAGACATAACAATGCAAGGGAGACCGAAGCATGCGCCAACCATGAAGAATGTGTATGAAACACTAGCTGTCCACAGACAAAAACAGACGCTCTGTCGAGGCCGATATCCATACTCAGCCCAGCCAAACAGCGGAGGGGAGGCGAGCAGTAGAGAGAATACCCACACACCTGTAATGTAGTAATGGAATGAGATTGGTATCACGCAAATCATAAATGTGATTTTGTGAAACACACAAAATAAACACAGACAACAATTGAAATATCTCGGTTTAACTACAAGTATTTATGAGTTGTCTCAGATTTATACTCGATCGTGGACAGTGGGCACTATGGTCCTAAAATGGTCCATTGACTCGTCAGCTAAACGGGTGGCTAAATCATTTTACAGATTGATATAGAAAATTAAGGTCATTATTCACTGGCAGATCCAGGGGCCCATGGCCCAAAAATATTGGGTCCAATTTTGGGATTTAGGGGCGGACATTTTCTATGATTTGAAATGTGCCCCCCCCCCTTTGTTAGCTTCTGGATCCGCCAGTGCTATTCCAACAGGTAATATTAATATGGTATATCCACGCCATGATGTGCATCATCAATCGTCATATTTCCAGATATTTGATAGCATTCATTGTATTAATAACACCCTATATATCACTTTTATATATCAGAAGTCAAACTGTATACTGTTTTAATCTGGTGGATATATCAACAATACAGTATAATATCCGCCAATTATGCCTACAAATAAGATAAGAAAATGTGTATTTATGAGATTATCTTGCGAGGCACAACGTTATTTTGAGTTGCGCCGCGGTATAACTTTAAAGGAATCCTGAGCTTGGTGCAGAAAGTCACTTTTATTTGCTAATTTCTCCAGCCCCCATGTTATTTCAATGGGAGTTTTTATCAAAAATTGATAAAAGTTTCGCTAATTTCGATTTTGTCTAAATCTGAAAAACAATTTGCTTTTATCAAAACTATTGGTAAAAATTTTGGGTGGGAAGTCGATGTGAAGACAAAAGTGCACAAGTTAAATTAGCTGAAATTGATAATATCAGCTAAGAGTGATAAATTTGATAATTATCGAAACTATCGCTTTTATCGCTAAAAATTTTTGGGTCTGGCGCTTTTATCGCTAAAAAATTTTGGGTCTGGAGGTGATGTTCAGAGAAAATGGCACTAGGTAAATTAGCATTGGCTGATAATATCAGCTAAAAGTGATAAATTTGATAATTATCAAAACTATCACTTTTATAGCTAAAAATTTTTGGGTCTGGAGCTTTTATTGCCAAAAAATTTTGGGCCTGGAGGTGATGTTCAGAGAAAATGGCACCAGGTAAATTAGCATTAGCTGATAATATCAGCTAAAAGTGATAATTATTGAAAGTATTGCTTTTATAAAAATTGGGCCTGAAGCTTTTATCGCTAAAAAATTTTGTGTCTGGGGGTGATGTTCATAGAAAATGGCACCAGGGAAATTAGCATTAGCTGATAATATCAGCTAAAAGTGATAAATTTGATAATTATCAAAACTATCTCTTTTATCGCTAAAAAAATTTGGGTCTCGAGCTTTTATCGCTAAAAAATTTTGGGTCTGGAGGTGATGTTCATAGAAAATAGCACCAGGTAAATTAGCATTAGCTGATAATATCAGCTAAAAGTGATAAATTTGATAATTATCAAAACTATCGCTTTTATCGCTAAAAAAATGTTGGGTCTGGAGTCAATGTTACGAAGAAAAGGGCATAAGTGAAATTAGCATTAGCTGATATTATCAGCTAAAATTGATAATTATCAAATTTATCTGATATTATCAGCTAATGCTAATTTCATGTCTGCCATGTATCAAAATTATCAAATTTATCAATAATTGATATTTATCAAATTTATTGATGATATAAAATTTATCGATAATTGATAATTATCAAATTTATCGCTAATTGATAAAAGTGAAAGGCACATATGGAATTAGCATTAGCTGATAATATCAGCTAAAATTGATAATTATCAAATTTATCGCTAATTGATAAAAATTATCGATAAATGAAAATTATCAAATTTATCGCTAATTGATAAAAGTGAAAGGCACATATGAAATTAGCATTAGCTGATAATATCAGCTAAAATTGATATTTATCTTTATCGCTAATTGATAAAAATTATCGATAAATGATAATTATCAAATTTATCGCTAATTGATAAAAATGAGTTTCCGCACCTAAATGGGAATCCTATGGCCAAATACTTACAGTTGTTAAACATATCAATTTGGTATACATTTGGTCTGTATGTCAGTCCGTCTGTCTGTCTTTCAACACATTAGTGACACATTTAATTGTAATTATCTTCTGTGATAATTCAGATGATTTTATTTTAAAATTTTATATGTATATAAAGTCTTCAATTGTTCCATAAGTCGCGTCCTAAAAGTTCATCTCGTTTCAAAATAGCGGCTATTTTGATTGTAATGTCATTACATTTTGATTGCTCAAAAATCATGTTGTTGACCCTTTTGATAAATCTACCTTATTTTACTAAGCTTAACAATAATGCCAACATTTTTTGGCAAAATAGGTAGCAAAGATCCAAAATGGCCACCTTTTTATCTTCGAAATATCCCAAAACCAGGTTTCAGCTATTTTGGAAAATATGAAATGATGTAATATCAACAATCAGATCAAAAATCACGTAAAAATCACATTCGTCCCAAATTAAATTAATCGTAATACTCGTATGATATAGAAGGTAAGATATTATCCTATTTTTTCAAGTATACCCACAAATAATTAAATGATATTGTATTATTTTGTATTGTAGCCTATATACTAATAGCATTGATAATTTCCGAACTGTACTGTACTGGTGAAGCCTTTTTGGAAATTGTCATTATCATTTAATCCTATGTGTCAATTTTGCATTACTCCTACAGAATTAGTATTTATTGGAAAGGAGTGAAGGATAAACATGATTTTCGAGATCTCTCAGAATTTCAGCTTTAATCCATTGTTTAACAAAAACAGAGAAAATATGTAGATATTAGATAGATATTAGCCTACGAGTATAGTACTCTTTAAATTAATTTAATTATAACATGACATCCTGGATCGATTCCTTTCAACGCAATTTGTTCGATGAACATTGTTACCAAGGAGGATTGGGTCCAAGAATGCAGTCTCGATATTTTCCAACAATGAATCCGATCTTGAAGAATGTCGTAATTTTCACTTCAAATTTTGAATCGCGAGTTTTGGTCTTATTACATGACAAAAAATCAAAACACATAAAAAGTGATAAAAAATTAGCTCGAATCTTTTGGATTGATGGATTTATAATCAATTTAATGGGAGAAAATAACAACATCTTTACATTTTCATTGTTGGAATTGGAAAAATATTGAGATTGCATCCTGGGAGCCAACCCTCCTTTTCGGTAAATAAAAGATCTTATAAGATCTCACGTATTACCGTTTTTGTTTAACCCAATGTTGAGTTTCACAATAACCTTTGGCTTTGTATTCTTATATTTCTGAAAGCGTTTATTATTTTACCGGACATGGGATTATAGATTTGCATCATGACATCGTGTCTCACCTTATTCAAATATTCACAAGATTGCTGGACACTCAAAGAGAAACACAGGAAGCAAATAGCAGATGAATCCTGTGATCACTGGAACAGGATCAGTAGAACGTAACGACCGTTACTTTCGCTTTCAAATGCGGACTGTAAATGTAGATTTCGATGTGGTTAGTTTTTATGAAATTAAACCACTTTGGGGTGAACATTCGGCTTTGACATTTCGAGAATGCCAAGTTTGTATGGTCATTTAACTCAGTAACATGATAAATTGTTCCAATATCTCGCGAGGGTGTCAAATCTAGTGAATTCTTGAATAATGTGAGACGTACGGTGTCATAATGCAAATATAAATTAATTTATGATAATTTCAGCCTTAAATAGGCATTTTGTCCAAAATGCCTTAAAAATGAATTAGTATTCAACTTTTTGATACAGACTTCACGACATTATTTTAGGCTATATCAGTATATTACCAATACCTATCAAAATGGTAAAATAACTCAATGATATTGCAATTGTTAATCAATTTTCTTTCATTTGATACATAATCAATTTGCAAAAGTAATTCAAACACAGGACTGTACTAGGGGTGATTTAATGCACTTTGTTATGGTTTCTATCCCGTAAATCGAGACCATCGGGGCGAGAATTAAGACTCGTTTACAAAACACTCAGATATCATTTAGACTTGGACGTGAATCCTTTTTGTCTATCACAAAATGAAATGAAGATTCTATAAGTGACCATAACACATGAAGTAGAACTGACATACAATTGTTCGCATTTGCATAAAACTAAATATATTTCTTTTTTCCTCACCTATGATCATGATTGCCGTGGATTTCTTTTTCTGTTGAAATTTTGCAACATGGCAGATAATGTTGTAACGGTCCACACTGATTGCAGCCAATGAAAGAACGCTTGCAATAAGCAAAGTCATCCCAATGAACCCTGTCGCAACGCATGCCTCATTTGAAAACATCCAATCTCCGGTTGCTATGGTAACGATCATCATCGGCATGTTGAACGTAGCAACTAAAATGTCTGCGGTTGCTAGGCAAAGTACCAGGGAATTGGAAGCTCTTCTCAAATCCATTGTTTTAATTACTACTAAACACACTGAAACGTTCCCCATTAAAGCTATTAATGATATTACTGATAGGATTATCACCTCTATTGTCCGCTCGAGCGACGAGTCATTAAGATTTGTAGCTGTAGAATTATCGCTTTTAATTTCTGATAATTGACTTTCGGTACTTAGATTCCATGGAGTTGTGTACATCGTATTATTCCCGATTAACCAAGTAAAATTTGATAATGAATGAAAAATTCAAACAGCATCAGATTATGAATAAATATCCTAAATCCTCTACCATCTACAATCCTATTATACGGTTATGTTAGGATTCCAAACAGCATTGCATTCCAGCCGAAATTACTAGATTCCGTATAAATCATCAATAAATCTGCTGTATCATGTATTTGTTTCCGAATGGTATAATTTCACGTCATGCTTTTAGTATTTTACGTCTACATTGTCTCGCTAACTAAATGTCAAGAATAAAAATATACTTTATTTTGCTATTTTGTTCTTGATTCGAACGTGTTTATATCAGTTTGTGTAAAATCATACATAGCTTGATATATTCGATATCTGTATTATATTATATTCTACATGGATCTTGTCGCTAAATTAATACGTTTTATCCGTCGCTATTACCTTCATAGAATGACTTTACCAGCGGCATCGCATGGACTGTTATAATACTGTACCGTATTGTATCTCACTTTGTTGTCAATATTTTCATTAAATGTCCCTTTAACACCCCATTGGTATAATTGTCTCCATTTCTCGAGATCTCGTGTTTGTCAGCAATCGAAACTTCCCCTTTGTTATTGTTATTGTTTTTTCAATCCAAATATTCGTAGATCTTGTTGGTTAAAGGCCCACTTCGCGTATTTTCAATGTTTTTGGGTAATACTGGTTTTTGACTTTGCATGTTATTTTAGAACGTTTTAATTTATTTGCAGTCATTTGATTTCTTAGTTTCTTCGATAATATGACGAGGTTCAAAACATATACCTGACAACTAGGACATTTTGCGCATCTCTCTGTTTCTAGTGTTTTTGATAGCAGAATCGTGCACAGAGCTCATAATTGTACATTATTTTTTGGAATGCAAAAATATCATATCATTCATTATATGATGTGATATGTGTCCCATTCCAGCCAATCGGGACAGAGTTTGCACATAATGAACAGTGTGTGAAATATCAATAACGCATTTGTTGTGTTCAGTTGCCAAGCGATTGAGATTAAAATTGAGATTTCCTATACTTGACCCTTGCAAAAAGTTTCGCTAAAAATATGTTCTTTTGTGATTTTGTATCTTTTAGGTGATTTTATAGAATCTATTTTGCAATGTGTGAAAAGAATTTAAGCCCAAGACTCAATGCATATTTGCTGCTTCATTCCACTCAGATATTGTTTCCTAGACTTTGCATTCCCCCTGCGGGGCCATACATAGATTTTGAAACAACATCTTTGTGGAATGATGAAACACACAATGCACTGAGTCCAAAGCTTAAATCCTTAAATAATATCATATCATATTATTTTTATTAAAATTTTGTGAGAAATGGCATTTTTGATAGAGTTAGAATCCTAGATTTGGAAAATGGTACTTATAGCAATGTTTGTTTAGCACACGAACATGTCGAGTCATATTAGGGAGTTTACCTTGTATACAAAATCGAAACGCCAACCTATATCGTATGATCAATCGCCCATACAAATGCATCGTTAAAATATTTCCCGTTCACGTTTGGGTTGTGAATAACATTGCAAACTTAAACTTCCTAATGGAACATTTAAAGGCCCACTTTGCGAATTTTCAACATTTTTGGGCAAAATAAAATATACATTTAAATTTCATAGTATGTCAATTGTATTGATAAGAACATTATCTTTCATTTGACACCAACAACAGCTCAAACGGACCACGTGAAAGCTTACAATAAATTATCAAAAAATATCTTCGATCTGTCAAGTTTTATATTTCAATGTTATGTGAATTTATGTGAAGTGAGTTATTTTTTTCTTGGTTCAATAACAAAGCAAATCAAACTTGGTGTCATATTTGAGCAAGTGTGTGAGTAATATGTTTCAATGATCTTTTTCTAAATTAAGTATAGTGGGCCTTTAAATGCCAGTTCCGTTCAAGGCTATCATTTTGCAAATGAGAAGTACCAGTTGTCTATCTTTAAGCAGCTGTCACATTAGCCATGTGGATTCACGCAGCTGTCACATTAGCCATGTGGATTCACGCAGCTGTCACATTAGCCATGTGGTTTCACAGTTTGCCACCGCGTGGCTAGTTTCGGGCATTCATTTTTCAATTAATTCATCAATTTTTGCATTTGGTATGATTAAGGATATCTTGTTGTAAAACTAGCTTTTGCCCACCGTGTATCAATGTCGTTCCACGTCGTCTGTCCAAAAGAATTCTGAGAATATTAAGTTGGACTAGTTTATAGAGTCAGTTTATAGAGATCGTAAGATTATAACCTGATCGGTAGGATACAATGATATCGTGTATGTATTTATAATGAATACATTCTTCTTGTAATTAACAGAATAATAGAAAACCAATCCAGATCGAGATCGAGATATTTCATTCAGGAACTTATTAATTCTTAATCCACGTCCCTTCTACGAAATTGTTAAATAATTGTTATATTATTCCCCTCCATTGAAAATAGCAAATTACTCGGCAGACCTGTACAAAGAAAGCAGTTACTTCTTTTGTTGTAACCTCTAATTAATTGAATTGATCAAATAGCGCGCGGTTAATAAGTCAATACCCCGAAATGCATTGCGGTTATTGATAAGTTCCTGTTAATCCCGATAAGTTGTCTTGGTTACAGTGTCTGTCAGCAACAAGTTTAACCGCCATCCTCTGGACAATCATGATCAGACCGATAGCCTGGTGGTTTTGGAGGATAACGCTAGATCTAAGTAAGAAATCAGAGAAAAGAGATCGAATTGAGTCTTAAAACAGCAGATATATGAGATATATCATCTTGTTTGAGTCATTTTTATGTTACCACCAAAAGTGGTGACATATTTATGCTATGGTCTCCATTTTTGTAACGTTGGTTGGTGTCCGGCGTCTGTAACAAATGGCATGTGGTGAACTTTTGCATGTCACTGCCTTGTTTTATCTACAGGGTGGTCCAAAAATTGTTTCCATTTTTGGCAGAGAAGCATTTTTTATTAAAATGAGTGGACACGGATACTGCCATCTATTAGCAGAATGGAATAACACTTATGGCTTCAATACTTCACTCGAACACCTCTCGTTACTTCCCTGCCTGGAGACAGGCTCATCTCCCGTCTTCTCGCTCATCTTCTCTTAAAGAAGGGTCTAGCTAACATTCCCAAACTACTGATGCGCTCAGAAATAACATTCGAACGAAGACCAGGAAAATTCCCCATGATTTCAAACTTCAATGTGCGAGAAGCCATATTGTTGAAGCCCCGGCGCCCCCGAGGATGTAGCCTCGAGGAGCTTGGATGATCGAGGCGTTTGCAAGACGATGGTATACGAGGAAAATACTTATACCATAAAAACGAACATGTCTGTAAGGCAGGTCTATGATAAAAGTTTTCCTTTCTAAGAAAATGCTACTTCATCAAAAATGAACCACCCTGTACCTTTAAACATTTTGTTACCCTGCGCGCAGAGTCTAGTTATAAACTACACTCTGCCTAGTATTTTAGTTTAGAAGCCCCACCCCAAAGATTGGTGACTGTGACAGCCCCGGTAATAAGTAATTTCAAATCTACCATGCTGATCCTTTCTCAACCAATCAGCGAAGTGGAAGGAACACGGGCAAAATATATGCTCATTAACTATGCGGGGATCTCAGAGGAAATGACCATATAGAAAGTCGTCCGTATTTCGACGACGAACTCTGATTGGCTCAGTGAGATCAGGAATTTATTGTAAAATGAAAGAGTAAAGACGAAGTTCTCTTTTAATTAGTGAAGTTGAACGAATGCAAAGGGTAACATTTTATTTAAATCATCAAGAGAAATAGGCTCGTACAAGTGATAAATACCTTGAGCAATGCAATTTACAAACGATACAATATGACGCTTATGTTTCGAGAAATATAGGTCGGGGAATCATGTATTTTATATTCTACGTGAAGTTTAATCAATTTTTAATCATTTTATGCTTATGTAGTCATTTGACCGATACCATGGTCTTTTGGGGGGTAAAATATCTGGATTTGCATTGAATCCTTTTATTTGAACGCCCATTTTGTATAAATTCCTACTATTTCACATTCTGATACTCATAGCATCTTTCTGTTTCACCTGAAACATGCTCTGATATTATGAGGCATATTCTGTGATCCGAGCACATCAGATGAGAAGAGTCATAACTGTCAATAAGTGTGATTTTTATCATGTAATCATTTATCTTAGTGTCAATACATTACATAATATGCATTGTAATTAACAGCAGATATTAGCACAGGCACATGTACACAGGTTTAATGACCCCAATTAGATGAAATATGAGCTGGGATGAAAGATCTTAAAATCCTCAATTTTGGGCTCTCCTGGATCGCCAGATCAAGCTCATTATATCATAGCATCTCAGGGCTGAGAAGAAATGAGATGACATGGTTTATCATGATGACTATTTCAATACCCATTGGAAGTGACCCCGGTAATCGTATGTCCCTCTGGCTAGGAAGTTTAAGAAAAATTATAGATATCGTCATTAGATTATTTTGATAACCTCATTGTCACAATCAAAATAATACGTCTTGGCTAATGTGAAAACAGCCAATACCGTATCAAAATGAATAAGCTTCCGGGCGTGACGGGATAAATTAGAATCGACCCCTTCGCTGGGATTGTGGTTGATTGTTATGAATAGTCTGATTAAAGTAGTCCTTATAGTTACAGTTTATGTAGAATTCCAAGGTCATAGTTTCATTGTACCCACCAATGTGAATGTAGCCGTGACTTTGCAGTCATTGACGTATTGTACATGTAATATCAATCCATTGTCATTGTTATCTGGTGTATATTGTTTTTAAAGAGTCATTTTAGTAAAACTATGTCATAACGAAGTGTACATATTTATTTTGTCACACTTTGATTAATATTTGACGAGAACAATCCACAATGGTAACAACTTGGTGTTGACTCCTGGTGAATAAGGCCCTTGGCTATGATGAATCCACTTTCATTGATCCTATTTGTTTTCATATCTATTATTTATGTACAGTATAGTAGCCCTCATGGTACATCAGCTCATACATCGGAATAAGCCAGTGTTTGATGATTGAAACGTGACAAAGATAGGTGTTATCAATTGACCAAAAAGGCATTAATATGGAACTTATTGAACTTATATAATATTACGTAGACCAACATTTCCAAAAGACTATATATAATACTACGCTCTTAGAGGTGCGTTGTTTACCTCATGTTAGAAAAAAACATGAATATTTTACAGGTAACAAAATGTCGGAACGTCGAAGGTACAATTTTTCTTTTTTTCCTTATTTCACGCGTCGTAGGCAGAATCCCCACGACATTTTTCTCATAAACGTGTATCAGTATCATATGTTTGCAAAGAATAGCTCAGAAGACAACAGAATCGTCGATTTATTTCCACACTTAAGTTACATAAACGGTAGGGGTCGAAAATGCAGATCTTAACTGTTTTTCGAAATACCGTTTATGTAACTTAAGTGATGAATTAAATCGACGATTCGGTCGTCTTCTGAACTATTTGTTCACAAATGTGTACATTTTCTTAAACTTATGATACTGATACACGTTTGTGATAAAAATGTCGTGGGAATTCTGCCTACAACGTGTGAAATAAGGAAAAAAGAAAAATCGTACCTTCGACATTCCGACATTTTGTTACCGAAACGGTTCCAGCGTAATCGAGTGGATCACCAGTGATTTTAGAAAAGGTATATAAATATATTGTTTTACAAAATTATGTCGTGATGTTCATCTTTAGATGAAATATCACTCCCTCTTATTTCGAGTCATCTTGGATATTCAAGGTTAACATGTAGTAATGGTATGGTATGTCACAATTTTTCGATAATCGTGGTTCCCTCTTCAATCGAGGAGGCGCGAAAATATCGGGTGTCCCAAAAATGAGACACTTTTTGACAAGTATTTTCTCGGCAACTGATGAATTAACTTTTTTTAAATTTGTACAAAGTAGCCCAGGAGTATTGTTAGCAAGGTACAGAAATATGAAAAAGATCAGATAAATGTTATGTGAGTACTAAGAAATTCAAGATAGCATTTAAAAATATCCCATACCGGAGCAATGCAATGAGAATTTCATCGCTTTTGTACCAAAAAATGGGAAGCAATTTGACAAGTGATTTCTCAGCAATAGACGAGCTAAATTATTTGAAAACTTTACTTGAGGCACTTTAGATTATCTTCTACTAGTGCTATGAATATGTAAGAGATTGGCTTCATATTATCTGTGTATTGTTGAATTAAAGACAAAGACAAATAAACAAATAAAGGCAAATAAACAATATCGATGTAAATCTCACTTATTAATCCCGTTCAAGCAAAATACCTTCCCGTATTTATTCTAACAATATCACCTCCAATGAATTTTGAGAATGAATGGATTTTGAATATTTGGAAAGAATGCAATGAATTATAAGCAATTTTGACTTACAAGAGAGATTTCGCACATAAGTGAAAGTACAACTTATACGTATACGTATAGTTTAAAGGGTCATGTCGAACTATTATATTTACAAAAATCAATTTTAAATTGTACTTAATGGAACATAACTATTCCCGTTATAGAAAAGCTCCATCATTTAGAGACCGTGAATGCACTGTCATCTGCACGTGTAGATTATGCACATAATGATTAAATGCTTGCTTCCGTGTCCTTGTAGTGTATTATAAACACGATCCTTTAAAGTGAGTCATGATTCTTTAAAGTGAGTCATTACATAAACAAGTTGATTATTTCAATGTTTTCATGATCAGTATGAGTTCAATGAACTTACAAAACTGTATATTTACGTAGATGATAACGTATACAGTTGGATCTCCGTATAAAGATTTGCCTACACGTGTGTGGAACAATTGACCGCAAGCATTTTTTGAAATTAATTGGCTGAGTGGGAAAAGTATCCAATCAAATACTTTAACCATCAATTTGAAACACCAATCAAACCAGTAGGTTCTAGCAATTCCTGGAAACAGTAAATTCAGTAGCTCAACATATGACATACAGGGTGTTTCATAACGAGCATCTCCAAAAAGTCAATTTGAGAAGAGATGGGTCTATAACATATGTACTATATATGAGCCTATTTTATTCTAGACAAAGACATTTGGATCAACTAAACATGCTACAATTCAAGAAAGTACAAATGGCATCCCTTTGACCTGTATTTATTACAGTCCTAGAAGATCTTTCCTGACGAAAAGCTCACATTATGAAACACCTTGTACGTTTACCTATAAGTATAAGTATACGTTATAAGTTGTACTTTCACTAGGTGCGAAATCTCTCTACAAACAAATGCTATCACCCGATAGCTGGTACAAACACTATAGAGGTCTCATCTCAGAGTTCCGGTATGGGAATATTCTACATGCTATTTTCAATTTCTTATTTCTCTCAGAATATTTACTTGATCATTTTTTAAATTTATACAACTTGCTAACCCCCCTATCACACCAAACTAGTTCTTACCCGTTCTTACCAGTCCTACGAAAACGTCGTAAAACGGGCTCAATCTGGCTGTGATCGGGAAATATGTCTGAAATAATTAGCTTCTTCGTTCTTAAACAGTCTTCAATACGTCCATCTCGTTCGCAGTTCGTTCAGGTCGGACCACGTCGGTGTGCAACGTAGTAGAACGCGTCCCTTAGTCTAGAAGGTCAACATGACCTGATTACAGAACGGTATGGTCGCCATCGAATTTTGAATCGATTCAAAATTCTAAAATCACATTCCCGTCTGAGAACGTTCATAAAGTTCGTAAATAGAAAGTTGCAGCTACGTTCATTCCGTTCGCACACAGTTTAAAACCAGTTTTGAAGAACGCAGTGGCAACTTGTTTGGTGTGATAGCTATATTTTTGCTAACTCGTTCTTAAACAGTGTTAAATACTACGTTCTTAATCAGTTTAAAAACGTTTGCAATTAGTTCTACCTCGTTCTCAACACGTCCTCAGACAGTTCAACTCGTTGTTAAAACGTCCCTAGTAGGATTGAAGTACGACGGTCCCGTTCGTAGTACGTCCAGCTCGTCGTTAGTACGTTGTCATTCGTTCTAATTGTAGAATGTGACGACCACGAGAACATTTTGAGCATTGTCTAAGTTCTAGAGGACCTACCCGTTCGAGTACGTTCGATGAAGTTTGTAAATAGATCCCAAACGGTTCTTAGTAGGTCCAGTCCGTTCGTACACAGTTGAAGCCCGTTTTCGAGAACGTAGTGAGAACTAGTTTGGTGTGATAGTAGGGTAATGTTAGTTATTCTCGCGCTAATTTGTACAAATTCCCAGTCAATCAGTTTATTACATAATTTTCAATTACTGTTGCTGTAATTTGTACTTGAGACTCTAATACCCTAAATTGGGTGGAGAGGTATAAATAAACCTAAATCTAAAAATCTAAAAAGGACAAATTTTGATTTGTCGATATTCCCCATAGTGCAGGCTTTGGTAGAATAACAGAATTTGACTATATGTGAAAATATCAATCAACGTAGTCTACAATTATATCAATTCAAATGACAATGAATATTTATTACACAAAGATCCATAGTTGAAGTTCAGGTCATCTCTTAATTTGAGGTAGAACGAACAAGGTAACAAAATAACGTTGTTAATGTTTTCTATATTTTACATTTAAATGTTGTTTCAAAATGTGTTGCCATGGTAACCACTTCGTAAAATTGTCATGAATATTAGTCAATCACAAACCAGTATATCTTCCTCTCCCTCTTGTATTTTTGATGAATTCTGACTGATATCAAAATAGAATTGAAATATCACGCAATGTTCGGTACGAAATCATTATTTTAATATAAAATCTAAGGTAACTTGAGGACACAGAAGCTATGTTTACAGGCCATTCACCTCTTCAAAATGTAAAAGGTAGGTTGAAATTGTTTTTCCTTGAAAAAGCAAATTGCAAAGTTCACCGACATAAAAGCTATTTTCCCCTTCCTCAGCTATTCCGATGTTCACAAAAGGCCAAGTCATAATCGTTCCGGCCCTTTGAAATTATATACTGTCTATATATTCAATTATTCACTTATTTTAAGATTTCCCAATTTCCCTTCTTTTTTTAACATTGACAAGCATTTTGAAATTTTGGATTAAAGGGAGTCAGCCTTTACTATCCCTTGGACTATACAAGCATTAATTCAAAGAAGGGCTTTGATAGATCAGAATGTAACACACCTGGCCTCATTATCTAGAGTCAGTACGGAAGATGCCTACGTCTCAAAATTACAAAGTAATAGTTGTCTCAAAATTACAAAGTAATAGTTGGCAAGGCATTTGACTGTAAAACTAAAAAACTGTTAAATGATTTTTTGAAATATTCTATAAAATTCATTATTACCTACTCCCACTCAACGAATTTTGGATCATATATACTGCCTCATGTCTCGTGAAAAGCCTTCGATATTCCAATTCATTCACAGAGGAGCAAGCTACGGCTGAGCTGTAGTAGCACACTGGCTATAGGTCAGTTCAATAACATTTGAATGTCAGAAGTCTTGCAGGAAGGAAGCAATGAGTTGGCTGTTCTCATATATATTTAGGCTTCTACATAAAAAACAACCATCCCTCGGGGAACACCTGATGTCACGTGGACAGTGCCCAGCCGAGCATTGCCTATAACAATAGTCGTCTCCAGTCCAAGCGGGGTAAGTTGATGAGTAAGATGATTATGGGTTCTTGTTACTAATTGAAACAATATATATCATTAGCAAATACAAGCCTTTGTATCAATACACTATTGTATTTTGTGTTTTTACGCAATGCTGACAGATGTGGCCAGAATCAACGGAGACCTTTGCCTACGGATTATACGAGCGTGGTGACTTATCGATTCAGGGTAACCCGCGGTGTATCTCTATATTACCCACATTCTGATTAAAAACGTGATTAAAACTCCGATCGGGGTTCTCTTGACATCGCACATATCAGGCGGACGTATTTAATTTGCAAATTGAAATCATGATTCACGCTTTTTGAGGACATTTAACATCAAACCCACGCGCCCTTAGGAGTCATTGTGGGATCCATTCTCTACTATCCGTTTAGATAAATAGAGACTCTGGTAAATCCGAATGGATGGGAGTCTTTAATGCCGTCTCTTTCGCATCAATTCAGAGTGAATGCTCCACCTTCATTCCATCTCCATCTTCATCACCATCAGTTACTATAGCTAAAGCCGATTTGCCCTTGGTCGCTAAGATTCTATTTTTAGGGGTTGGATTTCCCCATCGTATTCTATTTTGCACCTACGCAGCATAGATCATTTCGTAGAACATGGTTGTTTGTTTACATAGATACGGAATAGAATGTAATACTAATAGAATGTAATAGAGTATTTCATTCTACGAAAATGGATGGAGATTATGACTGCAACACACCGGAATAGCCTGACAGCGGTTAAGTCAGATACCGTTGTCACAAATGGCGGGCATAACCGTCGCTTCAATTAGTTTTTCATGAACTGTATGATTAATAGAGCGACTAGATTAAATTCCTTTGGTACTGCAATTCCTCAAAGTGTTTTTCTCCTAATCGTATAGCTAGATATGTTCTACCATCGATATAAAGGCTTTAATTATCCGATCGGAATATGACACAGGACAACGGATACTGCATAAGTGACAACAGTAGGTGTGGGTCAAATGTGATAATGTGGTAATTTTTGACAACGGTATACATATACGTTATTATTCAATGCTTTATTGTACTTAAAATCCCTTTCGGGTGAGTGTACAGCAAATAAACATGATAAAATAAAACTAAAACTATACATACAATTACAATAACATACAATGCAAATTTTACATGGCATATAATGACAATATAATGTGATTGACTGATCATTAGATATATACCAACAACTACTATTAGCCTACACCTACATGTATATATTTATATTGATAATATAGTTGTTGATCTCTTTTCAATTATTTCATAAAGGTATTTTGCAAAGGTGATACACATGTTACCCTCAGCATTAAACATATAATTAGCCTTTTCTTCGGTAGTCAATACAGTTAGATTTGGGCAAATCGAGTTAAACGTATCAAAGTATTCATTTCTCATTTTTTCCAATTTTTGGCACTCAAAAATAAAATGAGTTTCCGTACCAGTGGTGATTTTACATAATTTGCATTTTCTTTGATCTCTCGGAACTATTGGTCTTGTATACCTTCCTCGCTCTATTTCTAAATTGTGTGCACTTATTCTTAATCGCGTCATAGATTTCCTATGTTCGGCGTTCTTTATTAAATTCAAATATGGTTCTTTTCCCCATCGTTGTTTGATATTATTCAAAAATTCTAATTTCCCTTTATTATCATTGACAGTTTTTTCCCAATATTTTATATTATTTACGTTATCATTTTCCTATGTTCCAATGCAATACATCCACCATAGTCCGTTGTCACATCTTACCATATGCAGTTGTCTTTGTAAATTATTTCAAATCCGCTGTCATTGACGATATCGAAGACGCTATATTGTGGCGATTCACGACCCCATTTGATAGAAATTGCGATTTCATATAATAAATCATCGCACGAGCTGAGCACATGCACAGAATTAGCGACGATAAAGCCCCATGAAACGAGAACCAAGTGATTAAAGAGTTATGCCATTTGTGATAACGGTATCTGACTTTACCGTTGTCAGGCTATTCCGTTGTGTACAAGTTGTTTGGAAGGGGTACTATATAAAACATACTAAAGGGAAATGATTTTGCTTTCAACAGACAACAAGTAATCAACTGTAAATAGAAGTAAAAAGCAAATAGCGATCAAATCTTCTTAACTCATTTGTCTACATTCGATAAAACGTGAAAATGTTTGAAACGGTTTTAGCAACTATTTAGAACTAATTAGTAAATGTTGGAATATATTTTAATTAGTGAAAAATTAATTAAAGAAAATCCGTCTATATTGTGTCGGTGATATTTTTCATTTAACGTAAATAACTACATCATAACAAATATGTTGATAAGTATGAAGCATGTTCGGATTTTATGTCGGCGGGTGTCACATTTGATACTTCTAATTAATTGACATACGAGTATATCGCCTCAATACAACCTACCGCAGAGCAAAGACCCGAAGATGTCTGAAAATGTAGGGGGGGGGGGTTAATAAATTCCTGTTTATATATTGAATTTCTCAATATGAGAAATATATAAAACACAGAATTGTTTGTAACCGATATAGTTGTTGTTCCAGGCACTCATGTTTGCAAAATAATGAGTACTTAATGCAATGTTTACTATCAAATCGCTAAATTCAACTTCTAAATATTTGAATGATGTTGGACATCTTAAATAAGTAAGATTTATGGCTGTCTTTACTCCATTTGATTCAAAGATACAATAAGTGCAAATATATCACATTTGTTTCACTGTCATACGTTGCATATCATTGAAATCACTGGTGAAAGTTGAACGTGAAAGACCCGATTATACCACGAGTACGACTCTATAGGACCCGATGCTACCGCCTGAGTATTCCGATTATACCGTGAGTAGAGCCCGATGAGGTAGAGAATAATTCTTTCGGGTGATCATTTAATAACATGACGTATATCACAAATATTCCTGTTAATTCATCATATATTCCTGTCGTATGGATATAAAATAATATGATTAATAATTTCTGCAGCACTATACGTCAACGTCTGTGTGCCACAAAGTTCTTTTAAACAGTTCTGTCTGACAATGCTCATAATCCAATGATTTTGGTTCGTACTTTGGTCCTTCGACCTCGTTGCCACGTTTTATTCAAAATCTGAATTATTTACTCACACTGAACAGGAGTTATACAAAGTGATTATATAAAAACATTTAAATCAATTGTTCCATATCCACTGCTACCCACCTAATTACACAGACGTATCGTCGGTGTATCATGGCGGAACTTTTCTTACACTGACGATCGGCATTAATATTGCCAATATTACACTGATATTGGTCGTTCGTCAGTGTAAGAAAAGCGAGGGACTAAATACGTGAATTGTGTCTTTGTTAACATATAAAACCTAAAACCATCGACACATTCTCAAACTAGACTATCTTCCTTAACTTCGAGCCAAATTATTATCCACAACGTGACTTAGAAGTAGGTGTAAATCGGGAAGTATAAAAATCTTACCGAAACCTAGTCCCGGAGGAAGTTCCGCCATGATACACCGACGATACGTCTGTGTAATTAGGTGGGTAGCAGTGATATCACTCTTAACGGAATGAGGCCACGAATAAAAAAACGTTTAATTAGAATATTATACGTGTTGTTTTGTATCTACCAAGTCGTTAAACATATGAAAAATAGTTATAAATTTTGATTGATCTAAAATGTGCAAAGTTAAAAGACCCGTTATACTCATTCGCTCTCAATTTTGACTAAGATAAGATATCAGTACAACGGTTACTAAAATGAAGACAGATTGACCAGTAGAGATTAGGAACGTGAAACATATTCATTTTTATCCATGAATATGATAATAATTGATTTAAATGCAATTCCGCGCTATTCCTATCCTCAAAGATATCAGTACAACGGCTACTTAAATGAAAAAATATTGACCAGTGGAGATTAGGATCATGGAACATTTCATTTTTATTTATAAACATGGATAATAATTGATTTAAATGCAATTCCGCGCTATTTCTATCCTCCAGTGCTGATAGCCTAATTTCTACTGTGTCAGTCTGGTTCAAAATTACTGACAAGGAACCCTTCTAAAAAAGGCAATTAAATAAAAGTTAAAAAACTCCCAAAAGTAGCCCTAACACCATTTCATCATCAGCACGTCATAAACTCGACGATGTCATCGGATCTCAACAGATTTTACTCAAGTAATGTTCGGATTCTGAGATCCTTTACTCAAGATATTTTCGGATCTTTATAATATTACTCATCGATCACATCGGGTCCGATGTCCGATAACATCGGATCTTTTAGGACAGCGTTTATTTGAAGATTTTGCTGTTCAAAAGTGCTATTTTGACCTAATAATTTGACACTTAATATATTATGCACATGACATACATTTACCGGCCCAAGTATGTCTTACATGTATTTCTCGTTATCAATTAACCCTTTCCTGACGTGAATATAAGAGGAAAATATGGGACTGGTGGCGGATAAGTAAGAGCAGTTTTTAGGGAAAATTGTAAATTACCTATATCCCAGGACGTATATTGTCATTTCATTGATGCATAGAAATAAAAATAATGGTGCCAAAAGGAGCCAATCGTCCTGAAATGTAGTATATAATAGGGCTCCAAATGGAGCCTATCGTCGTGAAAGGGTTAAAGCGAGTACGAATGAGAAAAACAAATCGAAAATCATCATACGTTTTACTTATCTCTTAATTTGGACATAAAAAATATATTTCAACTAAAATTCTGGGCCAATTCCGCCTGCTAGAACATCTGAGTAACGATTTTAACCATCCAAGGGAATTGATAATATTACCTTTATTGTCCATTTTTGTTGATCGAGATGTAGTTTATCAAACATTGGATTGGCGGTATAAGCGTGGCTTACTCGGCAGTAGGTTGTATATAGGCGGGTAGATTTCCCCCCGTGAAGTTGGACGGACTGTAGTTATCATCTTTTGATATCATCCATATACTAGAATAGTATCCTACTAATCATTAAGATTATTAGAGTGTGGTTGACATATTAATGCATTAATTTCCTAATCACACTGACGTTAGAATTGCAACTAGATATTATGTTAATTGTCATAGATGACCGATGAAAGGGTTGTAGCCATGTACAAATGTAAAGTTTACAACAGTAAGTTTGGCAATGAAGGGTCCCCATTGGAAATCACTTTAAAGACCGTTTATAATATTGTTCTTCACTTAAAAGTCTTGGAATTTACCTCATCTCACTAAGTTTCGGAGGGTCTCTACTGTATTGACTATTGAGGTCACATATAATACAAAGGACAACGTCACATAATGTCACATAACGCCACATAAAACGGATCTTGAAATAAAAGTTCAAATTCATCTGGCAACTAAAACGTGACGTATAACATTCTTGTATTTTGCAGCTTTACTAGAATACGTGTAGAAGGGCACGACATGCCGCATCACAACAATCAAAGCAATCATCAGAAGCATCGTTCGCATCCACAAGGACATCATCATGACCCACAGCACCAAGACGGTATGACAATTCGTTAACCGCAATAACGCAGATGCGAGTAGGTAGTTACCAGTTTCACCACCAAGTGGCTCGTTCGGGTCAGATAGCATGGCGGGTGTAGTAGAAAGATCCCCTTAACTTAAATTACATCTAAAATTATTAAATTTTCATAACCTTTATGTATGTAATAGTTATGCAAGCTAAAATATGTCCAGTAAGAGAAAATGTTATCTGTTCGATACAAGAAAATATATTTCATTTTTGTGATTTTGTAGCATTGGGAATCTCCCCGAACTAGAAGTCACATTTTCCAACAGTTATAAAACAGCTTTCGAAACTATATTTTTAGATGTACCTTTACATGTAGATTTCAAATATGACATGACTTTGACTGAATTTTGAATATTTAATGACGTAGATCAAGATTATTTCTACTCGCGTCTAGTGTATTGTACACCGCTAGGCGGTAGAAATTTTCGAACCATTATGGCATCCACGCACAAGATAGTAATCATCATCTGGGCGACGGAGTTATAAATGGCCTGAATTTAAAGCTAAACCCCCGGGGAAAGGTGATTTAAATCGATGATTACGGAAAAGTTCGAAATCGTCAATTCCGCCATATTGAGATAAGTTAACGCCCGTCGACGTATCCTGATACTGACCAGTGGGATCCGTAGTTCTAATTGAGGCTTTACTCTTCTATCATGCAGTTTATAGTGACAGATGTAATAGATCATTATGACAATTAGAATCCCAAGATGTGCGCTTTATCAGAGTGGAGTGGCGTCAAGCCCGAACATTTGGCGAAACACGTACTTAAATGGCCCCATATAAAGTTTAAACCACTTTGATTTATATCATAGTCTTACCCAATGTGATACGTGAAACTTTTCAATTAATTTCCAAAAGTTGATTTTGAAGGACCTTACTAATAATTTACACCAACGCATAACATACATCCTATTTTATGTTGAAAGGATTAAGAAAACCGGTCGAAAAAATAAACAAGAAATTAACTCATGAGCGCAGAAATGTGGTACATAAAAAGGCATTTTGTAAATGTATTTGATGATCTAAAATTCTAAACTTTTATTTCTAAAATGGCGAGAAAAGTTGAAAAGTATAAGGTGAACAACTTTTTTCAGAAATCACGTTTTTAAAAAATGTCTAAACTTATTTTCCTAGTTATGGAAAGTAATATTTGAATGATTAAATGATTTGAACGATTAAATTGTATTTTCAAACTATCCACGAGACCTTTAATGAGACAGAGGGCTACTAATTGGTTACCTTAGATCTTCATAGGCTACTCTCATTACACTTACCCTGTGGCTAGAAGTAATTGCTATCCTCTGAATAATACAAATTAATATAGACCTCGTTGTGATTCTGAGGGTATACAACTCTGTGACTGCAATTCTGAATTCTGACCACGCGTGAGAGAAGTTTTCATACCTGTGTAGTCGAGTAGTGGGAGGGGGGTCACAGGGGCTTGTAGCTAGACTATTCTGATTGAGTAGCTTGATTTTTATACCTTTTCTGATCTAGTTCTCAGAATCATCTCTTTCTCGAAGAGTGTATATGAATGTAAACCAAACTTTTCAAAGGGTATATTTCCCTCTGACTATTTTAGATAACTTTTCAATTTTAATGATGGATAGCTAGTTATTATCTCTTAATTCATCGAAGGTAAGATGTTGCAATCTCACACTGGAATAGCCTTACAACGGTAAAGTCAGATACCGTTGTAACAAATGGCGGACATAACCGTCGCTTCAATAATAAGATTTTCATGGACTGTATGTTTAATAGAGCACCTAGACTAAATTCTTCTGGAACAACTATTAATCAAAGTGTCTTAATACTCATTGTACAGTTAATAATATTCTATCATCGAAATAAAGTCTTTAATTTAACCGATCAAAATGAGATACGGGACAACGGACACTGTAATTACCATATGCCGTTGTCTTTCTAAATTACTCAAATTCAGATTCCGTTGTCATTGACGATACCGAAGACGCTATATTGTGGCGATTCACGACCCAATTTGATCGAAATTGGGATTTCATATGAAACATCATCACAAGAGCTTAATACATGCACAGAATTAGTGACGATAAAATCCCATGAAATGAGGACCAAGTGATTAAACACAGTTGAAGCGACGGTTATCACGCCTAACCATCGACAACGCACAGTGACAAGATATACCGTCGTACACTTTAGGTGTACGGTGTCACTATTAACTGATTTGAAGCGAAAACTATGATGTAGGTCAGTCAAGTCAAGTAATTAAGTCAACATTCGAAAATAAAAAACTCAAAAATCGCAAATCTTTGATTTCCAAAATAATTTGGGAGGTGGTTATTAAGATGGAAATACAAATGTTAACGTATTGATTTTGAGTACACCTCGAATCAATTCTCAACAAAGCGTTCGCGAAATGAGTATTCGAAATGTTTGAGTTCGGGATGATAAAAGTACGTTAAAATATACCGCTCCTAAAAAATTCCTTTGGGAACAAGATATAGAATCAAAAGCATATTCTTCTTATTTACTCCCTGACACATGCCAACGAATGTTACGTAAGTAAATATCTCCGTTTTAAATAATTTTGTTAACGTTGTTCTCTACAGGTGACATTTTTTATAATTGTAAAACAAAATTGAACATTTTGCATTTCTAAATTGATAAGTTTCTTGGAATACAACATAACTGTTAACGATTTAAGTGATTAATAATATTTCCCTTAGTGATCCCATGATAAATAGACAGTAACTGGGTCAATCTTTTATGTTCAACCTTGTATTTATGACTTTTAAACATGATAATTATGTAGGAAATTTCAATTTCAAATGTCAGCGTGTCAACTCGTGTTTTTTCACAATATTCAGACTTTTATCATGATAGATCGCCAAAATCTGCATGAACCTCTAAATGAGGCCATATGTTTTTAATTTTAGAGATGTAAGCTATAAACTCAAACAAAAATTCAAACTACCCGCTATTATTTTGATCGCACAAGACGAAATTTCCACTCCCGGATCAATGTAAGTCGGCATGTATTCGACAGTTTAATGTACACATATGATGTATGCATCAACGTGTGACTTGGAAATCAATTTGTGACCATCATAGTTGGCTTTCAAAAATTAAGTTGGAAGTTACAGTGGTGGGATATTACCGAAAACGTCAATCACATCCAAATATCCGAACAACGTCAAGTATTAACAATACACTTTTCGTGCATCTCGAACAAGGCAAGGTTCTGTGTTCCAGCGATGTGTTTTCCGAAAGAAAAAATTCACAAATATCAACAATTTTCATTGAGTAGGAGATTACATTCGAAATCACAACTTTCAAAATATTTCTTTCATCCAAGAATTGTAAGAACTTGAAACATGGTTTTAGTTTTTCAAACCGCATATCCTCATTTACGTTCTTTGACAATGATGAATCCATTTGAAAACATGGATTTTCTTGATTATTCTTCAAAACTACCCTTAAAATATTAGTATGTAGGATTTTACAATGTAAATTGACACGCATTTGTTTGCTCCATATCATGAAATAATAAATGCAGTACCATCTGTCAATATTCGAAAACAGAATGTTCATTATATATGTAAACAAGAAAAAATACATTTATGATTGGTTCATAATGAAAAAGGACATATAACATACATCTTCTGAAGTAGGGGTATACAGGGACATAGTGGAAATTCAGAAATTTAGGCCATATCCCCAAGATTGCTTCACCAATATGTAACAGAACATCAGAATTATCATTTGCACGTTTGATGATACGTATATTGAAAATAATTAACCACGGGTTTACTTCAATTGTGGCACTATTCTTAGTAAATATTGATGAACATACGAATTTGGAATGTTGACATATTTACTTGACTTGACTGAGGTTTGATTGTGGTTTTCAAAAATTTGAGGAGTACATAAAGGATTACATGTTTGATTTCGTGTGTATTCGATTTGGAAGACATTTACCTTTCTTATTACGTTGAAAAGATTTTCGAGCAGTGCTCAATTTTTTTCGTTATTAATCTACCCATGCAATTGGTCGGTTGGAAAAATGTGTTTAATATGGTGATTAATATTTGACCATGGGGTGTTATCTTCCAACCTCTTTGACCATTCGGCGTCGGTACGTTACGTTATGTTGCACTTTTATGAATTTTAATAATCTTAAGGAGTTCATGGAGAGATCTCTACTAGCTAATCGAAGATGACTTTCGAAATCCAGTTTATGATATATCTGGAAAGTGCACAAGTTCAATATCGTTCAATCAAGTTGAATTAGTAATACTGGATTGTTCAGTTTTAAAGGAATCTGATCCCCCTGCCCCTTAGTGTTATGAAAAAAACGTTGTCTACATAAGGGTTAACTGTGAATTCAGATATGTAAGTTCAATGGGACAACGTATATCGAGATGACAACGTACACTTATGATTATTTTTTAAATTATTTTAGCAAAAACGTGAATATTTATTAAAGCTTCAACCGACCTTAATTATGTAACTTTGGGAAACATATTCTCATAAAAATAATCGACACTCTTAGGCGTCAGGGGAACTTATGACCAAAGGAAATGTGAAAAACCAACATTTTCCAACCGATCATTGTTGGTGGGTAGATTTATTACGAAAAAACTCGAGCACTGCCTGAAAATCTTTTCACGAAATGTGAAAGTGTACGACGGTATTTTTTGTCACTGTACGTTGTCGATGGTTAGGCGTGGGTTATGTCCGCCATTTGTGACAACGGCATCTGACTTTACCGTTGTCAGGCAATTCCAGTGTGAATCTGATACATGACGTCAAGACATACATGTGAAAACATTGCGACAAACGTCATTATTTTCTTTAATCATCGTGTTCTATTCACTTGTAGTATATTGATTGTCACGATGTTCGCTATATTTTTGTTCTATATCCATATCAGCAGCCATAAAATGTTCCATTTAGTAATTATCATGATTATTATTTTGGTTTCATTTTACCTGGGCTTTTTAAAGGAATCGATGAATGAAACGTTCGATCTGTATTAATTCCATTAGAATTGCCAATGTTTCATGCTATCTTCATCAATAATATAAAGAGCAAATACATTCCTGGTTATACTGCCAATCGCATTTCGTATATAGGCGAGCAGAATGGGAGGTCCAAAGAAAATGTTAATGTACAGTTGTGACATATATGCTCGAATTTGGTACCGATGGCTTTGGAAAGCTTGCAGTGCCTAATTTTAGAAATCCACTTGTTAGCAATTACGAAAAGTGGGCCGAATGTGTCTGAAACGCCTGTTCCCATAAGCAAATGCAACACCTCATGACCTGATAAGAACAGCTTTCCGTAGTAAGATGAAGCCATGATGATATACGATGCAGTCCTTTTAAATGTCGTTCACTTGCATATATAAGTCATCGTTTTTTACAGGTTTATGAAAAAATCTTTTGAAATGTTTTGGAGGCGCGTCTGTTTAATTTGATCGATTGGATTATTTTGAATAAAAACAACACACGTTATAAACAAACATATATTAAAACTACGACTTGAAGATGTCTTACAGCGTACATGGCGAGAAGTATAAGTCGCTCCAGAACTTTTTTGTTCGTTTTTCAGGAGCATCTGGCGCAGATCACGATTGGGGTTATAAAGGGAAATTTGGTGAGTACGATTATATAACGAACGTAAAACTTTTGGAAGTTAACTAAACGTTAAATGCGAACGCAGAAATCCTGATATCACCCGTTATGTTTCTTCCTCATCTACGTCGACCCTTGTGTTCTAAGGGTCATGGAGGGGGGGGGGGGCAGTCGAGAAGTCAAGGGCACAGCTGTGAACACCCATTGTGCTGAAACCCCTTATCCAATAAGAGAAACACGACAATGCAATTGATCCAAATATCATAATCATAAGTAAAAGCAACTTTTCAAAGCTTGGTTCAGGTAATTCCCTGTTTCAACTTTGTTTTAATGTAAGCTATAAAAATGTCTATTTTTCAGGAGTGAACCATTGGAATGATTTCTGCTCAACGCTGTCGAAACACGAAGAGGCACATAGACAGTCGCCTATAGACATAGCCATCAAAACGGCACAACACCACAAAGAGCTAAAGCCAATCAACACTAAGGGCTTTGAAGATATAAAAGATGGATTACTGCTGAAGAATAATGGTCACACAGGTACAGCTAGACATACATTCCCATTTATTGCAACACAGCAACATATTGACTCCACGCCCGGTGATCGGAAGAAATGAACGGAGGGGGAGTAGATGATTTTTGCTAGAAAATTAAATTTGGAAGATTTATTTTTTCAAAAGAAAGTTAACGATTGCATTGCTAACTGAATAGGCACACAACACAGAGAATTATGTTAGGTTAGGTTAGGTTAGGTATTCTCGGATTTTTTTGAACTGATTGGCTCAGTCTAAGATATAAGATCTATCAAAAAAGGCACAACGTCAACAACGTGCACAAATCGGTGTTTTTGTCATAACTCGATCAACAATAGTATTCACGATCTGTAATAAATACGTGTTAATGACGTTTTTATCGCAAAATCAATGTCATTGTTGGTTTTAATAAAAACAAGTTTCCATACGTTAGATAAAAAACAATCGAAAATAATCAAAATCGAACGGAGTGGGAGTGAACGGAGGGAGGGGAGTAATATGACTTTAAGGTGGAAGAAATATCCACAAATTCGTGTATTTGAAAAATAAACTCAGCGACTCAGTAACAACTGGATGTTACAACTCGGAAGAGTGAAAAATATGGACAGTTGGAGTTATTCGAAATAAATGCAAGTTACATTTGATATATTCCAGCATTCATGACCTCAGAAAGTACGGTATCGAACAAAATAGTTCCTATTAAATCATCTGCCACTGTATATTTAAGCTCATCTTGATTTATCTGCGTGTGGTTATGAACTGACTGAAGGACATCTTAACGGTACCTACCAGAGTGTACAAATGCACCTTCACTGGGGGTCTGAGAGCACCAGGGGATCAGAACACACCATAGACGGAAAACAGTACGCCGCGGAGGTATGCTATATGCAAAATTTATGTAAGCGGGTCTTTCCAACTGTCTATAAAGTGCGAGTCTGTTGGATTGTCAATTAAAATAAACCTAAAAAATGTGCAGCAAACCCTTGGGCCCTTGTTATTTAAATGTCAACCATGTTAAATAATCTTTTGAAAATTGCGTGTCAGAGAAGTACAAGATACCACGCATGTGTTAGGTAAACCACAATCCAACACTATGTAAAATCCTATGATTAATACTTGTGATAACATCTTATATTGATGTTTAATTTGTTGTTTAATCCAATATCACAGAAAGTATCATTCAATATTATAACATCTGATCCGGACTCTAATATCATTAGAGAATGATACCCGATTAAACCAAAATATATTCCAGTTTAACCTGATATAATTCAAGTCAGGATCAGATGAAACAGTATTATACGCATATCATTTTCTATTATAACAGGTTTCAAAGTGGTATAATACAAATTATACATATCATTTTTTGTATAATGCAAATTAAACTGGAATATACCGAGACCAAACAGATGATACTGTATTATACGGTTCAGAAATTAATGGCACTTTGTTTTCATAACGTCAGACCTTAATTAAACAAGCTAACGTAAATATTTACATAAGGTAATTCTAGAAGTTTATTGAAACTCATGTTTAACTATTTGTCTCAGACTGAAATCCGATATTGTTTTTTTGGCAATCGCACCCCCCCCCCCCCCCCCTAAGTTTGATACGCCCCTGTACATGGCTAATAGGGGCACTATTACGCTACGTACAGTGTCTAGTTATATACTACGAGAAGACGAAACTCTCTTTTAAGAAGTGAAGTCGAACGAATGCAAAGGGTAGGGCACTATAGAAGAGGATCATACAAAAGCACGATCTATTTCACAACGCCTTTAATTTTTGCTCTTCAACTGTTGCCCTTTGTGCATTTAAAAAATAAAATATCTTAATCTAATTTGTTCAACCTTTCTTTTCGCCCAGTTCTGCAATATTACGTCCACATGTTATTTAGGCTTACATGCATGTCATTTGCGAATTAGCTGTAAGACATTATGAGAATGAATATGGGAATTTCCACGTAATATGTTGTTCACATGATTATATATACATGATATCTGCATAACAATCGGAGACAGAAGTCAAAATATTGTCCAATAAAGAATCTAACATTTAGTGATAACAAAAGGATCAATTGCTATATACGTAGTTCTCTTTGTCTTAGTCTTTGTTTTCTTAACTGCGGAAGTCTACCAACATCACCTAGATTACACAAGAGATCATCTAACAGTCTAAAATTGCTTTTAATCGCAAGTTAAAGTGTTCCGACCAAAAGTTGTATACCTGTAATTTGGGGGGGGGGCGATGTTACATCACATTACTACAACGTTCATATAGAAATATACAATAAGCATGTCGTATAAAAGCTCAAATTATAAATACTCATTTCAAAGTCATTCTGTTCATGGAAGCGTCAAGTTATGAAAAACAATGCTAAACACTAAAATAAACAAATCGACTTGATTACTTTTGAAAACTTCTTGAGAGGTGATGGACAACGTATTTTTCTAACTCATTAGAACGTCTGTCTGATTGAAATACTATTTTTTAAATACAAACATAAATGAATAAATCTTGGTCAGAAGTCTGAACATTGTCCAACGAAATAATAAGAATCTACATTTAACATTTAATGATTACAAAAGGATTGATTGCTATATAGTCTTTGTCTTAGTCTTTGTTTTTCTAACGGCGGAAGTGTACCAACATCACCTTGATTACAGAAGATCTAACAGTCTAAAATTGCTTTTAATTCCCGGGTTTTAATTACATTGTATGAATGGAGTTTTTTGCTTCTCTTTTCGTTTTTAAACCGGTGTCTGTTTCCGTATTTAACAATTTATTGTGATAAATTATTTCAGTTAGTGTCGAAATCAAAACAATTTTCTACATTATAGTCCCCTCCTCTTGCACTGACTAAATATTAAAATAAGCCAGTCTGATTGCGAATTTACAAATCCTATAAAAGTAGCTTCAAACCGCCTTTTAATCAGAGAAAACAATAAGTTAATTCATCTGATTGCGAAAAAACGAATCAATCTAATTATTAATGATTAGGGGGGAGGGGAGGTAAACGTGGAAGTTGCCAAAATATCCGTGGGCGTATCCAGGGGGGGGGGGCTGTGATGGGTGCGATCGCACCCCCCCCCCTTAACAATAAAAATAAAACCCTGAGAAAGAAGAAGAAAGGAGCTTTAAAATGCTGCTCAGGCCACAATCGTACCCTCCTGACTGAAAACCGAAATCTTTTTGGCGATCGCACCCCCTCCCACCTGACTGAAAGCTGGCTACGCCCCTGATATCTGTTTTTGGTCATCAATAAAACTATATTTATATGGTGAGGATTGATGGGTTTTGATAACAATAGGTTTTATATGTCTCTGGTTTGAGTCAGGGAACAAAATCTAATCAGACACTCACAGACAGATAAATTAATATTTGTTTTAATAAATGAGTATTATAGGTTATAGGCAGGCCCGTAGCCAGGGGGGGGGTCGCAGGGTTCGGGCCAACCCCCCTGGCCAAAGATTCTTTCAAAATCATGCAGTTTTTCACCATTTTGAGCATTTCTCATGTGATTTTAGCCATATTTGGACCAAAATTGTCAAATGTGAACCCCCTGGACATTTTTGAATACTGCCCCCCCCCCTTGGCAAATCCTAGCTACGGGCCTGGGTTATAAGCAGTATCATGGGAACCAAGGAAATGTTTATTATTTTCTGTTTACTTCGGAATTCAGTGAACCATCTGTAGATTGAAAAACAAGGATCAATAAATACAACTACTCAAAATCAAACATTAGAAATCTATTTTTGACTGGACACATTTTTGTTCTCGAATGCCAACTTTGATTTGAATGATTTCGATCAAATAGGTAGGTGTGAACATTTTCGAAACAAATGCGTGATATATACAGTCACATATGTACCAAATGTGTGACATAAACGGCAATCGCGTGCAAAGACCGAACGGAATGCGCTCGCTTTTTTTCGCCGTTCGGTATTTTAACGTGTCGGCATTTCACAAAAAACGATTTTTAAAAATTTCAACAAAATCCGTGATTTGCGTGATATTTGATCATACACGCTAAATTGATGCGTGATTTCTATTTTTCCAGCAAATGCGTAACAATCACGCCTAATGCGTGAGGGTTGACAGGGCAGTTATTACATCAGAGACATATAAAACGTGACCTGATCGGGAGAGGATTCGGGTTGTACACAGTACACACATTGCTATCTCTTTATGCATGTTTAATTGCCAAATTACTATAAAAACAAGCTGGAGTAACATTAAGTATTTATTTAGTATTTTGTTATCACACATCAAAAGGCGCATTTGAAGTTCAGAAAATGCAAGAAGACTTGGATAGACATTATGTATTTATATATTTATATGTTATGAATTTATTTTGTATTCAATTCGAATTCTGTTGAGTTGGACTCCTTGAACATCCCCCCTCGGCTACGGGTATAAGTACCTTCGGCACAGGAGAGAATAATATTAGACTTCTGCAATGTAACTAATTAGAGAGACCTAAAATGAAAATAATGTAACAGTGGTCTACTTCGGGTAACTGTTCCTGTAAAAACATACAATTGTAGTCCATCACAGAGTTCATTTATTTCACGAAAGCGTCAAAGGACATTGCCTCTAAACACTAAGATAAACAAATTAACTTCCGCAGAAACATCCTGTAGAGGAAAAAACAAATGGCTTTTCATAACGGATTAGAATAGCCAGTCTGTCTGATTGTATACATGTAATATGTTAGATACATTTTAAATTAAATGAATTTTGACGGATTATGTGATTCCTGGGAAATGAAAAATAGTTTATTTTTCCTGGCTGTTTAATGAAAGCACATTTAAAAATCTCCATTCATTAACATCTAACGGGCTTTGAAAACCAGGGATTGAAAACGAGGAATCAATGGTAGTTAATATGATCTTAGAATTTGTACACGTGTATGAGAGGTGCGAAAGGCAGGCTGACCGTGCGGTCGCCGTATGGTTGACATGCGGACAATGAAAGAATGCGAAGGGTATCTGTGTTCCCCTGGTCTGGCCGTATGATTGCTACAAATGGATATGCATGGATTTATTGCACTCGACAGAGTTATGTTTATGTCTCTTGAACGGTGGCTCTACCTCGATGCATCTGTTAATAAATGAGACTATAAGCTTTATTGGATGTGAATTCACCCTTTCAAATTCAAATTCCAAATAAATAAAGCACACAATTTAAGTGTGACAAAAAAGAGCAAAACTAAAAACCCGTTCACCTGTAGTGCCCGACATTACGTTAATAAACAATTTCCACATGTTGAAATATATTGCTATTTGATTGAGTTCAAGACAAAACATTTTGGAATTGTTTCACATAATGTAATATTCCTCGGATTTGATGCATACACATGTTTCACAATCAGAGACTAGGGTCTTATACGGGGTCTTACATTTGGAAAACCAATCTATAAGTAGTATTAGATTATCACAAAAGATAAATAACTTTTAAAACTGCGGTTAGGTAGCATCTTGATTACAGTAAAGACAGGTCATCTAGGAATTATTTCTGCCTCTAATTCCTTAAACCGCTTCGTTGAACAGTGCCAAAATATTTCAGTCAGATCCTAAAACAAAACTATTTTTATTTTTAATCCCCTCACCTTGTCAATGTCTATGCCTGCATCTGGTTTTGCCCACCATTGGGAGGGTGCCGATATACACATAGATTACTCAGTTGCCATGGACAGGGGGGGCACAGAAACGAACAATCTGGGGTCATAAAAGATAATTGGGGAAGGGGGAGGGGAGGTGGTGAATAGTGAAGTCCGGGAGCGAAGTTAAGGGGTACTGAAATCTTTCTTTTGATATTTAGTGCTTGAATGGAGACTCGTTTCCACTCCCCGCACTCTAGCAAAATTTAAATATTTGATCCAAAGGAGTTATTTTGTATCAAACTTGCATTCCGATTAATTAACACTCCCACGATTGTACCGCCTCACTATTGTCTAAGATAATTATAATGAATTCACGGGACACTATAGTCTTCCTTTTAAACTTTAGTGGTTGGATCAGAGACATAAAAACAATTATAAATATTTGATTTAGGGAGGTATTTGCAATCCAACTCTGATGATACAAGACTAGTCAGCCAAGACTAAATTATGAACTTATTTATCATTTAGACTATTGAGTTCATTAAATTATTATTCCATAGATATCGCATTTAATCCTGTCAACACAATCGTGGTATCAATTGGCATGATATTTAATCAGAGAGACGGTTTAAAAAGTTGTTGATTAATGATTAAATATTAAGTATTAATGATTACGTATTAGGAAAAATCCTAATTCAATGTTTTTGTTCTCTCGCAATAGCAAACCCCTCGCCGGGCAAGCATTCTTTAAAAACGTGAAGTTGAGCAGTTTTGAAAATTGTCCATTTTGAACCACCGCCTTGTATATTTTTATAACTGCCCTTAAATCACGATAACCGTGATTCCCGAAAGCTGAGATAACTATGGCACACAAATACTAGTAGTAGTAGTACAAGTTATGGAAAATAAAAACACCGAATTTTGAAATGGGTTCAAATGTCGCAGTCTTACGTTGTCTCCGTTAACAATGTAGCTTTAATATTAAGACATATTGATTTCAATTAATAAAGTGCCCACATTTTTCTTTCATGGAGCGCATTTAAGCAATCCAATATTATAATAAAACCGCTAATAAGCTAAATGGGCGCCCGTGTTTTTGCAAGCACGTTATAAATGTAAAACTAAAATATATATTTCAACTGCTGCACTAATCACTTCTGGTGACTTATTTTGAAAAATCATTTATATTTATTCATTACAACTTTCAAATGCCAAAACTTAATTTATCAATACCCGCTTTTATTAAAACACTCAATATGTCTATGTCAACAAGATAGTGTCAACATGTTGTGTCAACAACATGTAACCTAATGTAAACAAATTATACGCAAGAGCAGAGAAATGTATCATCCAGTATAATATGTTTTTCCCAGTTGAACCAGATGGAATATAACAGCTGATAACAGCTGATAACAAATTAAAACAAATTATACAAGTATCAGAGGAGAAACTCCAAAAAAGTCCGTATCATTCATTGTTATAATTATGTCTTATACATAAACCTATGATAACAGGTTAAAACGAATTAAAACAACTGATATGTATGTTTAATAGGTTTACGATACTGTATTAATCATGGGATTTTACATAGTGCAAAAAACAACTTTCTCTTATATAATGTTGTGCTGTCATTTGATCGCTTATTTTTAGGTTTGATCGACGCATTATCCAATTGACTCGCACTGCAAGGCTTCTTTTTAATATCCGAGATCGTTTGACTTAGGGCCAGAGCAGCCCTATCTAAAATACCGAGATGAACTTCTATCTGTGTTCCATTGGTGACTCAGAACACAAAACACAGTACAGCACAGCACTGATATTTTTTTTACCAAAGATGATCAATCATCGATCTTTTCTACGCAAAACCACTAATCTATCACAATCGCATAATACTCCTTGATTTTTGAATCCATATGAATTCTCACCTTTATTTTTACAAAACGATTCACAAATTCTATGTCAAATCCAAGCAAGATTGTACTTTTCAATGACATAAAAGTATTCATACTTCTGTTTCAGTTACACGTGGTCTTTAAACATTTGGGCAAAAAGCACAGTGGCAAAGACTTGGCAGTTCTTGGCTTTCTTATAGATGTCTCTGAAACTGACAACCGTCTATGGGAGCATTTCTTGAGCCACTTGCCCAAAATAACACATCAGGGTAAGTGGAGAGGTGCATTCTGATTTGTTAATACACACCGTAGACAAGCCCCTAATTGTATCCATATATTCAGAAAAAGAGGCCCATGTGGTTAACTGACTTACAGACAAAATGTCACCTCCTGATAAAAAGTGATATTTATGAATATATTTTCTTAAAAGATATGGAGACAAAGGTGGACAACTTCAACTTACGGTCGCTACTACCAGATGACCTTGACCATTTCTTCCGTTACCATGGCAGTCTAACAACACCACCTTGTTCGCAGACAGTAAACTGGACGCTGTATAGAGATACCATCAAATTGTCAGAGAGACAGGTAAATATTCACACATTTCTTCGTCTGTTACCACGTAACTCCCGTTACCATTACCACGGGGTACCATCGAATAATTTTGGCAACGTACCGGAGAACGACATTTTACTAAGAAATGGCAATAATTTAGCACAATATATTTTTTAACTAGAGTTCTATTTTGATTTTGACAAAAGTAAGTATTCCATGCAATAACTATTTCATTCATGAGTTTGTAGGAATTCTGTTGGAACCCAGTTCTGATCAAGTACGAAGTTATTGAAATCGGCGCAGACGGACTTTACTCCGAAAGATGGTTTTTCGATTATACCTTTTCACAACATTTAAGTATAGACTTTTGAAAAAAGTACAGAATAGTCCTTATACTTTTGAATAATTCTGTTATTTCTGATTCACGCGACTCTGATTTGTTTAATTAAAAAAAAGTTTTAAAAATATTACTTAGGAACGTAACCGGAGCTGGGAACGTAACCGGAGCAGATCAGTTTAATTATTTAATCAAAAAAATTAAAATATATGATTTAAAGCACATATACTAATTTAAAAACATACGGGATTGTTCGAATGCGTATTTATTACATTTTATTTAAAGAAAAAAATGTATCCATTGTGAAAAATTAAATTTGGTATTTACCATGCATAAGTGCGCTTACCTTAGAAAGGCTATCAAACATAGAACAATCATTGTATGGAGAATGAAGTGATTAAATGTAGTAAGCAAATAATTCCATTTGATTTCACCCATTGTATTTGTTCAGCGAACTATTAGAACCCACTCTGTTATACTAATTTCGTATATAAATACTGTTTATACATACATGTATTATACTTCTAAGACAACTTCTCGTTTTCAGGGGAAATAAAAGCATTTAAATGCTAGATTATTAAAAAAGTTAGGATACAACGAACTGTATATAGCGTAGGTGTGTTAAGTACTTGCCATGTGCTCGACCAAATCGAATCAACATATGCTTTCTGAAATTCTTCACCTAACCCCCCCCCCTCCATATAAACGTAAGATGTTTGAGTGAGTGCCCGTTTATTGTTTTATGCAAAACCAGTTGTTATCCATCTTTGTTTCGATAGACCTAGGCGTGTGTCATTAAGCAAGTAAGAAAGTGAATGATTTTTTCTAGTTAAACTACAGAACATTGCTTTTCAGTCGTTAATAGACAGTGTTCTATAATTCTATCACACCAAGTATGTGTTTGTAAATAATATATATGCTTTAAATCATATATTTTATTTTTTTTAAATTATATAATTCAACTGATCTGCTCCGGTTACGTTCCCAGCTCCGGTTACGTTCCTAAGTAATATTTTCTAAAAAAATTTTTTAATTAAACAAATCAGAGTCGTGTGAATCAGAAATAACAGAATTATTCAATAGTATAAGGACTATTCTGTACTTTTTTCAAAAGTCTATACTTAAATATTGTAAAAAGTTATAATCGAAAAACCATCTTTCGGAGTAAAGTCCGTCTGCGCCGATTTCAATAACTTCGTACTTGATCAGAACTGGGTTCCAACAGAATTCCTACAAACTCATGAATGAAATAGTTATTGCATGGAATACATACTTTTGTCAAAATCAAAATAGAACTCTAGTTAAAAAATATATTGTGCTAAATTATTGCCATTTCTTAGTAAAATGTCGTTCTCCGGTACGTTGCCAAAATTATTCGATGGTACCCCGTGATTACAGCCTATGGTTACTTAGTTCACAAACAGTACATTAAATGGACAGTATAGAAAAATACAAACAATAAGTAAAGGTTCCGGGACATGTCAATATTTACCCATTACCTCATGGGTACCTTGAGACTGCTTTCATAACCATGGTTACCATGATACAATGCTTTCATGACCATGAGACAATGCTTTCATAACCATGGTTACCATGACAGCTCAAGTCTCTTTCTAAATGTGACATAGGAACGTGGCGGTTGTAAAAGTTATAAAACGAATATTGCATGCTTGATTGTCTTAACTGATTGCTGCCTTCATATCCGGTGTAAAAGAAATTATGGTCCCCTTTCCTTAAGGCCCTTACTGGCCCTGACTGTGTATAAATAATAAGGAAAATAATTGTAATAAATCAATAGAGAGTAGGACCAAAATTTGATCGGACCACTTACCCTTTTACACCGGTGTCCCCATCATGATAAACCATGACATCTCAAATCTTCTCAGCCATGTTTCAGGTAAAACATAAAGATTCTATAAGTATCAGAATGGGTGTCCCAAAAAGTCTACCCAACTTAGACGAGAATAACTCCTTTTCCATTATCGAAAATGCTTAATATTTCACTTCATATATTATTGACTGACACAGATTTTCCATTCATTATATTAATGCAAGGGTGCCATGGCAACAAATGGAAAAGAGTAGTTATTAACAAATTGGGTGTCAAATTAGAGACACATTCGTCACGTTCCTAAGCGCACCTTTATATTACACATATGTAATGATATGTTTTTTATTTATTTTTTCAGCTGAATATTTTCCGCCAAAACATGAAAGAGAACAAAATTAGTGATGCCAACGAGCGTCCAATGGTTGACAACTTTAGACCCGTTCAACCTCTAGACGGTAGAAATATACATTGCACAATGGAAATCTAGCATGAAATCAGTTGGAAGTGTTTAACAGTATGAGTATACCCAAGAATACTATAGCGATCGGAAGACATACTCAGTTGAAATCCTGTTGAACATATGTTTGCGACCTGTCAAAATAATGAAATTTTGACTAAAGTAAGTGAGACTGGAATTTAGCGCCCTGTAGAAAAAACAAACTGTGGAGATCACTGTTGCATGACAACAAAGAGACGCGTAGCCATGGGAACGTAACGCAAAATACAATGGAATATGGGAAGCTAAAATTTATTTTGAGGAACGTTTGATAAAAGCGTTGAAATAAAACTATTTACAACTATGGTATTAGAATTCAGAAACACCTTTGAATTTCACAAAATTCGGATTGTCGATGAACAGCAACTTTATAAGTAATTTATTTTCTCATTTATTTATTGGATGGTTTTAAAAATCCTGTACTTAAGAAGAGTATGCTGCCCTCATCGAGAACATCCTAACTTGATAACTACTGACAGAATTGTAATTATCGATGACATTGACTCTAAAGAAGACAGGATTGCAGGACTGGGGGATTATTATTTAGTAATAATCTTTCACTTAACGAGATCACGTACTTTAAGAAATGTCAGTTGATGTTATATCTAACTATAGGTTGTCAAAAGGCTTTCTAGACATTTCATCCCTTGGACTTTGCGCTCGCTAGATTGTTCACCTTTTAAGCTTTTCACCCCTGGATGTTTCACCATTTAGATAGTTCACCCCAAGACGTTTCATATCCCCTGGACTTTTAAACCCCTTGGGCAAAACGTCTTTATACCCTCAAAAGTGGTGGACAATTACAATGTCTGTGAGGTCCAGTTGTCAGTAATTTTATGAAAGAGGGTCGAATGCTATGTATAGTTTGTCTCCACATACGTTTCCATAGCAACCAATACCATCGAATGCTACACTTTAAATCACTACGTCCATGGCAGCTGAGGGTATACCAGGCTTACAGTTAGACAAAGCAAAAATGAAGCGGGACATATTCATCTATGTAACAACATGTACTTTGTATTTACATTAATAGTGAAAAAATAAAATAAAACATCTTAATCTACGAATGGTAATGCCAGCATTTTCGTTGGCGTCTTTTCTGATTTTATAGCATTTTGGGAAGAGATTGTCGAAATTTCGGAGACGATTCTCTGAGGAAATTGTTGAGACATTTGAAACAACACACTCGTTTGGAATTTCCTATACTAATAATAGGCCTGCAGAGACTGTAAATATGATATTGCAGCAGCTCATGATCTAACCTTCCTGTTCAATATGTAACAAATGTCAGGTGGTGACATTTTGCATGTTAATGCCTTGTATATGTCACCAAATATTTTCAAGATATTAGTCTTTCCTCAATCATTAATAATATAGTGAGTCTCAGGGTAAACGTCTGAACGTAGAGTTCACATTAATCGCTAAATGGATAAGCCCACCGTATTGGAAAATTTGTTACGCCTTAAAATAGACAAGGCATTAACTTGGAAAACGTCACCTCCTGCCATTTTTACAGCCGCCAAACCCAAAAAAAGTTAGAGACTATAACAACATGTTACCCTTTCTGGTGGTAACCTAATAAAACCAATTCCATGATCAAAGCGACATGTGACAAAGGGCAATCTCAAAATCGGCCGTAAATAGAACAAAATCAGTGAAATGGGGAAGGCGATTTCTGCTAGAAAATACAACAAAACAACAATAAGCCTTTTGTGATAGTAACGTCACCTATATAAGTATTTATTACAGGTCAACTTGAAGACCCGCGTTGCTCGATTTATAGTAAAAAGATTAACTTGCGTGTTGGTGACGTTGCGCCTTTTTAAACGAATCGCATAGCTTAGAAGTGTATCACTTGAAAAAAATCATGGAAGACCTAACAGAATTTACCAAACCGTGTGCCTATTTATTTATCAATTTATTGGCTAACTTTAAAATGAACAAAAATAAATCTTGCAGTTTTAATAATTTTTTTAGCAAACGTCGGCTCCTCGACCAGTTCACTCATTTTCTACGATTTACGGCTGTGCAAAATGATACTAACAAACACTCATATATTAGCTACAAACATGGTAAACATTTTTTATTGTTATTCAATATAAAAGCAATATGTTCTTTTTACCTGAGATACATAATAACTGAGTTAAATCATGCAAATTCATGGCTTCATGGAGTTAATTGAATACAAATGTAGCACTCAGCCCTTCTCATACCTTATAAGGTAAAATACCTTATAAGGCAACATACCTTATAAGGTAGCATACCTTATATGGTAACTGGCAATGCTGCCCTAGACTTATCTGAAGTCTGCATTCTCATTCTCAGCTTAAACTTAAATCAAGGCATTTCCTTGCTCTTTCCATTATATGAGTTTATGAGGTATAATGTTACTTTATTATCATCATACGTACATGTACTATAGGGGAGAGTATCTCACTATAGGCCACAATGTCACATTATATGGCAGAATGTCACTCCATGGGTAGGGGAGAATATCACACTACTGTATAGGCCACAATGTCAAACTATAGTGCACAATGTCACTCTTTAGGCCACAATGTCAAACTATAGTGCACAATGTCACTCTACAGGGCACAATGTCACATTATAGGGCACAATATCTTACTAGGGCAAAATGTCATACTATGATGTATAATGTCACACTATGGGGCACAATGTCACATTATAGGCCAAAATACTACATCATATGAAGAGGTTTCCAGTTTTGACAGTCTCTAAGTCTAATTTTGGATAGTTTTTACTGTTGATGGATCTGAGGGGTGTTTGAGCTGCTTCTATGCCATCTAAATCTCTTTGTAGTTTCTCTAAAGCCTTAAGTCCTTCAAGATTGTTACGCTCTGCATGCAACACCTGTGGAAACACAATATTTATTCTTATCTTATAATTAGACTGAGGAAATATAATATACAGAATGGGAATCTCCCAGGAAGATTTTGAGAAATGGTGAGTGAATGGAAAATTATCGCCCACTAGAAAATTTTCGAGAAATCATGTTTGTGTCAGATATCCATAACTAAGGTAAGAATCAGTTATTCTCATACATGCTAGTTCAGATGACTGTACACATGCTCAACCTACCCCATTTACTAAATGAAGCAAAATGATATTGAAAAGCTTTACGACTATACAGTTGTACCCTCAATTTGCAAGTTGGAATTGGAAATTGCCAAATCAAAGATATTCTTACTGATGGTACTATTTTCACATGTAAAATGTGTAATCATAATGGTGTGTGCAGAGATTTCCATTTTATGTACACATTGTCCTCCAACTGTTCATGCCCCTATGTTGGAATTGGCCTTTAACTGTATAAACTATGACTTTGCTATGGTTTGACACCCTCCCTCCATATATCATTATTAAATCCATTGATTTTTTGCTTTTTACTTGGAAACTGACATTTTTCAAAACCAATATTATCATCATTTACTCTCATGATATTTACAAATGGGGATGATCCCTTTAGACTTTTCCAATAACCCAGCCACCTTTTTGTGAATCAATGAAGCAATGATATTGTCTTGATGGATCATGTCATTGGTCGTACTTTTCAAAATTAGCAATCATTTAATGCAGTAGGCCTAAGTTTTACCATGGGCTTTCAACATTGAATGCCCATTGTTTTACTTAATTTTGATTGATTTTTGAAAAATGTCTGCCGGATGTACTTACTTGGCGTATGTGCTCTACAAGCTCATCCAGACGATAAACTTCAGCTTCCGCTTTTTTCCAATTCTCATCCAACAACTGCATCTAAAAATACAGTACATAGACCTAGAATGTAAATGAAATCCAACAACTGCATCTAAAAATACAGTATATAGACCTAGAATGTAAATGAACTCCAACAACTGCATCTAAAAATACAGTATATAGAATGTAAATGAACTCCGACATTTCTTTGCTGCTATCAATGCCAAATGAATATTCATCCCATACTTCATGGTGTAATCTAAATAAAAACTCACATATGGTTTTCTAAAACATAATAAAATGTCACCGCCAGGTTGGAATTACTGTACATGAAAAGGTACAAAAAATGCATGACAGAAGAACAGCACTGTACAACAATCACAAACAAGGCATAACCTGCAAAATGTCACCACCATTTGTTACAGCCGCCAACTGCCGATCGCCAACAGCCGATCACAAAAAAGGAGAACATAACAATATGTCACCAATTTTGGTGGTGAAATAAAAATAGCCCGCAATACAATATATTATAACAATTAGTTCTTCACAAATTAAACATGCCATGTGCAAGCTTTATATACTACACCCCGAACCAACAACATCATCTTGCAGCGCTGTACTGTTTTTGAAAACAGTAATTACTGTTTCATAAACAGCGCTGATGCTGTTTGAGATTGGCAGTGTAGTACATATTAAGTTGTTTACAATTTGAACTGCATAAAGAAGAGGATTAATCATTGGTGGACAGTGAAACCTGCATATCCCAACATCTATAGTTTTTTTCAGTCCAATTTTATAACCTCCCATAATCTCCTAATTGACTCACATATTGACAAAAAACCTTGAAATGTGAACAGCTGCTAATCTGAACACTTTTGGCATTGGTCTGAGTGGTGTTTGGATTAAACAGGTTTTACTGTGTATGAAAAGTGTTTGCAGTGTGTACTTACTCGTTTGTTGGCCTTTGCACTCAGTTCATCACAATACTCCCCCTTCTCAGAGAGCTTCCCCCTCAGAATATTGATCTGGAGTAAGAAAATACTGAGAGGTTATGTCACTATCATTGCATATATGCCTGAGGTTTTCAGTGATATATGATCCGACCTTGAGAAATGGCCACTCTCTAGCCAGAGCACCATAAGAAAGTGCAATATTCTTTTAAGGTAAGCACAAAATATTTCAACAAAATCTCTTTACTACTTTTCGAGTTATAGTAAAAAATGTAAAGTTTTTAGAATGGCAGCTTGCTAAAAGTGTCATACGACAGTGAGTGCATTACCAGGAGTTTTCACATATCAAATATGAACATAAATTGCTCCACTACTTCAATTTCCAGTTAAAGCAAAACTTGTAAAACAGTGTGTAACAGCCACCATTTTTCAAGATGGCTGCCATGATTTTCTAAAAAAAAGAACAAGATTCTCAATTTAATTAATATAATATTATTTTTTGCATTTAAAATATATACAGTGATCTCTCTAGGAATTTCTCTCAGGTGGGTGCAAAATGCTCATTTTCAGAATTTAGACTAAAAATTGGTCAAAATATGCCAATAATTCATGATTTTTTTCTAATTTTCAAGTGGGTGCAGATAGATTTTCAGGTGGGTGCAAGCCTATTTTCAAAATCTCAGGTGGGTGCTGCACCCATTTACTTCAATGATGGGGAGATCACTGATACCAGTATATATCAATAAATATCTGTAAACCTGACCATAAAATTGACAACATATGAAATGAAATAAACCTATTGAGATTCAAGATTTTATCGTGTTTCAAACCAAATCAATTACAGGACATTTACATATAATATAATAATACAGTTATATAGTAAAATACATTGCTTAACAAACATTTGAATTCAATGGCTACCATACAATCTAGTTTTTTCCTTATTTAAATAGCTCCCAATATTGATTGAAAAGTTTATTGATTAAAAAATGGATAAGAGCATGTGTCCAGATGAGTGGCAGTTTTCATTTGCCTGAAGCTTGTTGATGAAGAAAAGGATAGACAGATATAGATCTAAAATGGAAGGATAGATGGACGAATGCCTCTATAATATGATATATGAAAAATTATTGACTATGAGTGCCTTTTTGATGTTATAGAATGTACAGAGTGCTTCTTTACTTCAATAGTGTGCAAAAAATAAATATACCTCTTTCTTTAAATTATGTTTCTCCCGTAAGTATTGTCCTTCTGAGACATAACACATGGACCCCTTAGACACATCATCCAGTCTTTTGAGGGCTTCTTCTAAATGTTCAACGGATTGAGTTTTCTCAGCAACAAGTGACGAATTGAGAACTTGGAGACTCTTCAATTCCTTGCTAAGTTTCTGTAATGATAAATCCATTATGAAATCTTAATATCAAATGTTTGACTCTTGAAATGAATAAAAGCAAGGAGCTCCCACATCTCAAGCTCATGACCTCTTAATTACAGCAAAAGTTTGATCCTAGCCCAGTGTGTTTAGTGCTCTAGACAGCTAGGCAAACTCAACAACCCCAAAAAGGGTTGTTTCATCGGCCAATATGACTAGAGGGAACAGGTATTAACACTCAAACACATAAGAGGTATTATTAATACATTAATTCACACATACAATTGGCTCGACTGTCCTTTCATGGTTTGCAGGAAGGTTAATTGTTTGCATCATTTTTATAGCATTTCCAGGGGGTGAAAATGTGCAGAGCATTTTCGTCCCATACACAAGAAATGCATTACAAAATCTGCCATTTTTTAAAAAAATTATGTAGTCGCAATTTTATTTTCTCATCTGTCAACATTTTTAGTACTTCCCCATTTGTCAATACAATCATCACGCTATAGAAGTATGATATCAAAAATTTGAATTTTTTCAAAAATTTTCTTTTAATCCCACATCCTTGAAAAACTAGATGGATAGATGTCAAAAACTACTGAGTATTATTTCATATATGACTCAATTGGCCACTATGATAAAAAAAACGGACGTCTATCTATGGCGGGGTAATTCAACCACCAAAGGTCAACAACGAACTTATACCACAGTACAAATTCTGACATTCTGATTGGCCATAAAGTTAAGAAAAATGTCAGAATATCTTCTTGCATAGTCCTAGACTTACATACATGACTTGGAAGTAAATTAAGCTGCCCATTGTGCCTGCTTTAAACATATCTTCCACTCGACTTCTAGAAACAAAGATTGAAGAAGTAGTTACTGGTCTTGCCATAACGTTTTCGACCCTTCTTTAACAGCTACATGTGTATACTTCTGTATACCTTGTACATGTATAGATAACAGCTAATAATTGCTTGATCCAAAGATCTAAAGGAATGTTATTGAAGTTCCTTAAATGTATCTGGTTCTTCAAATCAATGCAAACTTTTCGTTCTCTCTTTTGAGTAAAGGTGAGGCAAAGTACTACATCGGTTACCATATGTTGGACTCTTTATGATATTCGAACTTTGAACACCAGTTGTTTAAATATTCTTGGGATTGTGATAACTCCGAAATCCCAAATTACATTAAATATTAAACATCTGGTATAAGTGCTTCTGCAAAGCATTGTAACCCTTAAAGGCTAAGCTGTGTCTGAATGATAAACTACGTAGAGATTCATCATTTACTCATTGCCATTAGGATCACATGTTCAATCATTGAAGAACCCATGTACACCCTCCTTATTAGTCGAGTATGCTTGGTTGTTTACAATTCAACATTAAAACTTGCATATTACCGAACACTTTCTGAAAAAATCGGTTAATTAGATAGTCATGTATCCAAACATGTCTAAATGATACCTGCTGAATACAATCCTAGATCCTGGTACAAACCCAAGAAAGGGATTATAATGGTTAAGAGTGAATAAGTTCAACTGATTCACAACACTAACTCAAAACCTTAAAGAATCATTCGACTCTAGAAGAAGTTATCAGGACAAGATCATTTAGGAACTGGTTCTGAAAACCCTCCTCTGATATATGCTGACATCAGAAAATTTACTAGACTAGTAAAGCATAATCTTGTACGATATCATGATAGAAATATCATTAGAGAGTTCGATTTACAACAATTACAGGTAAATAAGACGACTACCAAGTAATTCAGTAGCATTCTAGTCTTATCGCATATGTAGTGTGATAAAAACTCTGCGTCTCTTGGTAAGAAACACCTGCAATTTATCCACAAATTGCTGGGGAAGATATACGTTTCATGTATCTTCTAATATTGCTGTTTAGTCATAAACAAACATGTATACTATCACTAAAATATGAGTAAATAAACTCATTAGAATGCAAACTCACATTAATAAGACTATGATGTTCTAAACATCAATAATCTTTGAATCAGAAACAACAAACAATTCAAGTGAGACGTCTTGATGTCTAATAGTTAATAGTATTACACATCAATTGAACTGTAGTGTCAGATGTCACAATATTGCTTTCTTGCAATATAGGTGTTAAAAACCCCATCACGCTTCTCATCCTTAAAATCTACAGGTGTTTCACATTCTCTTGTTGAAAATGAACCCTGATTTTGAAGGAAGTCTAGCTGTCAAGCAACGTGGATATGACAACTACGTTATGATTTGCATCTTTGAACACAAAAATGTTCTTGGGCAACTTTCATCTACCTAGTAAGTGTTCAAGAACCGTTCCCATATAACATGTATAAATATAACGAGAATTATTCTCGCATTGAAATCCTCTGTTAAACATCTCAAGAGGTTGACCACCATCTGCCTCAAATGTGAATGGTACAGAGGAAAATAAAGCAACGTTAAAAGCCTTATTCAATTGCCAAATAGAATAGGCAAACAGCACTAAACTACAGTAGCTAATAGGAATCGAACCGATGACTATGTGGTTCCTGAGAATAACATTCCTGTGACAGGGCACCAAAATGCCTTGTTTATTACTTGGAATCTTGACATCATAAACCTTAGATGTATATTTGTCCTATTAAGGGGGTAGTGACATTACTAGTCTCAGGGCAGAACGATTCCTTAACTCAGTGTTCTACTCAGAACAACATCTTAAAAAATGTACTGTCTCAAAAATGAAACTTTGATAAAGTATAGATGGAGTTGAACTGTTGAAGATAATTCGTATAGAAATATCTCCAAAACCACACGGAAAACTGAGATTTCCGTTAAAGATCATATGTATAACAGTCAGCAGAGGATGTCTGTGATTCTTAAAATCATGAGACTGTTACAAAAATAACTTGGTCAAAATTTGATCACGACAAGACATATGTGTGAAAAAATTGCCACTGTTAATATTAATTGACCAATGCGTAAAAAGGTAAGTCTGAATCTCTTGTTTGGAAGAGCTCATGTCAAGACAAACGAAACCATGTCTATAACAAAGAGTACACTAGCTCTCGAGTATATAGTACTTCAGTACCACTAAATGATGTGTTGAGGTTCTACCACCAAGGAAACATGGTAACAATGATTCCATGGTGAAAAAACATAAACCTCTAAACAACATGTAAGATCTCTCAAATAGTGATTGAACTGAACACTGATGATACCATGACTTAAAGTGAAGGTGTGGCTATTTAAGACACAAAAGTTTACACAGAAGCACGGCACGACTGTGAACCTGTTGATGATGATACTGTCATGACTGAGACTGGCTCAGTAAAACACTGAGTAAAACACCGTGTTTAAAAGTCACTTTGACTATACTCTGAGCAACCTGAACAAGGTCAAAATAAACAGGCCCATGGTCTGGAATACAGATATAGGGACTTGTTATAAGTAAGTATAACTACTTCCCCTCATCACAAAATAAAACCTTTGTAGGGGAAAGCACAGAATTTGATTTACAGTCTCTTGAACTGACTTACAAGAGATCTGAAAAGTAATCTTAGACTTCAAAAATCAACTTTTGACTTCAAAAGCTGCCAAGGCCAAGTAAAATAAAGGAAACAAAACCTTCACGGAGGTGATGTTTTAGACATACATGTAACCTTACTTTATCTGGCAAACTGAAAACCGCCAAATGTTTAAGTTTTCAAAGAACCTCGACTGTAATCTTAATTCCTCAAACAAATAACTCTGAGTTGAATGCTTTATGAGAAGCATCTGGAGAAAGTAACCTATGTCGAAGGTACTTCCGTCAACTCAATTCTGAATGTTAATATTCCAGGAATAGAGTCTAAACTGCTAAATAGGAGTATTCAGAAATGATTCCTGAGAAAAAAAGATTTCAGTCAGAAATGACAAGTTCATGACATTGTCATTTGTCAACGCTTACAACACTTCTTATATGAATAAGTACTTGTGTTGTTCAGTTGTTGGCTAATATGGCTAGAAGGATAGGCCTAGTCTAGAGACTCAAAAACTAAAACAATCTAAGTCACCTTCTACTTCTTTGTTGAAGAGACTGAATCAACCAATAACAGGATGATTGTGAGCATCCATGAATCGTTTTCTTCAGCATATATTAATAGCAACATGTACAATTACTTTGAGAAAACAGAAACGCTCAATCAGAGACCATAACTTATAGGTCTCTGATTCGAAAAGATTTTACATCTACTTGGAAGATGAGTAGGCTAAAAATGCTATATTGGTCTTTTCTGTGAAGAAGATGACGACTTCACAGTAGACCTACTGTTAATCTTACAGTAACTCTTGTTAATCTTTAGCCTATCCTCTTTCTGAACAGTAGACAAACAACTCAGTCCAGAAATAACTGAACCAAATGGATAAGTGACAAACTTATCCTGCTGCGCAGAACTAGTATAAAACTGAATGGACTAAATAAACCAATTATACAGCTGTGGTCAGCATACGTGTTCTATGTATGCAACATTACATGAACTACTACACCAGATTTTACAACATACGGTGTTATTTTCTAAATACATTTAAATGTATGTGAACCAAGTGTCTTCATCTGAACATCTTATTGTGATCACGCTACTGTAAGATGAAGAAATATCTTCTTCATCCTAGGATCATGCAGTCCATGCATGACACATGTCAAATCCTGGAAGACAAATTTACTGGTGTAGTTATTTCTTCATGTTTATTACATAATTCATATCGGGACTGGAGTCCTTTTATAAACTGTGCATGAAGAAAAGAGGTGATAACTTCTTATGAACACGTATGTGTTTTCATTGTGGACTTACAACCAAAAAACACATGAGCAGTAAAGAAGCCATTTCGTCTGCGTTCTCCTGAACACGTATGTGTTTTCATTGTGGACTGACAACCAAAAACACCTCTGACTGTCTGAAGCCATCTTCAGATATAGATATTTTTCAAATTTCTCATATTCATCTGGAACTGAACACGTTTATGTGATGAATACAGATACGAAAAATTGAGAGCTGTGTAAACTTGAACAGATAATGTTTTCTTATGGACTGACAACCAAAAGAAACACCTCAGTGCAAGGCAAGGTACTGCAAGGCATAAACACAGTGTCTACCTTCTTCGGGCTTCCTTACTTTCTTATCTGGATTGAAAACCTCTCACATGTAACATAACACAGAGAAGAACATGTACTATTTCGTTCTCTGTACATGATGTGTTCTGATGGTCTAATGACCCCAGAGAAATTGTCATTAATATGACAAATTGTCTGGAAAAAGGGTCAATTGACCCTAGAGACCTTTTCCATATGCTTACTATAATCTCATGTCGTGACTGAAGACCCTATATGGAGCAAGCAAAGATAAAACAAACGAGGTAAGATCTTCGACATTTTATAGATCAGATGTTTTCTTTGTGGACTAACAACCCAAAGAAAAAACCTTGAAAACTTGTCTTATAGTTCCATATGATCTATTTTCCTCGTCCTCTTACTTTCATTTGTAACTGATGAACCTGTAGAACAACTAACTTCCCAGTTCCGTGTCCATAGTCACAAGTTATTTGTAAATTTATTGCGATTCTAAAATTTCCGTCTTTACAGAAGGAAAATGGCGGAATAATTGAGGAATATCCGGGCATTTGTGCGGGGGTGCACAGTGTAATATGCTCAAGAAATTCCCGGGAAGTTGGCCATAGATAGATTCAATGGTGGATGTTAGCACATAGTGGCAATATTAGGTAAGTATGGTTTACTAATAAAAACTAAAATTACTTTAAATTTTAAGAATTTATAACAATGGAATTTTTCCCCAATCAAGGGTACTGTACTATACGAGTTTTATACTATTATTATTATATTATTATTATATTATTATTATATTATTATTATATTATTTATACTAGTTTTTAGTACTATTCGTAGTTTTATCTCAATTATATGACCTCGGTAATTATAAAAAAAATACTAAATGAAAACACAAATATTGCATTGATTACAAATGTTTAATCTATATTTTATCTCAATACGAAAAATAAAGAGTATCAATATAACAAGAAAAACAGCTGCTTAGTTATATTGTGATATTATTAAACTAAACTAGAATAAAGATAACAGTTGCAGACTGAAAGGTAGCAATAATTTAACTAAAACCATTTGAATACACAGCTATTCAGGATTACACGCTTTTGGAAGCATTATATAGACAGGATTACACACTTTTGGAAGTATCATGAAGAACTGGAAATCGGTAATTTTATTTGTAATTTTCATTTCAGTACAAGCAACTTTATACTTATTGTTAAGGAAATCATCATCGCTAAGATTTAAAGCAGTAAATCAAACAAACATATCTAATGCTGTTCTAAAATGGAAAAATAAAAATACAAAACATATTGAGAGAGCTACTGTTACCAACAAGATCAACATTCCGAGTACAAACACTTCGAGGACAGTCATTGTGAGTAAAAACACTTTGAGTACAAACACTTCAAGTACAAACACTTTGAGGACAGACATTTCGAGTACAAACACTTCGGGTACAAACACTTTGAGGACAGACATTTCGAGTACAAACACTTCAAGTACAAACACTTTGAGGACAGACATTTCGAGTACAAACACTTCGGGTACAAACACTTTGAGGACAGACATTTCGAGTACAAACACTTCGAGTACAAACACTTTGAGGACAGATGTTTCGAGTAAAAGAACTTTGAGGAAAGACACTTTGAAAACAGTAACATATCCCAGGAATATCATATTTGGACCTCATCCGGAATATTTTGAAGATATACGAGTGAAAGAACACTTTGAGCATCTGCTTAATTCACATGAAAAAAACATAATTAATATACGTGTATATAAAGGGTTAGATTATCAAAACATTTGCGTCACCCATTCTGAAGAACTGATCTTCTCCCAAATAAAACACATGTATGACCTTGCTGGAATTAAAATAGGCCAACATTTGAACAATGAAGTGATGGAAAATCTTTTACAACAACTTGGACCCCGTTTATATAATTCAAGTGATTATGAGTATAGCGTAGAATGGACACAAGATCATTTTCATCAAAATGTGCACATGAAAATCTCAGAAACGTTCCTTGGGAAACAAACATATGGAGGTAGCAGCTTTAGAATTCATGTACAGGGTGTTCACAGTTTTTTGTGTAATGTCAAGGATAATTTCAATCGGACATATTATGTCTGTTGTCCCTATGTGCCACCCTGTAGTAACATTACTATCACACTCATGTATATGAATTATAGAGCGTTCCTCGATAATATACCAAACGTTAAACCATTTTCTCTGATCCTTGCTCGAATTCATAATTGTGATCTACATAGCAGGGATCAAAAGTCGCATGAGCAATTTGAAAAGAACATGATAGAAAAAGTCCATTGTAACAGAGATCCAAAATTCATTTCTAAATATGGGAGGTGGATATCAAAAGAAGGGATTCAAAGATGGGGATTGCACTCAGAATGTTTGACAAAAGCACTGAAGGCCAAAGAACTCAAAAATTGTTTTAAAAAGCTGAAGAAAATTGATGCGTATGGTGACTCACATCTTCGTTATACAATGGCTTACTTTGGATCATTTTTTAAAAATGATTTCAAAGTTCAAGATGGTGGAAAATGGGGGTTTGATCATTTTAACTTTAACTGGTGCCCTGGTTCACCTGCAGTTTGGAAATCATTAAGTAAAGATTTCAACCTAACAGTTCAAAATACAAAACCATTACGGTCCAAACCTAAGGATAAACAAAATGGTGTGATTCTAATCAACAACGGATCATGGGATTTCATGCAAGGGTCGTTTTCAGAATATCTTCATAATATTCAATCGTTGCTTGTGCCTCTTATCAGGAAATATCGCCAAAATTCAGCATGGAACACTACACGTATCATCTGGCTTAGCAATATCGCATTCCCTCATGAATACAGGTTTATTTTCGACCATGGGGGTCACCATAAAAGAAATGACTTTAGGGCTGCTGGAGCTAATGCTTTAATTGAATCCCTTATTTTGGACTTAGGAGTGGACTTTATAAACCAGCTGGTTCCAACAAGTATTAGATCCAGTGATAATGTATGTAGTGCACATTATATCTGCCAACGAGATGTTAGTGGACCAGAAAAGGCAAGGGGAGATGTGGGGATAGCTGTTGCTAATATGCTATTTGATGATATGTGTACATAGTAGAGTGAGCACATTTGCACTCAACCAGAGATGGCTGAGTGCAAATTCCATTCATCTTTAGGAATAGGGTTGCAAACTAAAAATTGGTACCCATGAACACTAGAGCTCTCAAATTGGAAGGAGCAAGTGTTTCCTTATAAGGTAAATAGTCTGGATAATTTAGGAGCACCAAGAAAGGGAACTAGTACCCTGTGGGCAGAGTCTTATAAATAAAAATAATAATATCAATAGAAATAAACAATATTATGACATCAAATTGTTTGGTTTGCCTTAATTAGGTCAACAGCTGAGCAAATTTTAGAAAATAAATCTGTCCCCTAAGTTTCTCACTGGATTCATGTAAAGCACAGTTTGGGGCTTATTTTGAGCTTGGGTTCTCTGTCCTAGCCCCGCCAATGAATGTGAAAATTGGTATTAAAGGTGGCGCCCCCTACAATTTACCCCCAAATTTAAAACCAATCATTATTTCCATAATTGAAACATAAAGTGCACCTCTTTGGCTTACTAGGGGTTCAGTAAAGACTATTGAATAACCAATTAGAGATATTGTATGTATAATATTTCTGTATTGTGCTGACCTAATAGACTGGGCTGTGCTGGCACAATAACTGCAACACAACCAGTCTATACCTTTGTTTGTATGGCGAAATATCAATGCATGTACACTTCGACAAATATCATGCATTATTTCTTATCTTTCTGACCAGCATCTTTCTGGTGCAACATATGGAGAAAAATAGTTCACGGTTGTGTTGAAATGATGGTTCTTATAAAAAACATACATACAGAATCATAAAAACATCAGATTAATCAGTTCTTGAAATAATCACCACTTCCCTTGCACTTACAAAACATGCAACAATAAATTTTGTTCAATTTACATAATCTGTTTTGTACAATAATAGATTAGATGGAAGTGGAAATAATCTTGATTTGCATCATTAAAAATTCAAGTGATATCATATTTGAAATATATAAGCACTAGTGCCAAAAGGGAAAGGACCAAAAGTTGTAATGGAACTTAACAAGAAAAAGCAAACTCTCTACATATAAAATTACATCAAGAAATGTGTTTTTGCAACTTTGAAAATTTAATTTTCTTTGAAAATGTGATTTCTAGGTCGAGGAGATTCTCCATAGACCCCATGTTAAAAATCAAAAAAAGTGAAATATCTTTTCTTGCATTGGACAGATAATAGGGAGTTTAAGCTTGCTTATAAAATCGAAACACCAACCTATACGTATGACCAATCCCCCATACAAATGCATTGCTTGAATATTATCTGTTCATGTTTAGGTTATGAAAAACATCGCAAGCTTAAACTCCCTAATATTTTCTTTTACTGGACATATTTTAATTAACATAACTATCAGATACATATGGTAATATCAAATCAGAAACACTAAAACTGATGAATATTCAAGTTTAATGGAACTTTCTGCACCTGCAATGTTATCGGCCCCGAAATAGCCTCCTAGCAGTGAAACTAGTAATTGCCTATTCGCATCTGGGTTATTACATGGTAAAATCAGATCATATACAGAATGTCCTTTGTGGTAAGATCATGTCATTTTCAAGGACGAAGCCATAATCCAATGGGTCAAGCTGAGTATTTCATAAAATATGTATTTGCATAAGAGTTCCAATTGATAAGACTGAACTAGCATGGACCATTAGTTGCATAGAATTCAAAAATGATCAATGCATGAACATTTCAAATATGTTTCTTTTTTCTTAAAAGTGATAGCTATGAGCAAATGTTAACTATAGTCTCCCACACACAAAGGTCTCCAAATTCAAGGATATTTTCAAGCCAAACTCCTGAATGAAACATAAATTACAGTGAGTTACAGAAGCTAGTGTACGTATCCCCGATGTATAAGGGGTATTTTAAGGGGTATATCAATAATTTCTGCATAAATTTTATTCTATTATTTATTTTATATGAATTACAGGCATCTATATTGGTCTAAAATGAAAGAAAACTATTAATAATGCATGGGGATAAGGTGTGGAAAGTAAATTAAAAAGTAAAAGTATTAAAAGATGATGGTTTCTCTGAAAGTAATACGAAATGTTGTTCTGATTTTCAACCCCTTCCACCCCTGCTTTTTTAATTTTTGTTGCATCAATATGTTTCGTTTTGACACACAGATAACCCCTTAAAGGAATAAGTGATTCCTTTGGGGGTTTTAAAGATATCCATTATGGGTGACCAAAATTAGCTGAAAGCAATGGATCGCATGAGTTTTCCCTATGGGAAAATAACATGGGAAATATTGTTTTCCACTTTATCTTAAAGGACTCACTTATTCCTCTAAAGAGGTTAACTATGTGTCAAAAAACAACATATCGATTCAATAAAAATTAAAAAAGCAGAGGTGGAAGGGGTTGAAAATTGGGAAAACATTTCAGAAAAACATGTGGGTGGGTTGTTTGCATCTTCCCTGTCTCAAATTCGAAATTATTTTATCATCTCTATGAGTGATTTTCCTCAGCTGCTGACCTAAATCTTCTACTATTTCATTCAGGCAATGTTTGTTTGGGTTTTACAGACTTACAGAGACCAGTTGATTTAAAATTGGCCGATGCAAATAGTTTTTTTTCTAGTTTCTTTATCATATTATAATCATAACTAAGACCTTGACTCTATGATTTATGGTAAATATATGGCTCAGACTTTATTCTGGCCATTGCCTAAAATGATGGACAGAATAAAATTAATGGTCATATATTTGCACCATAAATCATAGATCTTTATTCCTTAAATGGTCAATATAAATATTCTTGAATCTGATAATCATTTAAAGGGACGGGTAAAAATGAAATGTTTTAAAATAATTCATTAAAAGTAAATTCCTGTGTTATATTTTAATATTTACTATGCTGTTAATGTTTTTAAGTTAACAAAGGCATACTTTTGTAATTATATCAATACCTAGGAATTATAAATAAATTGAAATTGAAAAAAAAAAAAAAATTTAAAAGTTCACCTCTATAGTTGACTGTTGGTCCACCAGATGGCCTACATTGTCAGCCATACTCTCCAACTTCGACTTGGTATATTCCAGATCTTTGCTTTTATTGGCTATTTCATTTTTCCTTTCCACCAACTCCTGTCGAAACTTTACTTCTCGTTCTTGAAGGCTGAGAATTTGCTGATGTAGATTTGTTGTTTCTTCTTTGTAAAAAGTCTTTGATGCTTCAAGTTTGCATTTCAAGGATTCACTGCAAGACAGACATATAGAGGGGTATAAGTTGAATGAATGTGGAAAACTGATTCTCGAATACCATATTTTACCATTAATACTTTTGTAATGACAAAACTAAGTAGAGAGTGAAAAATGGGTTACAGTTACGGTTACAGAAGTGTATCAATTTCTTACAGATGCAAACCGCTGATGTTGAATACTGACACTGGTCACAAAAATCTGTCAAAAAATATGTTGCGACTTATTGGTGGTGTAATTAAAACTAGTATGCATGGCAGCACACGCAGCAGTGTATGACATATAATTATTATAGCATATAGACAAGGATAAGATAAAAACGAAAAAACTCACATGTCTTGCATAAGAGACTCCTTGTTGGCATTTGTTACTTTTTCTATTTTAGTCATTAGGCTGATGATACTAGACAACATGTCTCCAAGGGAGGCTACCCTATCAACAACACCATTCTCCACTTCCCCTGGTGATTTACTAGGACTCTCTTCTGCATACTGGCTAGCCTCACAAACATCCACTGGCATTGCATCAACTTCATCAAATGATGTCATATCTCCTTCAACACTTGCTGAATCTTTGATTGTGTGTGGTTGTCTCTCTTCTATTGAGTCTTTATTAGATAGTTTTGTCACTTTTGTAAATGCGCTATTTCCACAGCCAATTTGTACAGGTTGTTGTATTGTGTTGTCCGTTATTTCAACATCAGGGGACTGATCTGGTGTAACATAGATGGAATTTGTGGTTGTTAGATTTGATGTGTTTGATGAGTCGGCCATTTTGGATGTGTCAGCCATCTTGGATACATTACTGATTTTGATTGGTTCCTGGGATGAATCAGGTGACTCAGGAGATGTTTGTATGGCAGAGAGTATGCTGGATATGAGACTCTGGGATTTGAACGTAGATGTCATCAGAGGGGGTTCTGGGATAGGTTCCTCTGGTTCATCCTCTTCAGCTTTGTCGCTCTGAAACTACAAAAATTAAATACCAAGAATGAATTCACATTCGCTAACACACCAAACATTATCAAGGTTGATGGCAAATCGGGGTTAATTTAACCTTAAAATCAAGTTTGATTCAACATTGATATCCTCAAGCTTGAATCAAGCCTGAAAAATCAACACATTGATTTAACACTGAATCAACCAAGGGCAATTATGGCTTTATCAATGCTTGAGAAAATGTTGAATCAACATTGATTTTTCATTGAATCTGTGTAGCACCTCATATTCTGACTTTATCTTCTGACAGAAACATTTGAGGACGTAATTGTTCCATATAGTTCACAGTTAATAATACACAATTTCTATTAATTCATTTTATAAGAGCTACCTGTGATGTTTTTTCAGAAAGGGCTTCTATGACTTGTTCCATTCTCTGGGTGACACGATCTGTTTCGAATGCGACGTCACGTATCTCACTGCCCTGGTTCAGAAGCATATAGTGGGCATGTGCCTTGGTGCTGTCCAGTTCATCCTTCAACTGATGTATAGTGTCACTGAAGAGAAACACAAATGGAATGGTTTAAAGCTAGACACAAACACATGACAAAATGTCTGTTGTCAACATATGATTTGAGCTAAAAATTGTAACAACTGTAGAACACATAAAATTCGTGAACATCTTAAATTTGCGTATATTCCCAAAAGTGTAAAATTACAAATTCAAGATGCCAAAAATTTAAAGCTGTGTTCCTTGCACAAATTGATACACTTGCAATAATCAAAAAACAGGAGTACACCAAGAAACAAATGTACAAATCCACTAAAATAGCTCCAGCAAATTCAACATGTTTTACAGTATGTGTTAGAGACACTGACACAAATGTCAAATACTAGTAGCAGTCACATCAAATAGACTGTAGCTATATTTCTTGTTGGTGAAATGATAAGCCTTTTAATAAAAAAAGTTATGAACATGGGAAAGAATTCTCTTTTAAAGGACATTGGTCCATTTGACAATAATGACATCTTCCATGTTTTTGTGAGCTGTAAAACTTGACAACAAAGGTAAGACCTTTCAATGAAATGCTATATCACAGATTTCAAATACCTTTGAGTTTGGACCTGTTCAGTAAGATCTGCACATAGTTGAGATTTCTGTTGGAACTCTCGTTGCTTAGCAGCTAGCATCATAGTTGCTTGTTTCAGAGATTCTTCTTTTTCAGCTAGACTCTCACTCAACATATTACGTTCCTCTTCAAGAAACTCCTGGGTTTCTTTGCTGGAAGACTGTGTGCTCTGTTGGTGAATAAAGAAATCAAGATCTGAATCAATGTAATACTGTAAAAGCCCAAATTTTCGCTGACAAAAAATTTCACTATTTTGTCAATCTGAAATATTGCATGGGCATTAAATTCCACTGTCTGAAGAAATATCCAATTTTATTCCATAGTTAGCATGATATTCATAGGATAACATGTTAACATAAAAACGGTATTTTTGTAATCAGTGGTAAAATATGATATTTTTGACAAATTTTCACTTAACCATAACATACGGTTTTTTAGCCATGACATACGACGTCGTATGCGATGGTTTATGGATTTTTGCTACTTCAGACTCAAAACGAGGCTAAGTGTCAACATCGCCGGATCGATTGGAAATTCGAATTAAATAACTTAATTTCCGACGATTCTGATGATGACTTTAACTATGGAATAAAAAGAACATCCTATGATTTACTCGTGATATGATTTTAATCCACTCATGGATATTGATATCTGCACTCTCTCGCTACGCTCGCTCGTGCAGATATCATATCCATTCGTGGATAAAAATCATATCACTCATAAATCATAGGATATCCTCTATGAATTCAATGTTAAATCAAATTTCCAATGTGCCTTTAATTTCACGGTCTAGCCTCTTCAGCGAAAATAGTGAAAATTAGGGCACCTTGAAAATTTGGGCATTTACAGTATTCTAACAAGAAACCTCATCTTTTTTCAAGTGAATTTTAAGATATTTCTTCTTCTTAAAATTAATATCAACATATTTACCTTGATTACCTGTTATATCAAAATTTTACATTTCTATTGGTTAATAAGAAATAAAGCCATATTGTGATTTCAAATTCCCTCCCCGTTATAAGCTTTTTAAATAACAAAGTTCATAGCTCATGTGTCATAGATTTAAGTACAGGCTGTGTCATTTTTTGCTTAAACAATTTATGTCTCAAAGTGTATGAACTGATTACCTGTAACAGGTCTTTAGTCATGCATAGTTCCCTGTATGTGTATTTACTCTCCTCAACCTGTAACTCCAGTTGCCTTATATAGGGGGTCATCTCTGCTATAGTTGCCCTCTGCTTGTCTGACTCTGCCTGGAGAGTGTTAATGTCCTCCTCTCTGGAATCTAGAGTCCGCTGGAGGTTCTGTGTATCAATATCAAACCTGAAAAATTTTGAAATCTTAATTTAATTCCAACAACATAATTACCAAAAATATGTTATATGCAGGGTGGTCGAAAAAGATGTACCCTCCGTATCAAAAGTATACGTTCTTAACAAAGCACCATGTTTTATTGAAAGGATAATTTTACAATTTTTTTTCAAAGACCTGTGTTATAGAAGTTGAATGTGGTGTAAATTTTTCCTCGTATATTACTTATTTTGGACCACTCTGTATGAGAACACATAGACAATTACTTGAGGATTATGAGGACACCTGACCATAATTATGACCCACTCTGTATTCTGTATCAATTTAATGTATCTTACCTTTCACACTCAGCATTGAGATGCTCTTGTAGCACCTTAACCTGCTTCTCTGCCTCGGCAGTTCTATAAAACAACAGTACCAATTCTTGAAAAATATTGCAATTTAATGAAAATATTCTTAAACATGTTCTTCAGGTAGGTGGATAAAGGATCCAGATGTGATTCCAAATGTTCTGCAATTTCAAATATAGACGTTGTGTATAGAAGAAAATTTTTAAAAATTAAATGGGATTCTCTATACATGTTCAGTTTGATTTAAACAATTTCCGTTTCAGAAAATCAGTGCAGGTTTTGTATGAGCCAAGTCTTACTTTTCGCACTGTGCATCTAGCTCCATGTCCTGCACTCCTATAGCAGCATGTAGTGTTTGGATATGCATGAAGTTATCACAGTCCTGATCTTGTAAGATTGCCATGTCATCATGAAGCACCTTTAGGAGATCTGTCTTTTCTTGCAACCCTAAAACATATAATAATTTAATATATTTGCCATTTATGAGTTTGGAATGAATGAGTCACAAAGGCAACAAGACACTCGGCGATAAATATTGCATCATTATCAAGCAGCTTGCCTTGTGTCAGGTGCAATTCATGGTTCAAACACTTCAAAAGTTTTATCTTTACTCAACTGGAAAACGTTAGCTTCCAGGAGAGAAGAACATCTCAAGATCTTTGCTTTCAAGGCTAGATATAATTGTTTTCCCCCTTTCACTTGTGATTTAGTTAGCTCATACGAGAAGATTCAAAATAGGCCCCTAAGGCAACCTAGACATTATAGAATTCCCCCTCGAATTAGTAATTCATTCAAAAAATCAACTATTCTCAGGGCTCTGACCCTTTGGGATGATATACCATTCGCTGACAGGAAAGGCCAACCAATCTCAAGATTTAAAAGATTAGTTCAGTAAGAGGAAATGGGAGCCCCGACTCTCGTGTTTCTACTACAAAAATGAATATGACAATGCCAAGGAAAGTTGAAATTTTGTTTCATAGATTTAAAACTGGTCTGATTCTAAAAGCACATCTACATGCCCATATCTTTGCAACGTGCTAAACAACAAACAACACATAACTTTTTTTTAAACTGCCCTCTGCTGCAACAAGAAAGATGCACTCTCCTAGCAGAACCAAAAACCTTAGGATTTCTCAACAGTTTCCAAAACTTAAACTCCAATGAAAAAATTCAATTTTTATTATTTGGAGACAGAAATCTAACAGTAATGGAGAGTGAACAAATTATTCAAATAGTTAGCCATTACATCTGTTTAGCTCTTGATATTTTAGACTAACCCCCCCCCCCCCCAAAGGCCTCTAACATTTTTCACCATCCATATTGCGGACCAAATCTATTGTATTTCCAGTATTTCCAGTTTGACATGTTTTGTATATTGCCGACAATGTTGAAAAACGTAGGCAATAATATTGTATTGTATTTTTATATATTATATATGGAATAAAAGAGAAATGAAAAAATATAACACTTTAAAGAGCAATATATCTTTGCACCAGTCTACTGTTGCCTCTGTAAAACATGAAGTTGAATGGAGAAGCAGTTTTCCTTAAATTTTGGTGACAAGAATTATTTAGTTCCTAGACTACATCAACAGAAATGTTGAGTATATCAACAGATAAAAACAAAGATTTAACCAAAAGAAACCTTGATTACATCAAAGGAAATCTAGACAAGGAATACCGAGTGGACAGTGCCTAGAACTCTGGCACTTTTCTATGAAATTTCATACACTTAAATTCACAAGAGAAAAGGGGATACATATTTAAAACACAAACCACTAGGCCATAAACTATGCAACTTACTTTCTTGGCACAGTGATAGAGAGTCTGTTAATTCTGAGATACGTGTCATAGATGAACCTAGGTCAGCGTGAGTTCCTTCATACAGTATCTCCATCTATAAAAGTCATTGACAACATAATTAATACTGGTTAAATAAATTATTCCTAAATTATTTCAACCTACATTTAGATGGAGTGGATCCATGATAAAGTCTGCCAAAGTTATGACACCATAAGTGCATTAATATTTCACCATAGATATCAGAAGACTGTGATGTGTCAGTAGATATTTACACATTTCTAAATACCTTTAAATATCTTTCTGATGATGGGGTTGGCAGAACATACCTGTATCTTCTCAGCTTTCATGAGTTCCCATTCACTTTTCATTGCTTCATACTTCTCTCTCATTGCATTGTTTTCATCTGTCATCTTACTCATTGCATTATCATTCTGTTCTATCTTCTCAACCATAACCTTGTGTTGCTCTTCTAAATCGGCCTTCTGTTTCAAAGTGGACTCGGCAAGCTGGGTGACCTCACTGTGACCTTGACTCAGAACTGACATAAGCTCTTCCTGTATATAAAAATAGAATATTCTAAGAGGGATACAGTAAAACCTGTCTTAATTGAACATTATTGGGACTGAGCAAAAGTGATTGGATTAACAGGTGTTCACATTTCAAGGTTTATTAAATGGAGTGTATTGGAGAAAACAAAATTGGTTCTGAAAATAAGTGTTCACATTTGTTGGAATAACACCATGCAAAAATAAGTGTTCACATTAAGAGATTTTTAGATTAGAGAGGTGTTCCGTAATACAGGTTTTACTGTACTCCTATTTCCTAAATCACTCATAACATCTTTATGCATAGCGTATTACCTGCAATGTGTTAGCTGTCCCTCAGATAAGTATATTTCCTCCCATAACATAACATCTTTATACTTAGCATATTATTTGCACTATATTAGCTTTCCCTCAGATAAATATATTTCCCTCTGGATATTTTCAATATCTTTAACCTCCCATAGCATATTACCTGCACTGTGTTGGCCGTGTCAAGTGATGACATCATATCCACATAAACATCAAGTTCGGCTCTTAGTTCCTCTATTATAACCTGACTGCGTTCAAAATGAGGCTTGTAATCATTCTCTTGGTGTCTCTTTTCCAAATTGTGCATCTATAACATTTATATTGAATTATAATTCCATTGTCATGTTTTCCTTGTGTTTTAGTTATTTATCTAAGTTTGCCATCATGGACATGGAGTTGTAGACCTAATAGGCTACAGGTTTAAGTTATCACTAATTTAAATAAAGAATGTAGAAGTCAAAATCACAATGTAAAAAGACTGAAAATAAATATATTGAATGAAAATAATGGATATGCCATCAGAAAATTAACAATAGGATAACAAGTATAGCTTTCATGGCTTTCTATGGTATTTTCATTTTTGAATATGGAATATTACTCAAGCTCTTTCAGAGATAGCCATTATCTTAAACGCACACTGAAGCATTATCAGAGGACATTCATTATCTCACCTCCTGTTTATGCTGTTTGAATGTCCTACAGAGGTCCTCCTGTAAGTTATGGTTCTCTTCCTTAATGGACTCTAGTTGTTTTTGATGACTCTCTGCCTCACTTGTCAATGAATTCTTGAGGTCTTCAATTGTTCTTTGTTGGTCACACACTAAACCTTTCAGTTCCTTCAGTTCTGAATCTTTTCTAGCCTGAAAATATATTTAAGAGGCATGATATGACGAAAAGCGAAAATATGTCTTGAATTTTTAAACTAAAGCCTCAGCCACATTTGCTCTATTAGCCTATATGGCAACTGTAGCTTCACAAAATTGATTTTGAAAATATACATCTTGGGGCTTATCCCTATGTTTTATGATGCATAAATAATTCCCTTGATTTTGGGAAGCTATGACTTCCGTACGGCTGCCATATATCAAATGCGACTGAGGCTTAAGGTATGTTAAGTCGAATTTTCCAAACAGCAAGTATGCTAAAAAAATATGCATGTAAAAAAGGAAAGAAACCATTTAAATTCTTAACAAGGTAAGAGTCTGTACAACCCAGTAATGAGCCAGGAGGTAATGCTAAACTAAATAGATAATAAGGACTTCTTCATTCATTCAAAGATTACCTCAATATCTTCCAGTTGAAGATGCTGCTCCTCTTTGATCTTCTCAATCTCCATCTTGTTATCAAAGTCATTTTGTCTCGCCTCATCAAGCTGTTTGGTAACATGTTCTTGTGTCTGCTTCAATTCTGATAGCTCATGACGTAACAATGCATTACTAATGGTGGCTGTTTCTAACTGGTGGGCAAGGTCATGTGTGTTAAGGTCACTGAGGTCATCTTTGGAGTACCTACAAAATTGATGAATGTTATTTCAATAAAAGTGTTAGAGTCTTCTTGAATGTGATCTGTGATTGATCAGAGATATTGATTAGAAATATAACCATGGGATCATAAAATCTCCACCATGAATTAATAAAATTAATCAGACTTTTTCAAAAAAAACTCTTAAGTTTCGAGTTGCATAGGGAAGATATACATGTATTTGTGTTTCACGAAATGTTCTCAACATTTTATATTAATTGCAGAAAACATCAAAGATCTTAGCAACCTACCTGAGCACAGAGTTCCCTACAGGAGAGGTGATTGATGATCTATCCACCCTCTCTGGAAGTGGACTCATCCCTTGTGAGCTGTCTATCCTTGAAGGCAATGGGCTCATCCCTTGTGAGCTGTCCACTTTTGGAGGCAATGGACTCATTCCTTGTGCACTATCTATGTGTTTTGTGGGGGTAACCATGGTTTCTGTGGTTGCCATGCCAACAGGTGAAGTCATTTGTGAATTTTCTTGGCATTTTACAGGAGTAACCATAGTTTCAGTTGCTGATGTTTTGATTGGAGATGTAGAAATGGACTGTGTTGTCATCACTACTGAGGTATTTTGCTCAAAATCCAGTGTCTTCTTTGGGGTCATACAAGTTTCAATTGACAAACTCCGAATTGGAGAAGTACAAGTCTCAACATTTATACATTTAATAGGTGTCACTGTTGAGGTCTCTGAATCGCAGAAAACTCTCTGTGCTCTTAACATCGGTGAAGTATTAGTTGCAACAACCATGACTTGCACAATGTCTGTCATTGTTTCTTGATGTGATTGCGACATACATGTGGTGCTCCCTTCTTGTTGCTTGGATTGAGCTTCAGTTAGAGTTGTAGAGACACTTTCACTCAATGTTGACATTATCTTATCAAACCTTGAGTCCAGAGATTTATAACATGCTTCTGAATCAATTTTTATTGTACTAATCTCACTCAGTCTTTTGTTTGCTGATTTTGTATCATCTGGGAGATCTTTGGTTTCTGTTTTGGTGTCATTTTCACATTTGTGTTCATTAGAATCACCAGATTCTTCATCAATTATATCATCTGATGCAGGAATAATCACAATGTCATCATTAAAGTTGACAGTTTTTGAGTTGTTGCTATGGTGTTTTGTAGTTTGATTGTTGCTATTGTCATTTTTTTGCTGGTTGTTCAGAAGTATACCCTTTTTATGGGTAACAATGATAGGAGATTGAATATCAGGGTTGAGTTGGTTATCTGTATTTGTGGTATTGTTGGCATGACAACAAGTTGTGTTGCTATGGCAGCTTGTGTTGTTACCATGAGGATGAGAGAGGGATTGAAGAGCATTGTCAATGGTGCTGCTAACAAGGATATCCACGAATAAGTCGAGGAAATGACTTTCATTCACAGAGTCAGCCTGAAAATTATTAGAAAAGCATTTTCTTAATAAGTTGTACCATTTAATTTCAATTCAATTTATTTATTTCATAATTCTTATATAATATTAATTCTTATATAATATACACTTTAAAAGTAAAATCGGAATTGAAATTGAAGAAGATCACTTATAATTATTGTAGTAGAGTGAAAAGTGTAAACACCGAACACCTCCGTTACTGACAAAAAATATTCCTTGTATACAGGATAAATATTGTAAATCAATGGCTCTTTTCAAAACTTGTTCCTTACAGAGGTGTTTCATTTGCAAATGTTTAACTGTTCTGTTCATTACCTGTGGTTTGGTTGCTACGGGGCTTCTCTGCTCCAGCTGTTCAGTAAGCTCACCAATCTTATTGTCTCTAACTGCTAGCTCAGCTTCATATGCCTGCAAAAAAATGTATGTGTGCTACTTCAGGGTGATGCATATTCTAACACTGCACAATGACATCATTTCACATGTATTGAAATAAAAGTAATTCTCCATCAGGCAATATGATGTAATTAAATCATTCATTTATTTACAAGTTACACCATTCACTTTAAAACCACAAACTTTTCTGTAAGACCACTATCATTTTACATGGGCACAGTAGGGCACTGCAATTTTAACACACAATTTGTTTTAATAGCAAAAGTCCTGAAAAAACTTGAGAGATCTGGACAGTGGATATTAATTGAAGAGCAGTCATTTAGAGATAAAATCTACCTGCTGAGTCTTGGAGACAATGTCAACAACTCTGTTGTAGACTAAAGTGTTCAGTGCAACACTCTCCTCGCAGGGTTTTGATGTCATCAAAGCAGCACCCTCATTACTGGGTTTGTCTTTCACAGGTGTAATGTCCTCATAGATGGCTACAGGTGGCTTCTTGAGTGCTCCTTTCATTCTTTAATCAAAGTTGAAATTATAATATTCATAAATGCAAATTTTTACTCAGGGGCAAGTCAGCACCAAAGAAAAAAACAAGTTATACAATGGACAAGGTCAAAGTTTCAATGCTCGGTCAAAAGTTTTTTCATTACTAAATTAAATTTCAAATTGATAAATTTCAATTCAAGTTCTTTCTTCAATTCAATTACATTTGGCATGTAAATCATAAAATGTGAAAATTTTACTCTATTTTTTTTACTGGCCAAAGTAAGTCAAAATTTCTTTCATTTCAAAAAGGTGCGAAAGTCATTTTCTCAAAATCTGTGGATGTACTTGTAGTACTCACTTTTCTTAATGTTATCAATTACAAACTGGGCAAGGAAATAGAACAAGATTATCTTTATCGAATAGTAAATTACTTGTCTGATTTCCTCCTGGGTGTTTTCTTGCTGGGAGTTCCTACTTGCGCCCCTTTCTTCACCATGGCAACCACAGCTGAATTGTTAACATCCTTCAGGGGAGCACGAACAGGTGTCTGACAGCTTGCCATACTCTATAAAATAGTTTGGGATCTCTTTACTATAGAACCAGGGTTAAAATGCAACATGATCCAATATAAGAATAACTTGAAAACAGGAAATCACAATTAAACATTTAACAAGTTTTCTAATCATAATGGGATCAATTATTTGATTTTGACATCATTGTTTGGCATCTACGATAGGCCCAGGAACATGTTTTTTCAATGCCAAATTATCTACCACTTACTTGTTGTGCTTGCTTTGGATTTTCTTTATTTCTGACAATGGTTGGATTGTCAATATATCTTGGAACTGGAAGCATAATTGCCTGTCCTTTCTTTGCAATTACATTACAATCTGAAAAATATGGAAATTGAATAATAAACTTAATGAATAAACCCAGATAATTGTGGATTCAACTACACGAAAAGAATGCTAAAATACCCAGGAATCTAATGAAGTAGGTATCTTAAGTGTAAGAGGCGTAGAAAATTCTCCCATGTTGTAATCGTACAGGCAAAAGATTGAGACGTTCTCAGGACTATAGTCCTATATATAACCTGACCCAAACCATGGAACAAAGCAGTTTGGCCTGGCCCCCTCTGTGCCACAACCCGATGCCCACTCAACCAAACCCTAGGGCCTCTGATGTTACAAAACTTCTTGAGAGTTCAGGTAAAAATTAGGAAATGCACACCCCTTGTGAAAATTGTCTTATGGGCCTGATTATCATATCTTAATTAGCCTAGTCAAGTCTAATGCCTCAAATGTTTAGAAAACAGAACAGCAATATGGAGCTAAAGTCCTTGCATTGCTTCTCTCAGAGTAGTTCTACAAGTAGAACTTAATGTATGACCTTCTTCATTTCTGATCTTTCTTAGATAGCTGTACACTAGCCGGAGCCATATGACAAGTCAGATAAGAAACGAGGCCCCAGGCTAGGTCTAATGTTGTTGGACTACTCTCAGAGATGTGGTCCTTCCCCGAAGAACTTGGTAAAACTTGGTGAACTTCAAACAACTTTATAAGTTTATAAGTAATTTTCCGTCCAAGGCAGATGTTGCCTGTATGACAGTTCTGATACTTTTTGAAACTAATGTAGCTGGGCTACTTGTACGCCAGCAATTTTGTAGTTGAATTTAAGGATGGTGATACCAGTGAGCATTGAGGCAGTTTTTGAACTGGTTAACATAGACTGACTGCACTATGTACTCTGGGAGACTGTTCGAATTGTCAGAGGAGATAGGGGCATTCTCGGCCACGGGGCATTCCCGGACAAACCCTTGGCATCAGGTGCAAATCTGGGACAAAGTTAGAATTTTTACAATATATAGCACCACATCTATAATATGATGTGTCTAATACAAAGTTTCAATAAAGAAACCATATAAAACAAAGAATTATTGAAGATCGTCCGACAATGCCCCGTGTCCGAGATTACCCCTATGTCCTCTAGTTACCCTGTGGCTGAATGTCTATGTCGATAATCTGCAAAAGGCTAATAAGCCCATATAAAGCAGATATATAATTTAACAGTGATAGAATTTGAATAGAATATAATTTAAAACCTTAACATTTAAAAATAGATCTATGGTTTGTAACTCATTAAAATTGAAAGGAGCTTTCCTGGTTGGCCCCTGTACCCCCCTAGGAAGTCCCTTTATGTTGAAATACCATGGGGCGACTGTCAGGCTACCGCGTTGACATCACCCCTCTTTACCAGTAGTGCAGGCTTGTTGCTGTGCACTTGGGACCCTTTACATTAAAACATAGATCTACAGGGTGTCAAATAAGTCTGTTCTCCCCCCTTAACTTTTTTATCTTTAAATTTATCATACTTTCCCATATATCATTTTGAAGCTCATGGAAAATGCTGATCACCCTCAAAAAATCAATCATAAACTCCTCCTAATAGAATTGCTACAATGTTTCTTGTAAGATTGTAGTTGACCGTTGATTACGTCAAAACAAGTAAAATTACCAGGTATAATGAATGAAAAGTGAAAAGTTGATATTGTAGTGACAATGCCAACATTGGGTGGTTTCGATGTTTCTCAATATAATAATATCATAACAGAGTAAAATGTGTTACATTCAGGGGAGCCTTTGAAGCAGGGGCATCTTTCATCACAAAATAGTTGATAACACCTACAATTAAATGTTCTGAATGATTTATACAGGATCATATCCTCGTAGAATTGAGGCCCTCCAGGCTGCTAGGGGAGACATACAGACTATTAAAAAAGTGAAATATGGACATCACTAGAAATACTCTAAAAAATTTGGAATTTAACCAATCACTCTGAAATTTGGTGTGTGATCAGCAAATTAAATCCCCTTTAGGATGATATATACCAACCCTATGTTATCTCTGAATTAAAAAAGTTAAGGGGGGAGAACAGACTTATTTGACGCCCTGTATATTAAAAACACACCTATTTAATTGCAGTTATTGACATAGGCATAGTATGATGATTTAAAACTACTTAGACTGTCACATGCCCGTAGCCAGCTTTTTGTAAGGGGGGCTCGAACCCCCCTCCCCCGAAACCCCCCCCCCCGGCAAAAAAAAATTCCCCATGCCAAACCAAGCCCCTTTGCCCGGAAAAACTTTTTAGGGCCCTGAAATCAAAATTTGGGCCAAAATTTAGAAAATCTATGGCACGAATTTTGAAAATTTGGCCTAACATTGAAAAAAAATATGGCCCAAAAAGGTCAAGTAATGCCCAAAAAGACCCACTTAAGAGGCCGTGCAAAAAACTTTTAGGGCCTCAGAACCAAAATTCTGAAAATTTATGGCCCGTTTTTTGAAAATTTGGCCCAAAATTAAGGTCAAATAAAGGCCAACTAAAGAGGCCCTACAATATTTTGGCGAACATTTTTTCTGGGCCCATCCTAGGACCGCTTGCAGAATATTTTAATCTGAAAACAAAATAAAATTCGGGCCAAAATTCTGAAAATGTATAGCCCGTTTTTTGAAGATTTGGCCTGAAATTGAAAAAAATAAGGCCCAAAAAAGGTCAAATAATGCCCAAAAAGGCCCATTAAAGAGGCCCTACAATATTTTTGGGCCAACAATATTTCCGAGCCTATCATAGGGGGGGGCTCCCCCCTGGAACCGCCAGAAGGCTATGTTTAACAAAACACAAAGGATGATCCTAAAAAATCAGAGGTAAAGGGACACAGCGAAAAAAATTGGGCAAAATTTTGAAAAATAATTCCCAAATTCGAAAATCAATGCACAGTAACGCCAGTTTTATAATCTTAATTGCCCAGTCTTCAAGGAAGCAAAAAGGTAGGTCCACATTTTTTTAAGAGATATCAGGGGGGGGGGCTCGTACGAGCCCCCAGAGCCCCCCCTGGCTACGGGCCTGTGTCACAGTCTAAGATGTCACCAGGTAGGGTGTTCCATTTAGCTATTGTCCTAGGGAAATAGCTAAATTTGTATGCATCCGTTCTAGTTGATGGTTGTATGAACTTAGAAGGATGATACAGCCTAGTGTTGGTATTGATCTGTTGGCGGAAGTATGGAGGCACGTCGATGGCTGCTAGGTTTTGCTTTCCTTTGTAGAAAAGGAAAACTCTAGCAGCCTCTCGACGCTCCTTCAGTGGCTCCAACTGTAGGTCTTGAAGAGCTTTGGTGACGCAGCCTGGTTCCCTTGAGTGACATTTGGTTACAAACCTGGCTGCTCTTCTCTGTACCTGTTCCAACATATCAATATCTTTTTGTCGGTATGGATCGCATGCCGAACTGGCATACTCTAAATTAGGCTGGACAAGTGACTTATACGCCTGAGCCTTTACTTTTTCAGGGCATTGATGAAGGTTGCGCCTGAGAAATCCAAGCACCTTATTGGCTTTGGATACAATAGACTAGTTTGAATATGTGTAGTCCAGCGTAAGTTGTTTGTGATGAATGTATTTTGTCTCATTCCTGTATCATTTTGTCTCATTCAATTTAATATTCAACTCAAGAACATCCTTGCTGCAAGGGTATTTTACAAGTATATACCCTTGCTTCTCTCTATTCAATTGTTGGGCTTGAGCAAACAAACTGGATATTAAACAATATAAGCCTACACCACATACCCTAAGAGAACTACTAGACACGGTGTACAAGGGTAATTAAAATCCTGTTGAAGGGTCCACAAAGTTGTCTTTATACTATAGCAGTATGCCCTTACATATCTTATGATTTAGAAGTTTGTAATCTGTAAAAAAATCATAGGATTTATACAAATATTAGCTTAAGAATAAAACATCATCCGTAGAACATTCTATAGTATGTCCAAAATTAAAATATTTAACCATTTCACGGAAAACAAAAAGAATATTGCAGAAATAAGGTGGTTTGAAGAGACACAAATGGTAAGATTATTCATAAGTTCCAGGAAATGAGACATGTAATTGGACAATTTGCACAACGCATTCAGAAACTCAGGTTATATAAGGCCCCTAAAATGAAACTACCTGGGCTTGAGTGAAGGGCTGAATTTGAGCATAAATGAAGTCCTTTGAAGAAGGATGACTCAAGAACCCTTTTCTTGGAAAGAAGAAAGGCAGACTAATGCTTTGGTTAATCATAACTGCATCCTGACTGTGCTTGTCGATGTCTAGTTCAACGTCGTTAAACTCAATAATGGCGTTCTTTATTATTAGGAATTTTCTTGGGGCCATTATTGACTTTAACCTCCTTACTATTCTTTCCTTTGATGCAAGTTCTGAATCCATCGAAACCATTTTTCTGCGATAACGTGCAACTGATACTTGACAATAATATAAAAACACATAACATCAAGCGATTTAACACAATATTATTGTGTTAAATGTTCATTTATACGAGTAAAATGAGGCTACACTTACCAATCTCTAAAGTGACATTTCCGCATGTCTGTCATTGTGTCTGTTCGTCTGAGTGTCCCGGATCGTAAAATTAAACTACCAGCGAAACGAAATTGTTGTCAAATAGATTGATAATTATTATCGCGATTACTCGGGATAAAAAGATCAATTTTGAGGATAACAGGTATCTTTGATTAATTTATATAGCGCGTATATACACGCAAAATAGTTATTAATTGCAAACCAACTGTTCGTTAATGCAGTGCCATGATGACGGTTAATTCCTGAAACGATTTGCAATTTCGATGTTACCGAAACTGACCGACATTTTCGTCATATTCCAAACCTGTCTCCAATATTTTCGTAATTATGCATCAATAGGGTCTAAGGGGGATACGGGACGGGGTGTATGTGTTTATAAGGTATGTGTGCATGCTTTAATCACATTCTTTGTGTAATATTGCCATGTTTTCAGGGTTCAATTAGTTCCGCTTGTCGAAACCTGCTGAACGATTAAATTAACGCATCAAAGGCAAAATGGTCATCATGGAGGTTAGACCTAGCCGGGCCATAACACATGTCAGATAAGAAACGAGGCCCGGGCTAGGTCTAATGTTGTTGGACTAGTCGATGTCAAGAACTTGAAAAAATATTGAAAAAAACAAAAAAAATGAGTTTGAGAAAACGCATTTGTACGATAAAAATCCGTTTCTGATTCACGTTTTATAAGAAAAAGAGTAGTCACAAATTTAGTTGGTATATAATTACTATATTATGCCTAAATCAAAGCTCAGTCTTACCTGTAAATTACAGAATTCCTTAGAAATATTTTCGCTTTTCTCACTCAAAATTTGTTTGAAAATGATGCACTCTTTTCATTGGTTAGTTTGTATACATAACTATTAAGAACGCAACAATATTACCAATGGGCGTTTCGTTTAATTAATCAATGTTTATCAATATTTCAAATAGTTTACACCCAAAACTACATTAGATAATATTTTTCAGAGAATTTGAGATGATAGTATATGATCTATTGGTTTATTTTCGCTATACCTATGATTTATTTCAAATATAAAAATGCCTTATTCAAAAAAAAGTCTGTTCGGAAATTTCATGCAGCACTAATAAAAAACCCGGATGTTGAAGTCACAGGATAATAATCTTTGCATAGTTTTTGTTGTATAATTGTCAGGTAAGCAAAGCAATAGGTTATTTATATTGTTCGAAACATAGTTGATATTTCTTTCTACACATGAAGTGCTTTGTTTGGTGTGTTCCTGTGAGATTAGAAGTCAATTGAGCCATTCTCAATATGAGTCATCTTCATCATCTGATCAAATTATTTTCAATTTTAGTTTCCTTATCATTCTCAAGCAATGGCGTAGCGGCATATACGCATAGAACGCCATGTCATACTCTCATAATTTAGAGAACAATTGATTTGCACCACACTTTAAAAATGGATGAATATGGCCAATAACTTACATTTTACTACTATTAGTCCATAATAGTCGAGTTTCGTATTTTAAACGAAGTGTCTGGAGAACCTTAACATTTAAGGCTATTTAGCTGTGAACATAGTATTTTGGCTAGAGAGCCTTTGTATATATAATCCGTGTTTATTTTGTTTTTTATTGATGTTTTCGTAATCTAAACAAAAAAACAACAGTCTCAAAAGTTTTTCAACCCAGAATGCCACTTAAAAATATCACACATGTATATCACCATATGGTTTCGAAAATTTTATCACAACCATGTAAAACCATTCTGGTGCAGTGGTTAGGGTGTTCGCTTTGCACTTCTGCGGCGCGGGTTCGATTCCACATTGGAGCACTTTTTTGTTCTGAAAAACAAGCCGGAAGTTTGTTCTCTGAGGTCCGGTAATTTTGTACACAATTTTTTTTTAGAATTTTTGGGCTTGCTCCATCTTGACGCAGTTTATTATGAATGCAGGGACATCAGCCCTATTATTGCCTATTAGACTTCAATGCTGTTTTTTAGGATTTTCCATCAGCTGACAAGATATTTTTTCACAACTTTTTGCAAAAAGTTCCGCTCAAAAGTCCTTCATTTGTATGTATCAATGATTTTAGGCTAGCATCAAATTTACAATAAATGCAACTCTCAGACATTTCACGTGATTGCCTGGTCCCGGGGGTTCACTTCAAATAATTTGGGTAGGTATGTGCAGCACGGGCAATTTTGGTTTTGAGCATAAAACATGGCACTTGGCCAATCTGAGAGGAAAAAAATATGGAAAATTGTCTAAGAAAGTACTCTTTTTAAGTCAAAATTCAGTTTTTCTTCAGAAAATTATATTAAATTTGTTAAATCAGTTGCTGATGCCTGGAACAAATGACTAGAAAAGTTGATTTTTAGTCATTTATTAGTCTCAGAGGAATTTAACATGGAAACCTTCAATCTTAAGAGGAAATATACATGGAAAACATGCTCAAAATGGGGGTGTTTGGGGCGGCACATAGGTATTAAGAAGAATATTGGAGTGAACCCCCGGGTGCCTGGTCTTACACCTTCTCTGGTGAACCTTTTTTCGATATATGCATGGAGGTCCATTCAAAGTCGACGTTTGAACCTTTAAAAAGCCAAATTTAGACTGAGGATTGAAAAAGTTTTAAGAACTTTTATTTTTCTTGGTAGACCGGAAGTAAATTTATGAGTCGAGTAAAAAGTGATAATGTTCTTTTTCTGAAGTGGGGAAGCCAAAACAGCACTAATAGAAGTCAAAGTAAGCATTCGAAGATTATTTAGAACCATTTAAAATTAAATCGACGGCAAAATTGAATTGACTGAAATCTTCATGTTTTCTTCTTCATCTTCTTCGCGGACCTCAGAGAAGACACTTCCGGTTTAAAAATCAGTGATTTTATCGATCAAAAAATATTTCTTTTTGAATTTGTCCGATATCTGCTAATATTGTATGTATATTTGTGCTGATTGTTAAATTACAAAATAGGTTGGGTATAGAGTATGTCAAAGTCGTTTGATCTTGTCCCAGAGGCAATAACTCGTCATTTCTGTCGCTTGGAATTCCTTTAGGACTCTCTAGCAGAATTGGCTATCAAAATGCTAAATAGCCTTAAAATTTAAGGCTCTTTAGCCGAAATGCTTAAGAACCTTAAAATTTAAGACTCTTTAGCATTTTGTTAACCCATTTGGCTAGAGAGCCTTAAATTTTAAGGCTCTCCAGGCAAAGCCTATTTTAAAACACCCCAAAACAGTTCAAATGCAATCTCATTTTCAAATTTTCTTTGGAACCCCCCTCAACGCATGTTCATTTTGCTCACTCATGGCGTACACTCACAAAATACCACTAAAAATTACTGTTGTGACGTGTTGATAGGTAAAAGTGCAACCTGTTATGGTTTATACATGGGCTTTCAACTAGATTACTACATATATGCTCAATTGTCTGTTGATTTGAAGTGACATCAATATAATCTTTATGCTCATGGTGAAATAATGGCCGATTGAAAGATTGGAGTGTACATCTCTCCAATTTGAGACAGCCGCTCCTTTTTTGGCTTTGAAAAAACATTTAGGCTGGTGTTTAGAATCAATTTAGGTAAGAAATATGTGCATGGCTAGTGCTGTTTTTTTCGACTTTTGAAATCTAATGTGGGCTAAGCTTCTATTGAACGCTTGTCACTCCCAAGACCAGAATGGGATGGAAACTAGATAAGATGAATGCATACATACAAGGTTTTTCTGTCATTCCTAATAGAATAAGGACTGCGAAAGAATTTACATGTTGCACATGCTTATCCAAATTAATTAAAGTGAACCCTCTTAGGAATTATGTATGCATTGCCTGTGCCATATTTATCATTATTGTCAATCTTCACAAATAACCTCAGAATATGACCAGATGTATTTTTTGACAAAATGGTTACCAATTAAAGTAATACCACTTGTATTGCTGAATGGTAGACAGGCTTGTGTAGATGTAATTTGTAAGCCAAATGCTGTTAATGCTCATTTAGTGAAGTAATGCTCAATAAGATTAGTTGTCAGATGGCTATAAACAACATCTAAATGATTTTCAAGAATAAATTTACCAAGCTGTCAATACACAATACATCATGTAAAACCTTTTTCCACATGCATTTCCGACCATTTTTTTACCATCCCCAGTAATTCAATTTTTTTAATTTATAATGTCACCACCCATAAGCATAGCCAGGAGGTGTGCGATCACACCCCACCCCCATAACCATCAGATAGAGGAAGAAAAGAGCTTTAAGGATGTTCCCTGGTCAGATAGGAAAATATTCAATAGTATTTAACTTTTTCTCAAAAATGGTTTTCTGGGATTCTCACGGGCAACAAAGAATATTAAAACTTTAAAAACCATATGTTAGTGTGCTTTTTTCTGAGCAAGAGGCCTCTAAAGTGTCAATATTTGACAAAAGTGGGCGTGGCACTTTCTCATTGAAACCCATGTTAAAAATCAGGTTTTCACCCCAAAACACACTTTTGAATATTTAACTTTTTCTTAAACTCACAGAAACACTTAGTTATGCTATGTACTTCACATTTTGAAAAGAAAAATTAGGGGTTGGTGTTCATCGTTTTCAACTTCGTCCAGGGAACATCCTTAAGATGCTTTTTATTTGAAGCTTCTAGCTCAATTTTGAAGGAAGTTACATCAATTTTTGTGAAATTCAAAACAAATCTTAATCTTTTTTGCGTTGCTAATGCCACAATCACACCCCCTGATCTGAAAACCCAAATTTTTTTGGCGATCACACCGCCTCTGACTGAAAGCTGGCTACGCCCCTGCCACCACAAGAGGTGACATATTGTTATAGTCTATTATGTTGATGGTATTCAGAAGTTTGTGTCCAGTATTCGGCTGTAAGGAATGGCGGGTGGTGATATTTTTCAAGTTTATGCATTGTTTATTTTCATTTCAAATATACTAAAGCATGTTATAAATAATCACATTCGGTGTCAACTATAGAATATTCTTTGTGTTTTAAAGCAATTCAAAATGATGAGTAGAAGGTCCAGCAAGAAAGGCTTCCATGTTGATGAGTCTGACCTTATGTGCAAGAATGGATGCGGTTTCTATGGCAACCCAGGATGGCAAGGCTACTGCTCCAAATGTTGGAGAGACTACCAGAAGGCAAAACAAGTACAGCCAAAAACAGAACAAATTGCTAGTAACAGAAGCAAAAGGTTTGTTTGTAATTGTACGTCTAAAATAAAAAATAATTTATATGGACTTTCCCAATCTTTGGAAGAGTGACTCTTGATCTAAATCAATTTGACTTTGCAGCATTTTGCTTTAAATTATTTCATTTTATTATATCTCAAATCCTTACTTTTATTCTCTTGATTCAAATACAGAGTCTGCTTTTTATATATAACATTTTTTGCTGAACTTACACGTTACATTTATTGTTTTAAATGTTGCAGTTTTATTTCTTGAATTTACAAAAGTAATATACCTTGTGTTATTTATTTAACCATTCGTTGAAATCCTGACTGAAATGAACCCTTTAATTATGTAAAACAACTTGAAGGTATGGATTTATTATACAACTTTTTATTAAGAAATAAGGTTGTATTTTGTTTCAGATTGAGTCAGATGGGAAGTGGAGAAACAGCACCTTCCTTCAGTAAATTTGAAGAGCGTAAAAAACAACAATCAGAGAAAAGAAAGAACACAGTCAAATCAATCTTCAACAGATCTTCCAAAGGTATTATTTTATTATCAAAAAATGCAATAGAGTTTCAGCTCTTACCTTTGAAGGCAGTGGATGGTGAATTGAACCATAAAGCAAAATCTGCCTCCAGTTTTTATAAAAAGACCCATTTTATAATTTTCTTGAAGTTGAATGCCTCTGAAAATGTCTCTTAAATTGAATGTAATCTACCTATGCATATACAATTTCAAAAGCTTAGGTTTGACTATTATTGCTATCTTATGAAAAAGCATTTAATCCAACAAATATTTTGTTTGAGAAACCACTGTTAAAAATCATGCCTATTGTTAATTTCATTCATGCACACATACTTTATAATACATGACGACAATGAAGAATGAAATAAATCAATTGAATTATATTTTTATATTATACATTGATCTTTGTTCAGAATCCAGTCCCAGCAACACACCTCCAAAGAAAGATCCAGTTGCTAAGAGAGTCAGCGTCGAGAGTCAGCAAGTGGGAGGAGAATTTGCAGAGTTCCTGAAAAAATTACGTAAAACGACAGCGTTAGACATTTCCAAACAAGTGCGTGCATTCATAGAGAAGATCCAGGTGTTTGCAGATAGCCCAGTAGAAGAACTCTCTGAAATGGTGCAGGATTTCTACCAGATTATTACTGATAGAATCAATACTTTGCCAGTCTATAAAGGTATAAATGCTATGCCAGTCTATAAAAGTACTAATACTTTGCCAGTCTATAAAGGTATTAATACTATGCCAGTTTATAAAGGTACTAATACTTTGCCAGTCTGTGAAAGTACTAATACTTTGCCAGTCTATAAAGGTATTAATACAATGCCAGTCTATATAAGTACTAATACTTTGCCAGTCTATAAAGGTATTAATACTATGCCAGTTTATAAAGGTACTAATACTTTGCCAGTCTGTGAAAGTACTAATACTTTGCCAGTCTATAAAGGTATTAATGATATGCCAGTCTATAAAAGTACTAATACTTTGCCAGTCTGTGAAGGTACTAATACTTTGCCAGTCTATAAAGGTATTAATACTATGCCAGTTTATAAAGGTACTAATACTTTGCCAATCTATAAAGGTACTTGTACTTTTAAGGCATTGCTACTTTGCTAGACTATAAAGATACCGATAATGTCAGTCTATAAAGGTATCAATACTTTGCCAGTCTATAAAAGTACTAATTTTTCACTGGTCTAAAAAGGTACCAATATTTTACCAGTTTATATACTTAGCAATATTACCTTAGATGTAGTTCAATAAGTTATGCAAAAAATGCTATAATTTCTCTTGTTGAGACTTTCACAGAATATACGAGATATTTGTTATTATTTACTAGGTATGGACCAGAACACTATAGATACATTGATGGACTTTATAGAGAAGTATATATTGACCAGGATCTATAGGATTGTGTTCTGTCCTGTGACAACCACAGATGAGGAGGATGATCTTGCCATACAAAATAGGTATATTCTCTTACATAAAGCAATGGAAAGGATTACTTACCTAGAAGTTTCATTACACGACATGAATGAAAATGTCCCATCTTTTTTTTCGGCTTTTATAGCCCATTTCATTTACATTATACACAATATACATAATATTATATTAAAGTAGAAAAACTTGTGTCGGAAAAAGAAAATAAAGGTAAAATGTCACATCTTGATGTTGAAAATTTTATTGTTTTGAAAAGTAAATGGGGAATATTATGGAGATCCAACATTAAACATTTTTCAATTTCCAGACTTTAGTGGCTTGATTCAAAGTTTGATTTGAAACATTGGTAATTATTTTGCCAAAAGCTGATTTGTTTGCATTTTGCCAAACCAGTAAAGAAAATATATATTCTTGAGGTTTCAGAAAATAACAAACAAATGCATAAAGTACGAGTACACAGCAAATAATGCAGAAATAGCTATTCTTTAAAGGCTAATCTATATCTGTTTTTTGTACAATAGGATCCGCAGCTTACATTGGATAACAAGAGAGCAGATAGATTGTAAGATTTACGAGAATGATGCAGAATCTAGTCAACTACTGGAGACAGCTATAACAGGTTAGATCATTAGTGTGTGATCTTACATATTGAATACTCCATTACCAGCACTTCCTTAGAGGTTCAACACATTGCGTTTAATATGTTTCATATTCAGCTGAGCAGAATTGAGCTCTCGCATATTGAATCCTTTAGGACTAGTGCACAGTACAACACTGTTTCTTGTCTAACTGAGCAAAATCTCACCATGAAATATTTTACCAGTTAATTATTTTATTCTTTATGCTTGTATTTCCTCCATCTTTTGAGATAATTATAGAAAAAGTTGCAATAATATGAAGTTGGTTTGATTAAATGGGTAGTAAATAAAGTCATTGACTGACACAAATTTATGTACATTTTAGATATTATACAAATGGATTCGAAGAGAGCCCCTCAAGATAAACTTGCCTCTATAGTTCAGTGCTGCAATCATATCTTTGAACTACTACGTAAATCTACAGATGGTCCAGCCAGCGCAGATGACTTCCTCCCAGCTCTCATCTACGTTGTACTGAAGGCCAATCCACCACTCTTGCAGTCCAATATACAATATATAACAAGGTTTGTACAATATACAATATTTAACAAGGTTTGTCAAATATACAATATATAACAAGGTTTGTCCAATATACAATATATAACAAGGTTTGTTCAATATATAATATATAACAAGGTTTGTCCAATATACAATATATAACAAGGTTTGTCCCATATACAATATATAACAAGGTTTGTCCAATATACAATATATAACAAGGTTTGTCCAATATACAATATATAACAAGATTTGTCCAATATACAATATAAAACAAGGTTTGTCCAATATACAATGTATAACAAGGTTTGTTCACTATACAATAAAATATAACAAGGTTTGTCCAATATTCAATATATAACAAGGTTTGTCCAATATACAATATGTAACAAAGTTTGTCCAATATATAATATATAACAAGGTTTGTCCAATATACAATATATAACAAGGTTGTTCAATATACAATACATAACAAGGTTGTTCAATATACAATAAAATATAACAAGGTTTGTCCAATATACAATATATAACAAGGTTTGTCCAATATTCAATATATAACAAGGTCTGTCCAATATACAATATATAACAATGTTTGTTCAATATTCAATATATAGCAAGGTTTGTCCAATGTACAATATATGAAACATGATCCCTCAGTAAAAAAAACCTACCTTGTTCATCTTTGTTCACTCAGCTCCCATTGATTGAACGCAGTGAAGACTGAAGTGTGCGAAGATGATCTTGTTAAAATTGAAAGAATACATGTACATGTAAAATATATATGTTCATTTAATATTTTTTCAGATTTGCTAATCCAACACGTCTGATGTCTGGTGAAGCCGGCTATTTCTTTACCAATCTAGTAAGGATACATTTTGAAAAGTTTATTTTCCACCAATTTTCATGAAAAGAAACCTGGTGCTCTTTAAAGTGTTTTAAAATGCATTATTTTGTCAGAATGATAATTTAGACCTTTACTTGTTAATCGTCTGTTTAGCAAAGTGGATCTTTTGAAAACTTCTCTGGTTAAACCTCATTTGTTAGACCTTTACTTGTTGATCGTCTGTTTAGCAAAGTGGATCTTTTGAAAACTTCTCTGGTTAAACCTCATTTGTTACCATTTTAAGGATAAGGTTCTGAATTCCCAATTAATTTCGCAAGTTTTAATTTCTAGAATTTTGAGAAAACACGATTTCGGTGGCTATTAAATTTCTCGAATTTCACTAAGTACACTTACTACTATGTCATCTTGGTCAAAGACACGCTGCCCCTTTACCTCTATTACATCGTAATTTATTGTTTTTTTTATCTAATAAGCCACTGTAACGGACATTGTTACTTATTATCCCATTTATCGCCTAAAAACACCTGACAAACAGTTTAGAAAACACGAAATGCAATGGGGATTTAATTGACAATTTCATGAAGATTAATTTTCGTGATTTTACCACAATTGCGAAAAGTGCGAAACTTAATCACACGCGAAAAAAAATGGGAGTACAGTACTTTATTTCTATTTGTCCTTGTTTAAGAGTAAACTTGCCACAAGGTCTTAATGATAAAAACAATTCCTGCTAAATAGACAGTTAGCCTGTAAGGTCCTTGCATTCATTTTACTTTGCTTTGATTCAGCTTAATAAACCCTTGAATACTCTGACCTTTGAAAATGAAACTAGATTGATGAAACTATTGATTTTGTTGTTCATTAATTTTCAGAATTAATACTCATAAGTAAAATCAAGGTCAGTGATATACATGTAGTAGAACATATATTTGCTGTTGTTTATTGTAACATTTATTTCTGTTTCAGTGTTGCGTTGTTTCCTTTATACAAAACATCAGCGCAGAATCCCTTGATTTGACGCAGAAAGACTTTGATAAATATATGTCGGGGGAAGCAGTCCCCCATACATCCCATAATGCTTACATGTGTGACGGACTCAGACTTATGTACCAAAATCTCTCGACATTAACAGAACTTCGTCAACGTCACGAAAAATTAATGGCCGAAGCGCTACAACTTCAACAAGATATGGTGGAGTTCAAAGACAGTTTCAAAAACGAGATAGACACTGTTTTGGAACGTAATCCGTGGACATTACGTCCCAGAAAAAGCAAAGCTGATATTGATGCAGAGAACTCTGATACAGAACTATTACCATCACCGTTAAAACCAGAAGTTTTGCACCCTGTAGGGCAGTAGACTGAGCCCAACTGACTTAGTGTGGCCAACTGACTGTTGGTGGCTTAGTGCAGGTGGCTGAATGTAGGTGGTGGAGTATTGTTGACTGTTAATGTAGAGAATTTATCTATGTGTAAAGCTAAAGGGTCATTCTGATCATGCTGATTCAAAGAGTTTTCCACATATTTGTGTATAAAAGCTCCCATGGTGCATTAGTAGAAGTGGGAAATGTGAATGATTACTCTAAAAAAAAAATTAGCGCTGAACAAATCTATAGTGATAGAAATGGTCTCTTTTTGATTATCCTCACCTTGGTATAAAATATGTGTCTGTTAGCTAAAAACAGGGCAGCATTTAGGGTGCAAAAAATATAAATATATAAGTCTCAAATTATCAAGATCTCATCATTTGAGAATAAGGAATTTATGATGATCGTAACTCAGAATTTCCAGCAGTACAACCCCATGATTTCCCTTCAATACAAATATTTTTGTTATTCTACCCCATTTTTGCCCATAAGGTTATCTAAGACTGGGTTTCAAGAATTGTTTCTGAAACGTTTTTTGGGACTCAAATTATGAAATATACATGTACTTTAAGACTCTTGATTTTGCATGATTAAAGGCATAGCCACAAAGACTCTCTTTTCATAGTTTATGGAATGTTCTTTATTATTTTAACCTGAGGATCGATTATCATAAATTACCAGAACCATGTCTTTCAGTTTATTGAGCAAAAATGTCCTGCACCCTCCCTCTTTTCTCAAAGTTGAGGTTTGAGAAAAGGTTGACATGCGGATTTAACAAGGTTTAAGGTGAAACTTGGTCCATCAACATGATGGCAAGATATCCCCTCTGATTAATTAAGGTGGGATGTATTTTAGCCTGGTTCTCCTGTCTACTCTGTCAACTGAGATAAAAAAAATTTATAATCTAGATATTAGCATTGTATTGTACAGGTTGCCTTCAGGGAGCCTGATTAGCACAATGAAAAAATTTATTAGTTTGATTAAATTGATTCATATTAAATTAAGTTGAGAGATGCACCCTCTGTATATAGGATTCAGGCCTATAGCCAGGGGGGGGGGTGGTTCGATGTTTTCGAGCAAACCTCCCTCTGGCCAAAAATTCTTTCAAAATCATGCAGTTTTTCACTATTCTGAGTACTTTTTAAGTGATTTTGGCCTTTTTTGGACCAAAATTGTCAAAAGTGAACCCCCCTGGAATTTTTCAAAAAGTGAACCCCCCTTGACAAATCCTGGCTACGGGCCTGGGATTCAACCAACCCGGTGTTATCAAGTGTTATCACCTTTAACCCTCAATTTGTGGGTTCAAGGGTGGGTTGTTTGGTTCTCCTCTCATGAGGGAAATAAGGAAACTGACAGACTATTGGTCACCTCCTTGGTGACATCATGATCATGTGATCTCTGTTTGGGATTGATCATTCTTACCAGTTTTGGGTTGTTTGGTTCTCCTCTCATGAGGGAAATAAGGAAACTGACAGACTATTGGTCACCTCTTTGGTGACATCATGATCATGTGATCTCTGTTTGGGATTGATCATTCTTACCAGTTTTGGGTTGTTTGGTTCTCCTCTCATGAGGGAAATAAGTAAACTGACAGACTATTGGTCACCTCTTTGGTGACATTATGATCATGTGACCTCTGTTTGGGATTGATCATTCTTACCAGTTTTGGGTTGTTTGGTTCTCCTCTCATGAGGGAAATAAGGAAACTGACAGACTATTGGTCACCTCTTTGGTGACATCATGATCATGTGATCTCTGTTTGGGATTGATCATTCTTACCAGTTTTGGGTTGTTTGGTTCTCCTCTCATGAGGGAAATAAGGAAACTGACAGACTATTGGTCACCTCTTTGGTGACATCATGATCATGTGATCTCTGTTTGGGATTGATCATTCTTACCAGTTTTGGGTTTTTTGGCTCTCCTCTCATGAGGGAAATAAGTAAACTGACAGACTATTGGTCACCTCTTTGGTGACATTATGATCATGTGACCTCTGTTTGGGATTGATCATTCTTACCAGTTTTGGGTTGTTTGGTTCTCCTCTCATGAGGGAAATAAGGAAACTGACAGACTATTGGTCACCTCTTTGGTGACATCATGATCATGTGATCTCTGTTTGGGATTGATCATTCTTACCAGTTTTGGGTTGTTTGGTTCTCCTCTCATGAGGGAAATAAGTAAACTGACAGACTATTGGTCACCTCTTTGGTGACATTATGATCATGTGACCTCTGTTTGGGATTGATCATTCTTACCAGTTTTGGGTTGTTTGGTTCTCCTCTCATGAGGGAAATAAGGAAACTGACAGACTATTGGTCACCTCTTTGGTGACATCATGATCATGTGATCTCTGTTTGGGATTGATCATTCTTACCAGTTTTGGGTTGTTTGGTTCTCCTCTCATGAGGGAAATAAGGAAACTGACAGACTATTGGTCACCTCTTTGGTGACATCATGATCATGTGATCTCTGTTTGGGATTGATCATTCTTACCAGTTTTGGGTTGTTTGGCTCTCCTCTCATGAGGGAAATAAGTAAACTGACAGACTATTGGTCACCTCTTTGGTGACATTATGATCATGTGACCTCTGTTTGGGATTGATCATTCTTACCAGTTTTGGGTTGTTTGGTTCTCCTCTCATGAGGGAAATAAGGAAACTGACAGACTATTGGTCACCTCTTTGGTGACATCATGATCATGTGATCTCTGTTTGGGATTGATCATTCTTACCAGTTTTGGGTTGTTTGGTTCTCCTCTCATGAGGGAAATAAGGAAACTGACAGACTATTGGTCACCTCTTTGGTGACATCATGATCATGTGATCTCTGTTTGGGATTGATCATTCTTACCAGTTTTGACCTACTTTACTTGTAATGTAAGTAAAGTAGGTCAAAACTGGTAAGATGATGATGATTTCCAACTGTTATATTCTCATAAACTTAATATTGCATATTTATTATTTACTATGTATGAGTTGTATGATTCCATTTTTGAGTAAATTATATATTTGATTTCTGACATGAACATATCATTTCAAAGTACAATCCAATATATTAGTTTAACCCATACAAGTTATAGCCTTGGACTTTTGAGTGGGAAATATATGTCAGAAATATTTACATCCCCTTATGTTTTTAATATCAAACCTATGAACCATTGTAACTTTCCACAAACTCTATATTATAATTGATAATATCGAATAAAGGATTATCGTTATGAATTAAAGTCTGTTCTAGATATTGGGTTTATCCCTCAACTTTGAGATGCCCTGTTCTTGTTATTGGGTTATTCTCAATATCATAAACAGCCTAAAGGATATTAAACAGTAAAACCTGAATCCTCAAAGTGTTCATTGTAGGTATGTAAACACTACACTAACAGAGAGGATTTTTAGCCAAGAATCAATGTTTTGAGAAATGTTGTTCACTATGAACAGAAAGAGCTATTCAGTAACACAGGTTTTACCTTAAAAGGGCATTGTTTGTAATTACGATCATCAATGACACCAAAATATGAATTACATGTACAGATAAGGATCCTTGAATCACTATTGATTTAACTTATGTCATTCCATTGACTTAACTCTTATATCCAAACTTACATTGTAAAATTATGCATTTATAACCATTGTAGATTTATAAAACAGTATTAAACATGAAAATATCCCTACCTATCTGGCAATAGGGGCATGCAAATTTTATTGTTATGTCACCACCACAAGTGGTGACATATTGTTAGTGGTGACATATTTTTGTGAATGATGTTTAGTGTTAGGCATTCGGCGTCTGTAACAAATGGCAGGTGGTTACATGTTGCATGTTAACACCTTGTTATTATCATGTTGAGGTTTTCCTATCATTTTGCTTTATCTTGATTTATTTAATTTCAAAAATGTAATTTTAGAAAGATTTTCATGTCTCTAATTGCCAGATAAAGGAATATGTTCATGTCCAATACATTGTATTTAAATATGTGTGTATTTATTGTAAAGATATTAGAGAGGTGTGAAAAATATGAAAATAATGTTCATGTTGTCTTATTTATTATCCCAATTGTCTGAAGAAAGAAGAGGGGAGTATGGTCATCAATTGAAATGTAAGCATTTTTATCCTCTGAAAAACTGCTAAATTGTCATCTTGTTCTGCTGGGCAGGCGGGCAGGCGTCATGAATCATGTCATCAATATCCAGAAAAACCAATTATCGTCAACTCGAAATTCTCCAGATGCAAGAACAGACCAGTGCCAAGATCTAATTTTTTGGGTTGGTTTTAGGCATGCTGTGTAAATTACATGGTTGCCACTTTGCACATTTTGTTATTCAGGACAGTAGCCAGGGGGGGAGTGTTCGAGGGATCCAGGCGAAATACCTACCCTCCTACTAATTTTCAGAGATGTTTCCTTGCATGGAAATTTAGAACCATTTAGTTTTTAGTCATACTGGATTTTCAAGGCAGGAATTTTTTATTTCAGGTACCATATTTTTTTACTCTGTGCCTTGTTTATGAGGGTCAAGGGTCTTGAGGTTTCTAAATATTATGGTGGCGGCAGGAGCTGGTGTTTCTTGGCTTCTGACTCCTGAGTAATATGCTCAATGTAAAAACATGAATGGTCAAAGTCCTTAGTGATCTCTTGGTAAAAGGTTGTGAATAGTGTTACATGAACTGACATGATACGAGAGTAGGATTGGTTTCATAAAGTAGCTAATTCCGAATGATTTTAGATCATGATAATCAGACTTTTATTCAAATTCTCTGAGGATATTTTTACCAGATTGTGTCTAATATTTAATTTGAAATAAAGATGTCAGGCCTGTGTTCATCTTTAACTTGGCAATACTTCAAGGAATCTTGACATTTTGATATCACTTCACAAAGTGAATGATCTGCTACTTATAGGGAAATGAATGCGGATGTGAGATCATGGTTAAGGTTAGACTGGAGTGTTAAATTTTATGTTTGTTATTTTAAGATTAGGCAGTTCTTCACCATAGGTTCAGGTTGTGCAATATGGAACAATATTTCTATCACAATCTATGAAAATGGGTGAATGACTTAGTTATTGAAATTTATTTATCATAATAATGCATTGGCCTTATTTATTAAAATACTAGTATATTCAGGTTTATATCAGAATATCTCCAAATTAGGCCAAAAATGCCCTTAGTATCATGGGATGTGAACTTATAAAATGTGCCAGCCTGGGATTTTGTAGTAAAAATTGATTAAAAGAAGCCTGTTGATATAGATAATTGAATACATGGATTTAACTGAGTCAAAAGATGCAAATTAAAGAAATCAGGAAATAAGTAATTTTCCGTGTCAATAGAGATTTCACAACTCACTTATAGCATGTTTATAAATCCCGTATAACATTTCATCATTTTTTTGCGCAGCTCTCCTATACATCCATAAGTGTGATATTCTTATAAATCGTCATCTATACGAAAAAAATATCACACTTGTGGACATATAAAGCTGCGCAATAAATGATGACTTATTCAAACGCTTCATAAGTTATCCATTACACGGGAATAGTATACATGCTATAAGTGAGTTGCAAAATCTCTTATTTGTCAGGGAATTTCACACTGACAATGTTGTAGAAACCTTGATAGGGTCTATGGATCATTCTCTCCAGTTATCAAAAAAGAACTGAACGCTTATTACAGTACATGTACTTAATTTATTTAAATAACAAAGCTATTATCAATCATTTAGCAGTATTACAATGATAAAATAATAGCATAAATTCAACGACTTTAACATAACATAGTAACAGAACAGATACAAAACAATCATAAACGAAATGTTCTTCATATTTAAGAGGCATCATTTTTGACATTGTCATTTCTTACACATATGCAAATGTATTTTTCTATGTATATTAATTGACCTTACACATATCCAGATATATTTTTCTATGTATATTAATTGACACAATCCCAGATAAGCAAGCTTATCAATTCATATGAACTGCTGGCAGTGTTTATATTATGCAGTTTATTCATGTCTGTCTTGAAAATATCTTAAATTTGAATTTCTGGAAATCAGTTGTGTTATTTTTGTTTCAGATGTTTGATTCTTTGTTTATGATAGTAAGCAACATTTGTAATATAACTGATTTCCAAGAAGTATAATTAATGATTTTTCCGTCCAGTAATTCAGTATACATCGGTTTGTCTGGGGTCCTTATATGGCCTAGTTTAAGAGAAAATTGGCCTCGTTGAAAATGTTCAAATCTTGGCTAAAAAATTGTCAAAATGGGTCTAGAAATCTGTCCAATTTCCTCTTCAATTTATGGATCCACTGCTCGTATTATCTTCAATTTTACAATTTTTGCTCCCTTTGCTCCCTATGTCAAATATGCCCACATTTCTCAGTCCAGTATTAACTTGGAATGGTATTCGAACTTGAAGGGCAGATTTGATATAACAGTTCGTTCTGTACTTATTGTATACCTCATTCAAGAGCAAGTTAATTGAGTAAGTTAATTAATTGTTTTAACTACCAGTTTTACTAATTATCAAAAAAATCATCCAATGAAAAAGTTGAGCAGGCATGGGCTTTTGAATGTTTTGATTGTCCAATTCACATCTTCACGATTAAACTACGTCTTTTAAGAACAGCTTAAAGCATTTGGCAGCTTTACAACATTAAATTTTTGCAACATGTATTTTCTCGTACACCTCCTCACCAATCCCTCTTAGCTCTTGTCTTACATTTCCTGATATTTGGAGATTTTTTGGAAAATAGGCCGACATGTTTTCGACCGCAACTTCACGAACAGTTTACAAAGTACGTTTTCAGCTCTCACTTTGTCATATTTGCCCCTGAGCAGTTATTGCTGCAAGAGATAGAGGAGATTAGAGAGAAAAGCTTAATGCAAGACTAAACTTCAAGCTCACATAGCTGACAATATTATCACGATATGTAACATACATGGTGTCTCAGTATCTCACATTATGTAGCATACAGGGTGTCCTAGTATCTCACAATATGCAACATACAGGGTGTTGCAATATGTAACATACAAGGTGTCCTAGTATCTCACAATTTGCAACATACAGGGTGTTGCAATATCCACCATACAGGGTATCCTGATATCACCTTATATTCTGGATGGTATAAATCATTGACATACTTTCCCAGGCTAAGTCCTTGAGATTAAAGAATGACAATTAATGGAATAACCCATTTTATGAGCTGCAAATTTCATTCATGAACATCAGTATGTTATGCTTTCAAAAATGCATTAAATGGATGATATTATTATGTGTACATACTGAACTTACCCTGCGCGCAGAGTCTAGTTATTTTAGTTTGAAAGAGTGAGACGAAGCTCTCTTTTAAGAAGTGAAGTCAAACGAATGCAAAGGGTATACTGAACTTAAAATCATTGCATCATTATGATTGTGCTTTATAAATGTTTAAATATACCGTGAAGCAACCATCTATACAAAAGTCCAAATGTCTATAAATGTCTAAAACCTTGGATAAACTCTTGACAACAGGATCCAGGATCATAATACTTCTAAATGTGATTTACAAAAGTGTAAATGTATAACTTGGCGAAGATTGGTAAAACCTTCAGATGAATACTTCACTGTTGCCATGGACACTTGTTGGCATGTTCACGAATGTAAGGGCATCACTTTCTGGCTTCAAATGCCCACCCTTAAATTCTCACATTGCCCAGGGGTGATTGCTTTGGTGTGCACTCATATAAACTGTCCAAAGGTGGCAATAAATACTCTACTCACTAAGTCTATATATTAGTTTCTTCCATTCTTTCATTATGCTTCAACAATGTCCAGCTTTAGACCTGTTATTGTCTTTGGCAAATCAGTAGGAGAGGCATCCATGTTTGCATCTCGTCTCCTCTTTCTACAATCTTCCCACATCAAACGAGGCATCAAGAAAGGGCTAGTAATTACGAGGTCAAGCAAGAATTTCATAAAATGTATGGATCATGGACGATGGATTAAACCTAAAAGGTTTCCCTAACACCATCTAAATGCAATTTTTTATACATGCCATGATGCGAATTCTGACATGATCTGATTGGCTTGTTTTGAAATTTGACTAGGTAGATCCTCGTCATCAAAATGATCAAGGTCTGCGACGCAACTGTCAGGAGAATACCTCCCAAGTCCAGAGTCTTCTCTATTCAAATCTCCAGGCAGAGAGATCTTCCTGGGTCGTTGTTTTGTTAAAGGTACAGGGATTTTAGTTCTCGATATATGCTTATCATCTTTCCTTTCTGTAGGGAGAGAAGCTTCTGGGGGCTTTGTTAGAGAACTAAAGATAGCATTAATGGCATCGTTATCTTCATATGTTTCTGTTGGGGAAATACAATCAAATGAGTTCCTTCTTTTGATGACTTTTTTGCCAGTTGGAGGTTTGTCATTTACATGTCCGTTGACATAATATTTGCCCCCAACTGAGTTAAGCGACTCAGTGCTTCCATTTCGACTGCCGGGTCTGCTATTTGGTCGACTACCAGTGCCCGGTGTGTATTCATTATGCGAGGCTCTTCTGTGCGTAGGTGTGCTTGATTGTGATCTAGAATGTGGACTAGGAGTAGGGTACAATTGACCCTGGGTCGTATTGGATTTAGCAGGTCTGGGTGTGGTCGGCCTTGACCTAGATGACGTTGGTGTAGTTGGCCTTGACCTTGAAGACATCATTGTTGGTGTAGTTGGCCTCGACCTCGATGATGTAGGTGTTGTGGGTCGTGTACGCATTGCAGAAAGAAGGATATCTTCAGATGTTTTAGAGCGTACTAGACTCTTGGAACGAGGGCCCTTACTTCCTTGCTGCGTTGGCCTTCTAGCTTGTTTTGTATCTGGAATTCGACTAAGGCTATTATCTCTTTGGTTGCTTCTATCACGTGGGGATCGACTAGTTCCATTTGGAATTCTGGTGGGTGATTTTCCATCACGATTTAGGCTCGTGCTGCGGCTACCTTGAATCTTTGATATATGACGTGATTTCGGTTTTTCACGCTGGGTTGGAGCCACTTTTTGATTGAGTTCAACCTCTTTATCATCCAGTATGTGCCTACCAGATTCCCCTCGCGTTATCATTAACTTATCAAGGTCCTTAAGATCACGTTGCTGTCCTAGTTTTAACTGTTTGTTCACATCGATATTCCCCAAAGATTGTGAACGTCTTCTATCAGCACCGTCGCTCTGCCCAGGTCTGGGTGATCTCCTCGTAATACGAGCCTCGTTTGGCATACTTGTATTTAGAGGAGCAACTTCATCATCCTCAGGATCATCATTGTCTTCGTATCTACGCCACTTGGTGGCTGCAGGCTTAGTGCTTGTTGGTGTCTGGGGTATGGTCTTAAGTCCATTAGATGGTGATTGTTGACCATACCCAGATGATTTCACTCGTCGGTAAGATTGAGCAGATTTACTGGAAGATGTGGACCTCTGGGAGGCCACTGACATTTGGGAATGTTGCGAAGAAGTGGAATACTGCGAGTAGTTACTGTCCAGACTCTCTGTACTTGGGTGACGGCAAAGTTCTGAACCTGAGCTGCTTGGCACGAGACTCCCTGAGCGTTGGTGCCTGTAACAAATGGGAAACAAATCTATTTAATAAGCAATGTGAATGGACATTGTGCTCGTTACTGTCAAGATTCTCTCTAGTTGGGTTATAAGCTTACAGCACATGGCTGATACTCCCTGAGCGCTGGTGCCTGTAACAAATGGGAAACAAATCTATTTAATAAGCAATGTGAATGGACATTGTGCTCGTTACTGTCAAGATTCTCTCTAGTTGGGTTATAAGCTTACAGCACATGGCTGATACTCCCTGAGCGTTGGTGCCTGTAACAAATGGGAAACAAATCTATTTAATAAGCAATGTGAATGGACATTGTGCTCGTTACTGTCAAGATTCTCTCTAGTTGGGTTATAAGCTTACAGCACATGGCTGATACTCCCTGAGCGTTGGTGCCTGTAACAAATGGGAAACAAATCTATTTAATAAGCAATGTGAATGGACATTGTGCTCGTTACTGTCAAGATTCTCTCTAGTTGGGTTATAAGCTTACAGCACATGGCTGATACTCCCTGAGCGCTGGTGCCTGTAACAAATGGGAAACAAATCTATTTAATAAGCAATGTGAATGGACATTGTGCTCGTTACTGTCAAGATTCTCTCTAGTTGGGTCATAAGCTTACAGCACATGGCTGATACTCCCTGAGCGCTGGTGCCTGTAACAAATGGGAAACAAATCTATTTAATAAGCAATGTGAATGGACATTGTGCTCGTTACTGTCAAGATTCTCTCTAGTTGGGTTATAAGCTTACAGCACATGGCTGATACTCCCTGAGCGCTGGTGCCTGTAACAAATGGGAAACAAATCTATAGATCTATTTAATAAGCAGTGTAAATGGACCTTCATTGTGCTCATAACTGTCCAAGTTCTCTCTACTTGTGTTGCGGCATAGGTCTGTTACTCCCTGAGTGTTGGTGTCTGTTACAAATAACAACCTTGTGATTGAGAAATGTGTAGGCCTAGCCTAGTGGTGGGAAGTTACCGTCTTTGTGATGACATTCAGATATCAATTGGGCAAAAAGACAACGTTTTATACTAATGTTTGGTCTAGCCCACTTTACTACATGTACTTCACCCCGAGAGGATAACTTCCGGGGATAACTAAAACTTACATCTTAGAATCTGGACTAGGGTTGCTCTCATTTAGTTTAGCTCTCGTGAGGGATTGTGGGGGTGCGCTACCTCTCCTATCAGTGGGTCGTTTACGGCGTGGTGTCTTGTGTCCATATGTTTCGCAACGACAGGGATCGTGTTTGTCAAGGTAGTTCTCCAGGGTATCCCATCCACCCCCAACACGTACCATCACGTGATTACGCAGGATCTACAAAACCAACGTCTAAATCATTATCGCATTCTTAGGTAAAGGAAGACTAAACATCCAAATGTTCTTGCTATAACCTAGTTATATTACGAGGAGGCGATTTTGCCATTTTAAGAGAGGATTTGATTGACAACATAAAACTGTTTTCAGTGAACTGTTTTAAGAGAGATTTAATAGAGTTCGTAAAACTATTTTAAGAGAGGAATTGATAGAGAACGTAAAACTGATTTAGAGAGAATTTAATAGAGAACGTAAAACCATTTCAAGAAAGAATTTGATAGAGAACGTATCTATTTGAGAGAAAATTTTGACTGAGAATTTAAAACTATTTTAAGAGGGGATTTGAATTATAAGTTTATTCTCTTACCCTGACATATATGATTGTTCTTGTATCACCTATTTGGTATTTGCCCTCAGATAACCTTATGACAGCGAATTGTACTGGACACGTACATATGGCCACCAGCTCGCGCACCTGAAAGAGTAACGGTTTAAAACGATCAAGTCATCATACTCGGGGTAATGGAAATGACGCAAAAGCTGTAGTCTGAAGCAAGGAACTTGATTTTCGTAGAATTGTTGTACTTTTAAGAGTTGGCTTGTATTCGCAAATGCAACTAACGCCTGTCGGCTATTTATGGGCAACTCATCTAAATATGAGTAGTGACTGCCACTATTCCATTCATATAAATGAGTTGGCCATAAAAATATATAGTATGTTAAACCGGCAGCCGACAGGCGTTAGTTGCATTCGAATTCACGAATACAAGGTAAGACTCGGAGGTCCGTTTTAGTCGTATCTATTTTATGGTTGTGTCATTGATGTTATGTTTATCTTGCCTAATAGAGTACGAGCTCACAGAAGTTTTTTGTTGATGGGGAGTTTGTGGATGAAGATCGTTTATTTTGCATGGAGTTATTAACAATATGGAAATTATTTTAAATAAACTGAATCATTTCTAATTTCTCTTTCTAATGGCGTCTCGGGAGTTTTTAAACAAATTAGTTCATTCATATAATTAATATTTTTAATTTCCACCGACTGGGAGCTATTTGAAAAGTAAAGAATATGGCCAAGCTATTGAACTTTCTATTTTTACTACATTGTATATTTTTATAAAACGTTTTAAAATTGATTTGCGAGAAAGTCAATTGTCTATTATTAGACTCGAAACACAATCACTCTTGAATCTTATTAATAGAAAGCATTGCCTATTGTTCTTCATAGAGGTCTCTATCACCACCCATGACTTCCAAAGAGTTTTGAAGACTTGTAATTTGTAGATCGCATCTTGTAGATATATGTTCTCTGGCCAAACACAAGGATTAAAATAAGCAATTGAGACTATAAGCATTAAAAAATAAGTAATTGAGACTAAATGGTAAGTGTTTCCTTATCAGTGACTTATTTGATTAAGTTGTGTATAATATATATAGTCTCTACTATCGGTATCAGTAGCATGTCCCGATCCGAAATGACAAGAATGTCAAGTGTTTTAAATGAGTTTAACATCGTATATCATTGTTAAACATAACACCGAGCTGTGACGCGGCAACTTCTTATCACAACAATGCTTTACTGTTGGTTACTGACGTCTATTGAATTTATGATTGATAATTTGATGGGTGAATGTCAGAAAATGCCATCTTAACTGTTGAAATATTGTAATAATATAATAAATGTCGTGTATAATTTGTTATGATTAATCAAACGCTTTAAATTTTGTAAGATGAGACTTGTACATGAAAAGTTACACGACGTTACCTAACATAGTAAGTCGCATAACTCTACAAATCTCAAATCATAATTCCATTTTTGCCTCGTCACGCATGCTATCTTCTTAACGATATGCACGAACCTCTGCCAGTTACCTCTTCTTGGTGTCTAGGCTCAATGAATATACTATTTATTCATTGAGCCTACTACCAATAGGGGCTGGATCTGGCTCCGGATCTGTGACGATATGGTACATTTTACAATGCCAGAAAGGGTAAGCTCAATAAAATATGTTTACCATTTCGTCCAGGGACAGTAGATCGCACGTCTGTATCTGTTTAAACGGCTGTTCCGCCTCTGGCAGCTTCTCCCCGAGGATCTCGGCGTCTATTTCACGCTCTAGCTGTATAAGACAAGGAGCAACCATCCCGAACCTTGCTCCGCGTCGAGCTACCTCCAACAAACACAGCACGACGCTGCGTTCGTTTTTCCGCATCACCAGATCGTCTGTTTCGAACAATAAGCAATCTGGTATCCCTAATCCTCTGCACCATGTTATAAAGTTACATATATTATCCCGGGTGAGGAACGTCCCCGGGTTGACGTTTCGACGGTATATGACATCAGTGACGGGAATTTTACTGTTTGTCGTGTTAACGTTATTGTTTAGTTCAGTGAACTCCAGAGCCATCTGGCGGATATTATTCGCTAATTGACACAGAACAACTCCCGTTTCTAGAACCTTAAAAAAGTTATCCTCCGTCATCTCCAACTGAAAGAGGATGTTAAACCATTCCGCTAAATCCTCCTTCATAGCGACCAGATACGACTCTTTGGTTTTAAAAGGACGGAATGGTTTCGGATCCAGAGCCACCCCTACCCCCGTACGCTCCGGAGAGTCCGTATATCGGATATTAGCCCCCGTTCCATCGGGACTGACCGAGTTACTACGGTCAAAATCCTCAGCCATTGTGATGTTTTCAATTTTCAATGTACATCTTTGTTTTCATATTGTGTGATTTCCTCGCTGCTGGTGCCATCATTGTGCTCAGCGTTATTCTCATAATCCGATCAAATTATAATTACGCATCTATCCTTGATTGATTAAAGCTTACATACCAGCGTCTCAAGTAAGCTGTGAAATTTCTTACGTTCAAAGTTATAACCAGAGTTTCAAATTACAGGTGTGGTGATATGATAAATATCCAATCTCTTGAGCGTTTAGTTTCATTTTATTTGTGATAACAAGTATTTGTGTATCCGGCGTTTGTCAGGTAACCATTATACGAGTCAAGTATTTCACGACTTTCCTGTGTATATTTATTTACTTCTTGCAATTGATCTATTCTCGTCGGTGATCAGCCCAGTTGTACATTGGACTTCTTCAATCACGTGCCCTGAAAGATAAGAATAGAATATAATACAATAATGAGGCCTCCAACGAGGAACTATAATTTGACAAACTCAAAAATGACAGAACTAGACACGATGGCAGCTTGGATCAGTAACAAAAATATTTCCAAGAATTTATGAAAAATCTGCCATTTCTGTGTAAAACTGACAATGGAGAAATTGAATACTGAATTAAATGTAAAAAATGTGACAAAGAAATCGAGGATACCCCATTGAGGGTCTCCTCTAGAAGAGCAATCAAAGTAATGAGGACAATTAAAGCGATCACAACTGGTTACTTTAATGGACTTTTAATTATCGCTATCATAATTTGTATTTATAGTATCATATATTTGGAGATATGTACATATAGGTTCATGATGAGAATCTAAGAAACTAATTCAAAAATAGTATCATTTCCCATGTTTCATTTTGTTCTATTCTTAAAGGCACTTGGTACTGAAACAAGGGGGTGGCTGTAGAGAGAACAGATGTTGCGCTTCACGTAAGCACTAAACGCTGTGGTCCACAGCTGCTAAGAAAATAGTACCTGTATAGCAAAAAAACTTAGATAGATCAGAAAGTATAAGTAGAAAGTACATTTTTGGTTTATCCTCTGCTCGTTTCTCTTTATCTATTGTTTTCGGAGAGAGCAACCACTCTTAGGAAAGTGTAAAAGATGCAGATGGGAGAACGCACTGTTACCAAAATATACCAACTTTACTTTATAACATTAATATTTTGTTAAACATAAGTATGGCAAAAGTCTTTAACCTAAATGAACAAATACGTCCAAGATTAAGTTATGTACTTATACTATTCAATAACTAACTATGAAAAAGAAAGGAATTTCGAAATAAAGTTCTCAATGCAATAAAAGAAAATGCGAGCGAATAATAAAAAATAAACGTTTGACGTATCTCTGTTTAAAAATACATAACCTCGACCTACTAATTGCTGGTTACGAGTAGATAGAAAACTGAGGGCATCAGAACGCCACGGGCCGCCACGGGCCCGGGGCTTTCAAAATCTCTGAAGATGAGCAGGAGATATAGATGACCAGGAGATAAATTAATTGAATGGGGATTAGGAGATAAATTAATTGGATGGGGCTTTCATCTTAAATGGGTGAGAGATAAGATACGCATGACATCATTGTTATCTTAAATGGGTGAGAGATAAGATGCGCATGACATCATTGTTATCTTAAATGGGTGAGAAATGTATTTCTTGGACTGAATAGTAAAGTACAAAATAAATCCCTTTAATATTATTTTAAATTTGGTATAATCCATTAACAGTGTTTACAATTCTACTTTCAATATTAACCCAACATTGAAAAGAATCAATAATCCTATTGAGCTGGTCAAACAAATACTGTTGGCATAAAAGGAAAGAGAACTGGATTTTGGATTAAATATGAGTACAGATGAAAAGGTTTATTTATTTAAGTCCTATATTGAATTGACCGTTGAAAAGGTTTATTTATTTAAGTTCTATATTGAATTGACCATTTGATCTTACTCTACTTGATTTCAACAATAATGGTCTTTTAATGTAATAATTGAATGTTGACATTTAACTGTGTCATCACAATGTTAATCCTTCATATTCTAGAACATCTTTTGTTTAATGTGTTAATCCTTTTTTCTAGAATGATCTAGAGTATATGACATCATCATTTTATGACCTAAGTTTCTTAAAAAATACATGACATCATGCCCTAAAATAGAATTTGACATCATTTTTACCATATAAAAATCTCCAAAAAGTGTGTGGATCATTTATGAACATGGTAGTAAACAACTGGTGATTTAGACATATCTGTATGCTTGTTTAAGGTAAGTCCTAAATATTCTGTACATGATATTCAATAACACAACATCTAAATGCAGTAGGATCATATATGTTCCAATTTCTTTGATTAGTTGTTATATATGAATTGTATTTTATGTAAATAATTTCGTAGAAATTGAGCGAATTGTATTTTATGTAAATAATTTCATTGAAATTGAGGGTAAATAATTTAGTAGAAATTGAGAGAATTTAGTATTGTGACATGGTCGAATACTTTAATTATCATGTACAAATATTAACTGATGTTCACAAGTATTGTTCATCTGGAAGGTTCCAGAAGTTTGACAGAAAAATCTATTGAATGTATGTTAAGAATATAAATAATCTTTCAACTTTCTAATCTGGAATGGTCAATAACAACAAGAACTACATTAATTCACGACATCAGTTTCTAAGAATATCACGAAATCAGATGTTGATAAGAAGTTGATATTGATGCCGCTTGACAATATATATTGAGTGAAATATTCAAATCTTTATCATTTCAATCCTTATACTTGATATATACACATCAACTAAAAACCATGAAACTAGTACCATATGTAGACAACCCAGAACACTGGTTGAAACTTATTAGAGCTGGTAGACAGAATAGATTGAAAGTATCTCAAACAGGAAGAGGGTGGATAGGCATAGATGACATTAAAGAAGATACTAAACCGGTATTAATCATATCACCCATGACTGCAGTTGTCGACAGAGCAAAGGCACAATTGAAACGTCAACAAGAAGATATGAAACATGAAGAGTATAGACCATCTAAAGAGAAACAACAAAACTCTGTAAATATAAAGAAGAAACATCCATTTAAACAGAAAAAACAAAACACTTCGAATACAAGAAAGAAACGGACATTCTTATACAAACCACCTGGTATCCCAGCAAGGATGGACGATTAAAGTTATTTGTATATAATACTGAACGATATGAATAAAAATAAATAACTAAAGTTTCAAATGTTGTTGCTATTTACAGTCATTTACAAATGGTTTGAATATGTATGAGCATTAGTTAGCATTACCTCATTAGCATCTGTTAGCATTATCATTAGCATATGTTAGCATCTGTTAGCATTATCATTAGTATCTGTTAGCATTACCATTAGCATATGTTAGCATCTGTTAGCATTACCATTAGCATATGTTAGCATCTGTTAGCATTACATCATTAGCATATGTTAGCATTATTTAGCATTAGTTTTACAAATGTTCACTGATGTTCACAAATGTTCAAAAATGTTCACTAGTATTGTTCACAAATATTCACTAGTATTGTTCACAAATGTTCACTGATGTTCACAAATGTTCAAAAATGTTCACTAGTATTGTTCACAAATGTTCACTGATGTTCACAAATGTTCACTAGTATTGTTCACAAATGTTCACTGATGTTCACAAATGTTCACTAGTATTGTTCACAAATGTTCACTGATGTTCACAAATGTTCACCAGTATTGTTCACAAATGTTCACAAATGTTCACTAGTATTGTTCACAAATGTTCACTGATGTTCACAAATGTTCACTAGTATTGTTCACTGATGTTCACAAATGTTCACAAATGTTCACTGATGTTCACAAATGTTCACAGGGAATGAGGAGGAGGAGGAGGGGATGAGGAGGAGGGAATGAGGAGGAGGGAATGAGGAGGATGGAATGAGGAGGAGGATTATGAGGGAATGAGGAGGAGGAGGAGGGGGATTTGTGAACATCAGTGAACATTTGTGAACATCAGTGAACATTTGTGAACATCAGTGAACATTTGTGAACATCAGTGAACAATACTAGTGAACATTTGTGAACAATACTAGTGAACATTTGTGAACATCAGTGAACAATACTAGTGAACATTTGTGAACATCAGTGAACATTTGTGAACAATACTAGTGAACATTTGTGAACATTTGTGAACAATACTGGTGAACATTTGTGAACATCAGTGAACATTTGTGAACAATACTAGTGAACATTTGTGAACATTTGTGAACATCAGTGAACATTTGTGAACAATACTAGTGAACATTTGTGAACATCAGTGAACATTTGTGAACAATACTAGTGAACATTTTTGAACATTTGTGAACATCAGTGAACATTTGTGAACAATACTAGTGAATATTTGTGAACAATACTAGTGAATTAGTTATTTATTTTTATTCATATCGTTCAGTATTATATACAAATAACTTTAATCGTCCATCCTTGCTGGGATACCAGGTGGTTTGTATAAGAATGTCCGTTTCTTTCTTGTATTCGAAGTGTTTTGTTTTTTCTGTTTAAATGGATGTTTCTTCTTTATATTTACAGAGTTTTGTTGTTTCTCTTTAGATGGTCTATACTCTTCATGTTTCATATCTTCTTGTTGACGTTTCAATTGTGCCTTTGCTCTGTCGACAACTGCAGTCATGGGTGATATGATTAATACCGGTTTAGTATCTTCTTTAATGTCATCTATGCCTATCCACCCTCTTCCTGTTTGAGATACTTTCAATCTATTCTGTCTACCAGCTCTAATAAGTTTCAACCAGTGTTCTGGGTTGTCTACATATGGTACTAGTTTCATGGTTTTTAGTTGATGTGTATATATCAAGTATAAGGATTGAAATGATAAAGATTTGAATATTTCACTCAATATATATTGTCAAGCGGCATCAATATCAACTTCTTATCAACATCTGATTTCGTGATATTCTTAGAAACTGATGTCGTGAATTAATGTAGTTCTTGTTGTTATTGACCATTCCAGATTAGAAAGTTGAAAGATTATTTATATTCTTAACATACATTCAATAGATTTTTCTGTCAAACTTCTGGAACCTTCCAGATGAACAATACTTGTGAACATCAGTTAATATTTGTACATGATAATTAAAGTATTCGACCATGTCACAATACTAAATTCTCTCAATTTCTACTAAATTATTTACCCTCAATTTCAATGAAATTATTTACATAAAATACAATTCGCTCAATTTCTACGAAATTATTTACATAAAATACAATTCATATATAACAACTAATCAAAGAAATTGGAACATATATGATCCTACTGCATTTAGATGTTGTGTTATTGAATATCATGTACAGAATATTTAGGACTTACCTTAAACAAGCATACAGATATGTCTAAATCACCAGTTGTTTACTACCA